TTTTTATTCTCAGATTTTTATTTATTTATTACATATTGACGTTGATTCTTAAGTAAACGAAGGAATAATTAAATTCTTTCAAATACTTGTAACACTAACATAGAAAAATCAACAAGTTATAATAAGTAAGAACTTGCTCTTACCATTTCCAAAGTCAAAAATGAAATTCTTGTTGAAAGAATTAAAAGTGAAAAGTGAAATACTGAAGAAATTTCTTGAAATAAAAAATAACTGTCAATAGTTTTATTTTTTTCCTTGGATAATTGGGTTGAGTGAGTATAAAATAAAAGTTTTGTTGTGCAATGCCATTTTAATTATATTTTCTGGACAAACCAACTTTATCCGTGAAGTTCTCGCAAAAGCAAGTTTTTATTAATTGAGGGACAATTATTAACGAGCAAGACATGCCTTGAGGAGTACATATAACAAAAAAAAGGTTTATTGAAAATGATTGATACATCAACCTATCACATAGTTAGAACCCTCTATTGATGTTACTTTTCACAAATGAATGATAAAATTCGAAGTAATTTAATAAGGGCATGCATGGAGTTTTTTTTTTCTTTTATTTTTGATGTGAGTTTAATTTTAATTTATAAATTTTGTAAAATTAATATAAAATAACGTTAGGTGTGAAACAAAACAAACGAAACAAATGCGTTTAGTTTTTGATAAGATGTTAACTATCAAACTTTTAAGTAGTAGTTTTCGAAAATTACAATGGTTAAAACTAGGATGAAATATGTTTGGCATGTATGCCTTGTGCAAAATGACACAAATTATTGTTTAACGCTTCGTTTGTGATACGGATACGGAACTCTATACGAACAGTGATGTGTTACGTTTTCAAGTGTTCACCACAAAACAAACACGGTACATGCATCATTGCTCACACCCTTAATTAAGAACTAGATAATTGTTGGAACAATTAGGTGAATTCGAAATTCGTGCATATCCTACTAGCTAGACATATTAAATTGAAGAGAGACAATGAAAATGGACAAAAAGGTAGACAAATAGAGTCGAATGAATTAGACATTGGACGAATTGGGCTATCGATAGATGCATAGTTTTGTGCTAAAGACAAGTGTGGTTCCTACTCCTAGTGGTCCCTTCGATCATTTCCAACGAAAAAACAAATTTTGCATGGATGCTGGATACTCTCGTATTAAGTGTGTCTTGTTCGGTGTCTCTTATATTCGTGCTCAATTATTAGTCATAATTTCTCAACCTTATATCTACATACAGTTTCAGATCATTATATTTATCATTTTTTTTTGTATCCTGCATTGTCGCATTGTGGTCTTTATTCATACTACTTACCTATGTATTTGAATAATATTTGGAACAGATAGAAATAACATTCTTTTATATGTATATAGAAGATGAAACTATTTAAATAGTAAGGATGTGACTTTAATTCTTTTTTTTATATACTCATTATGTCTCATATTATAAATAATTTAGAAAAATGTATCAGTAATTATCTGGACTCAAAACACATACATATTTTATTATATAAAGCTGGATGCGCACGACGTGGTTGCGACACGTAGGATTTTTATAAAATTCAGGATCGCGACATGTGTCACTTTTAAGTTTATGTCCGTTAAGATCGTGACACGTGTCTTAGGAAAAAAAGAGAACTTAAAAAAAAAATTCCAGAAAAATGTTAATTAAAAAAAACGAAATTTAATTTAATATATTATATCAAAAAGGAAAAAATAATATTTGCCAAATCCAAACAGAAAAAGGTTTCCCATTCATCAATTTTTTATTATATAAAGTTGGATGCGCACGACGTGGTTGCGACACATAGGATTTTTATAATTTATAAGATCGCGACATGTGTCACTTTTAATGTTACGTCCGTTAAGATCGTGACACATGTCTTAGAGAAAAAAAAAATAATATAATAAAAAATTTAGATAAAGGAATTAAAAAAAAATCCATTACAGTTAAAAGAAATAAAAATATATTTGTCATATCCTAATAGAGAAAGGTTTCATTCATCAAATTAATATTATCCAAACAAATAATAAAATCAAAATAATGTAATAAATAAAATCCTATTTGTACATGGAATATGTTATGTAAACTAAATTTCCTATAACTGCATGTAATAGGTTACTTGAACCCCTATAAAAGAGAGTCAAGTTTCTCAATCATAAATTCATCAAAGCAAATTCATCAAATCCCTTTGATTCTATTTCTCCAATTTAAAAATCATGTTTTTGAAAGTTTTGCGATACATAGGATTTTTATAACTGACAAAATTGCGACATGTGTTTTAGAAAAAAAAATTCTGGAAGTATGAAGATCGTAACATGTGTCATGGAATAAAATAATAAAAATTAATATGTATAAGACTAACTAAAAATTAGAAAAACAGATAACAAATAATTAAAATGAAAAAAATAATACATCCATTAAAAGTAATAAAAAAACAGGAAACAAATAATTTAAATTCTTTTGTTACATCTATTAAGAAAAGAAAAAAAATCCATTTCGAAAAGGAAAAATACCAATATATAGTATTTATAATGGTCTGAGGCAAAAACAAAATTGAGAAAGAAAAAATATAAATAGAAAACTAACAAAATAATTATCAAGCAATTAACTAATATTAAAAAATTATAATTGATATTCTAATTTTAAATAGTTTGATTTTCAATTTTTGTTAGGTAAAAAAATTGAAATAAAGATTTCATCAATTAAAATCTCTTGAATGGAATAATAAAAGTTTGATTAATTAATCAGTTGATCAGATTTAGACATGTGTAAGTCTTTCTGTATTGGATAAAAATAATAGTAAAACAAATTAATTCATTTTGTCATATCATAAATTCAAAAGAAAAATCAATTACAATAAAAATGTAAAAGTATTACCAATCTTATTTTATTTAAATATTTTTATCGGGTTTTCAATATTATTTTGTTTACGTTTAAAAATGATCAAATTTTGTTTAATATTTTCCATGCTTTTATTATAAAATCTTAAAATATACCCGCGTATACGCGGGCCTTAATCTAGTAATTATATAGTTGTAGATACATTTTTCTAAACTGCTTATAATATATATAAGATAGAGGGAGTATATGTTATATTACACACCGTAGCTATACTATTCATAGTTTGAATTGTCTAACGAAAAAAAAAATTATACCATAGTGGGAAATATCTTTTCTTTTTTAAATTAGGTCAGCAAGATAATAGTAAACTATATACAAATAACTAGTATAACAATTTATTGCTATTATTATTAACACCATTAACTCATATGCTATCATTTCCAGCTATACTTTCCGTTATTGATTATCGTGCTTTTTGTTTCTAACTAATTACAGTAGAAACTCTATAAATTAATACTCGATAAATTAATAAACACGATAAATTAATAAATTTCTCCGGTTCCAAGTTGGACCGGTGTAAAATATGACATAATTCGATAAGATAATAAGATAATAACTTTTTTTAAACTTCTATGTAAACTAGGATCCCAATAATATCATAAATTAATAATTATCATATAAAAATTTATTTATATATATATATTTTTTTTTATCTAGATATCTACCTACTAAAATATGAATCTCTCACACATAAAAAAAAAATGAATGAAAAAAAGGAAATTTAAAACAATGTAGCGAGTATGAGAAAATGTAAACAATAAAGTAAATATAGAAACAATTAAAGAAAAAAGTGAAGAAAATATATGTATAAAGGAAAATTCTTATTTCATTTGAAGGAAAAACTTAAAAGATTATTATTATTGAATTTTATTTTTTTGAAAAAATATTTTTGGTCAAAATCTATATATTAATAACTCTATAAATTAATAAAATATCAAAGTCCCGACATTATTAATTTATAGAGTTCTACTGTATATGGTCTCTTTTTTTTCTTATATCTTATCGTTTCTAATCATATTGTGCATGAATCACATAAATAGTCAAGGCACAACTTGATTGGTTTCAAATCAGTTTAGATGATATTAAGACAGACACATAATTGGGTGGGAGATGGAAATAGAGATAAGGTTTTCCGTGTTCGTATTCTTGATTAGTTCAAGATCAATGTGTATCATTGTATGGGACCTTCGTAGTTACACTGACGTTGATGTTAATTATGCTTAGAGTTTATTCTTATTTTTCTTTTCTTTTTCTTGTCTTCCTGATCTTTGTAATGATATATTCAACCATCTCCACCTAATTAAACACACCACAATATATACATAGAGATCTATTGACCAAAAAACAAAAAAAACATAGACATCCGCGAACCCTTTGCTAATAGTCGGAAGTAAGAGTTACATAAGTTTGGAATAGTACACGAAGATTATCCTCCAACTGGTAGAAACTCAATCATTTCTAGATAAAAACAAAATAAAATACATTACTTAGAAAATCAATATCAAAACCAAATGATATAGTAGCTTGGTGATCATTTTCCCGTGAACCTAGAACATATATCGGTTTTCTCAAGCCACTGCCAAACAATTCAACTTCAAAGCTTTCTAAAGTTCAACTTCAAAACAAGTAATGAATGTAACGAATCACACAAAGAAACAGTTAGAACTAGTAAACTTCTGCGTCAACATAGCTTGTAATTCTTTTCATACATTTCAAGAGATACCTTTCAAGAACTCCTTTCTCTCTATTGGGCTAGAAATGTTCAAGTACGGCCCATATATGTTTAAATACGTACCCACCAGGTTTGAATTGGGTTACTTTAAAGCCGTAAAGGTTTGAATTGGTTAAATCAATTTAATCGGTTTATTGGTCGGTTCCGAAGTTAGTTAAACCAATTAGCTCGGTTTACTAAATTGCTTCACTCTCATCAGAACTCACTAGATTCTGTGAAAGCCTGTGTGACTGCATTTTTCTGTCCTCGCTGCACTGGATCAGGTTAAAATAATTTCTCTGGTTCTAATCTTCAACAATCCCAATTTCAATTCTTCACCACCCTTGTGTTGCTGGAAGTACATATCAGAACAGTAATGGCGCTCTGTAACTTTCATCCAACCCTCTGGGGATTCCATTTGCATGGATTATCAGTGAGTTCCTTTGATTTTATTCATCAATTGTTGAAACATAACTTCCTCCTGGGAATTCGCATGAAATAATTTAGTGTTTAGGACAAATTCCATTCTTTGAAACACTTAATTCAGATGTGTATTCTTCCAGTTGCAGAAACCCCAGGAATTTGGATGCTTTTCATTGCTTGAATTACCAAATTGTGGAGGTTACTATACTTTAAAGACGAAAAGGTTTGGTTTTTGCATCAGGGCTAAGGTAAAAATTGTATTTGTAGTTTCTGTTTTAATGGCTATTATCGTTTCTGTAGCTTTAAAACTTGATTCTCGAGAAATGAAACACAAACATGTCATAATGATGGAATTTCTTTTCAAGTTCTCAGAGAAGCTAGCTGGGAAGGAGAACGGAAGTTATGGAGCCACTGTGAATAGGTTTGTTGTTTGCATTCAACTCATGTCTTGGTTCCATATCTCTCTTGAGTAATCATTGTCTTGATTGATTCATTAGTTAGTTTTTGTGTGTGTGGATACTTTTAGGAAGGAAGTAAAGAAAGTGGGGAAGAAAGAGGAGCACCATTTGTGGAAGAAGAATGACTCTGCTGGGTCAGGCCAGAAAGCACTTAATCTTGTTCGAATGGTAAGTAAGAAAGAAAGAAAAATCCTTTTTTCGTAATCTGTTGGAATCAAAACGATGCGATAGAAAGTAGTTCATGATGATTTACAACTCTCAAATGGCAGCTCTCTGGACTCCCAAATGAGAAAGAGGCTGTTTATGGAGCTTTGAACAAATGGGTTGCTTGGGAGGTTGAGTTTCCCATTATTGCTGCAGCCAAGGCTTTGCAGATCTTAAGGAAGAGAAGCCAATGGCATCGTGTGATTCAAGTAAGTAAAGTAACATGACTTCCTCTATGCACCTCAAGTGATGGTTTTGCTATAGATGGTGTTGTCATGAGTTGATTGATAAATTATAGGTGGCTAAGTGGATGTTAAGCAAAGGCCAAGGCGCTACAATGGGAACATACGATACACTCTTATTGGCATTTGACATGGACGAAAGGGCTGATGAAGCAGAATCATTATGGAACATGATTCTTCACACGCATACACGGTCCATCCCAAGACGCTTGTTCGCTAGGATGATAGCTTTGTATGCTCACCATGACCTTCAAGATAAGGTTATTGAGGTAAATCATTTGTCTTTTCTTTTTACATTTTAGCTAACTATACACTCTTTGCAGGAAGTATGACTTGCTTTTTGGTTTCATTTTCCGTCTGTTCTCTCTTTTAGGTGTTTGCAGACATGGAGGAGCTGAAAGTGAGGCCAGACGAAGATACAGCAAGGAGAGTGGCAAGGGCTTTCAGGGAACTTGGTCAAGAAGAAAACCGGAAACTGATTCTTAGGAGGTATCTCTCTGAATTCAAATACGTTTACTTCAATGGTGAAAGGGTTAGAGTCAAAAGATATTCATCTGAAGAAGATTGATTTCATTCTCATGAACACACACACACACATGTATATACATATGTATAAGTAGCCCCCAAGTTTTTTAAGTCTTGATTGTAATTTATTAACTGTGAATTCATCAAGAAGATGGTAGAAGGAATCTCCATTTATAAAATTATCCTTTTTTCTTGATAAACCAAATGAATTGTCAGTGTTCAGTGACACTCATGCTTTGTAGTGTTCATAAATCCTTGCATGTGGTTGGTGTAAATGTGATCATTTTTTATGTTCTTTATTTTTATTAGAGGAAATGTTTCTTTATTTTGATAAAGATCTGCTTAACTAACTTGCTCTGTTATAAAACCCCACAAGATCATTGCTTCAAAACCTCAAAGTCACATTATATCAACACTTTCATTTATACATTTATTAATGGTCCAGTCTATCCTCATTACTCCCCAACCCTATGCTAAATTCGTCTTATTAATGCTTTTGGTGGCTACTTAGTGCAGAAAGTTTGAATCTTTGTGGACATATTGCTTCATAATTTGGTCCCAAAGTGAATTATTTTCTTACTTTATTACTGAAGAACAAGAAGCATGAACAAAAGTTATGAACTTTCAACTACCACAGTATGTCAATCATGATGATCATCCTCATGACTTAGTAGTGTCTCTTCCTCTTCACATTTAATGTTTCCTCCATCTACCTCCATTAATACATACATCCATACCTCAACATCATTCTTCATCGTCAATTTGAACCCAACCAGGATCAATCTTAGCCGTTAGATTGCTATTTGCCCAGGACACCAGTACACATGATCAAGATTATGCAAATGCAAGTGGCCCTCACATCTTATGATTTTGTTTACAATTTGCCTTCTATCACAAAACAAACCATTGTCTCATCCCTTGTCACAGTATCAAAATAGGCTAAAAAGTGTAAAGAGTAACTTATTCTCGTCCCCTTCTCAATCTCAAATATCTGATTCTTCAAATAACCCATAAACAATCCAATCACCCATGTAAATTAATTTAAACATATGGTCCCCTGTGAAGACAAAGTTCTTAACTTTTTCTGGCAAGTTATAATAACAGAATTATCACATTACATACAAGTTGGTCCGAGTACTGTAAGAAACAGAGTACTATTAACTCTGCTTCACTCGTTACTCCAGATCCATACTTGAACAGTTACTTTACATATCAACATTATCACCGCGTGACATTCAATGCTTCTTCAACCGTCAAAAGCTAAAAACTTTTTTTTTTGTTGCTCTTTTGTCATTCCCTCCATATACTTCTGATTCACTTTATTATATACACCCATTTACATTCTTCACGTTCTCAAACCAATCTCTCCTCTACTTCAAATTCTCTCTCTTGTCGAATAAGTGTTTTCAGAGAGATGGCAAGAGTTTGTGTAATAATGATGAAGATATTGATGATGGTAGCTATAGCTATGAACATGGCTATGGGTGAGCCAATAGCACCATGTTACTTCATATTCGGTGATTCTTTGGTTGATAGTGGAAACAACAATCAGCTTACAACCGTAGCTAGAGCTGATTACTTCCCTTACGGTATTGACTTCCAGTTCGGTCCGACCGGCCGGTTCTGCAACGGCAAAACCACCGTTGATGTCATCAGTAATCTTATAAAAACACCCTTTCTTCTGTTATGTTTCTGTTATTTGGTCCAAAGCAACTAACTTTCTCTGTTTTCTTTTGTGGGGTAACCTAAAAAAAGCCGAGCTTCTTGGTTTCGATGACTACATCACACCATATTCCCAAGCAAGAGGAGAAGACATCCTCAGAGGAGCAAACTACGCTTCTGCAGCTGCCGGAATCCGGGAAGAAACCGGCCGTCAATTGGTAATCTATTCCTTATAACAGAACACTTAGTTTTGGTTCCATGAATGAAATGTAAAAAAAATTCTAATTTTTTGGTTCAGGGAGCTAGAATAACATTTGCAGGGCAAGTAGCTAATCACGTAAACGCAGTGTCACAAGTGGTGAACATACTCGGAGACGAGAATGAAGCTGCTAATCACCTAAGTAAATGCATCTACTCCATCGGTTTAGGCAGTAACGACTATCTCAATAACTACTTCATGCCTACTTTTTACTCTACCGGTAACCAATACTCTCCGGATTCCTTTGCCAACGACCTCATCAACCGCTACACCCAGCAACTTCGGGTCAGTTTAGTTACATATCCTCTGTTTCCTCTGTTTCTTAAATCCTCTGTTTACTCTGTTTCCTCTGTTTTATATATGTGTGTGGGGGTAGATAATGTATAACAATGGAGCAAGGAAGTTTGCGTTGATTGGTATTGGAGCAATAGGATGCAGCCCAAATGAGCTGGCACAGAACAGCAGGGACGGGACAACTTGTGACGAGAGGATCAATTCTGCAAACAGAATCTTCAACAGCAAGCTAGTGGCATTGGTCGACCATTTCAACCAAAACACACCAGATGCAAAGTTCACTTACATCAATGCTTATGGTATCTTCCAAGACATGGTATCTAATCCTTATCGCTATGGTAAGAGAGCCACTTCTTGTTTTCTTTAACCAAAACTCAATGGAATTGAATTTGACCTGAATAAGTTGTTGATGGTTTCATTAATGGGTTCAGGGTTTAGGGTGACAAACGCGGGATGTTGTGGAGTTGGGAGGAACAATGGACAGATAACATGTCTTCCTGGTCAAGCTCCATGTCTGAACAGGGATGAGTTTGTGTTCTGGGACGCATTTCATCCAGGAGAAGCAGCCAATATTGTAATCGGTGGTCGATCTTTTAGGAGACAGGCTGCTTCTGATGCTCACCCTTATGACATAGAGCAGCTTGCTATGCTCTAGTTCATGAAATTTCATCCACACAAAACAGAGAGAATGAGAGAGAAAAAGAGATTTAATGTTTTGCTTATTTAAGTGTTTTGATAGTTTGTTTGTTTTTGTTGCAGAAGAATTGTTTGGTTTTGTGGAGTTAATGCATCATTGTTCTATATAATGACATGAAGTTGCTGTTTTTCTATATATGATGATTAAACTCTTTTGGATATCTGACTATCTTATTACAATGTATTAATCTTTTGAAACTGGAGTTCAATTATATGAATAATTTAGGTAAGAGGAAGCTTCAGTTTCAGAGTTTTTTTTCCAGCAATTTTGAAAGTGCAGGAAACAGAGTCCTGTTTCTTTTTCCTTGTTAACAAAAATTCAAAATTACGTTTTCTTTGTTCACAATGCATATGTGAAATTGCTGTATCTAGAAACCTAGATGTTACCATCACATAAATACATGGATATATGATAATTTTGTTTTTGTTAACATGTTTAAAATTTTATTGCTACGAAGCTGGAAATGTGCAAGATTATTAGACTAGAAGGTATACAAAAGTTGAATGATATGACACTGAATAATCTTGGATTAAGATGAAATAGAATGCAAACAAGTTTGATGGTTTTAAAAATAGTTAGACCTGCTTTGAAATGTGGGATTAAGAAATAAGAGATTATCTCGGTTGCAGTTAAAAACACATTAAACATGCATATGGTCAAGAGTTATGTATCCTAAAATGCATATGAAAAATCAGATATACTTGTTTTTCTCCGAAGATATCATAACATATGAGGCATACAAATAGCGGGAAAACGAAAAAAAATTCCTGAACTATATAACATTTCACGTTTTATTCCCGAACTCTTGATTACACAAATAATTCCTCAAACTGTTGTTGACTTTACCAAATCGGGTTTCAATTAGTCAACTGTTGACATGGAAATGGATTCTTTTAAATTTGTAACATTATTCGTCGGGATTTTTAGTTTTAAATTCAGAACTTCCAAATCTTCAACTTTAAGAAAATTTTCGGCTTTCTCTGGAATTTTTTGGCAATTTTCAACCAATTTCGGAGCTCGAATTTTGAATTGATACAAATAATAAAATGTGTTGGAATTTGCTAAAAATCGTCGAAATTTTCCGGAAAATTCCCTTAATGGTTTTAAGTTTGAAAATTTTGAGTTTGGAACTGAAATTCCCGATGGATAATGTTACAAATTTAAAAGAATCAATTTACATGTTAACTGTTGACTAATTGAAACCCAATTTGGTAATAGTCAACAATACTTTCAGGAATTATTTGTGCATTCAATAATTGGGAAATAAAACATGAAATTTCATATAGTTCAGAATTTTTTTGTGCATTTTCCCTACAAATAGCTCTATTTTCTGGTATTACATGTCATTTATTTTTGTCTTTTAAAATAATTATTAAAAGTACCTTTGGTTCAAGTTAGTTAAATAAAAAAATGTAACAAAAATAACTCCGTACTAGTATGAACAATTAGGGAAAAAAATTAGTAAAATGATTAGAATAATAGAGTATTAATGTATTACATCATGCCACAATTGGCTCCTGGAGTATCAGAAACAACTCAATCAAATCACATAGCTTAGAGAGGAACTTGATTGATTTGCTTCTTTTTCTTTTGATCGTTTTTATCATTTTATCAATTGCTTTTTGATATGCTGTTGCTGCTCTAAGATGGTATTGCTTTGCATTTGCGCTAATTAGGCAATTTGAAGTTTTTCTATAGCATATCAATTGCGATATGGTGTACTCTTGGCTTTTCACGTGTTTGTCGACAATACATCTGAAATGTGTTGGTCGGGTCAATATCATACTCCACAATGATCCTTTTCAGCATAATGTACATAGTATGTGCATCGGATGTGTATAAAGTGGAAAAGTTTGACAGCCCCATATATATTATCGGTTTTCATTTTCACTAATGATCTCCCTTCACAAGTAACATTCAATTCACCATAACCATAAGGCCTCGTGGCTATTAGTTTCTATTTTTTTTTATATATATTCAATAGAGTGAGATGGGGTGACTTGGTTCATCATTAGAAAGATAAGGATATCTAGACTGTATAGAGATTACCAATAAAACATTTGATAAATGACTCGCAAAATTAACAGGATACATATACCGATATACGTGTGATGCTAATCCTAAGCAACAAATTAAAATTTAAAAGATGTATTATCGCTTTTGGCCGGTGCGCAATCCCTTCTTTGACAAAAGTCTCATCAACGTCAATTTCCCAATACAAAATGATACTATTACTATGTACGCACCAGAGTTTCAGGAAATCAAGGCATAAAGTTCAAGATACGATGGACATGTTGTGCTAAAGATCCTAGCTCACTTGTCTCCTTTTGGTGGCTTGCATAAGATCATTAAACTCATTTGCTAAACCTTAATTAATACACTCATTCATAGCCTCCCTATGCTGCTTGAGGAGTACATGATCAGGGTCAATGTTCTTGCAACTTAAGATCTGGTCTCGCTTTGCCTTATTCTTCAACTCATAAAGTGGTTTCGACTTTGCCACCCAGCGCTCCCCAATCTTCACAGAAAGCTCAGGCGATGGCTTGGACAATGATATTGATTTTGTTGGTTGTGAGAGCAGATATGGAGGCTCCATATCAAAATAACCAAACCACATGACCTGATGTGTTTCTGGCTAAAGAGAATTACGTACACAATCTTGATCTACTTAATTACGTACTGAAAATAGAAACTAATACTACAATTCCAAAACTGATAATAAAATATAATCATTTTTCATATTGAGATGGAGTATTTTTTTTAATTAAAAGAAAATCACATGAAGCATTAACAGAGCATGAATTGGTAAGCACAACATTTGAGCTAATCAATAAATAATACACTTATACACAGTTGTCTTTTTATCAAATGAAACACATAAATGGACATGTCTTTTAAGATATTAATTTTACATCAACATACGCAGTTTAAATAAGTGTATAATTCATCGATACAACATTCATAAAATAAATATATAACATGCATTTGCTTTATATATTGCTCATCAACCCAATTCTGGTTTTTATTCACTCCTCATTCATTCATTCATTCAGCCAATATTACCTGCAAAACAATATGAAATGAACAGAAAATACCAAATTTGTGATGAATTTTTAAGAAAATTCGACAAGTATATAAGGTTCAAGAAAGATTGATACGGGAGCAAGATTTGTTTTCTTACACTAACTGAAGAGCGGTTTGGTCGTGGCGACCCGTGGATGAGTAATGGTGATTGTTAGGTTGCAATGCCGCGACTTGGAAATAGTTCCGTGAATCAAACTGTTGGGATTGCGTTTGAGGCGGTGGCATAAGCTGCTCGTAGTTAGATGCTCCTGGCATCAGATTCATACCCGGATTGTTCCTCTCATTTTCAGCTATCTATACACATTACAAACACACATCATTGATATTTTTAACAGTGTTTTGCCATAACTTTTTTTATGTTATTTGAAAAAGAAACATACGTAATGTACATTCACCTTAGCACGAAGAAGCTGGTTATCGTTATGCAAATCAACTTCCTGCGCAAACTTTCATTACAAATGAGCAAAATTATCATGGATACAAATTGACAATGGAAATTAAAAATAAGATTTATTACTTACTCTCTTCTGCATGTAGTCGATTTCGGAGAACAAGAGCTCATTCTGTAAACATACCCAAGTGTTTGTTATTTATAAATTTAGCAAAATGCACACTAAAATGAATAATGCCATACGAATTAAAATTATTTATGAACAAAATTATTAAAAAAAAAAATAGAAATTACCTTCTTGGACCGGATTCGGTTAATACTTCTGTCTAGTCTGCCTTCCAAATTCCTAAGCTCTTTGGGAGACATTGACCCTATCGTCTCACCCATCAATTGCCTAATTAATTTATCAGAAGAATATTAATATATCTAACAGTTAATAACAACTAGCTATTACTCAAAAATTCCAAGTCATTCAGATAGTATTAACCTGTTCGAATTTTGTATGCTGACAATTTGTTGACGCAATTTGGCTGATTCTTGTTGATAATACTTCAAAAAGGTAAAAAGTATGAACAATTTTATAATATTAGTATATATACTATATATACACACACCCAACACACAATCATACGTGTAATTTTAAGTTACCTGTGCATTAATCTCTGCCACCGATCCGGTGTTAGAATTATCCGAGATTGCCTTCTTGTACCTCTCAATTGTCCCTTTTACACTGCAATAATTTATTTAAATGAAGTAATTAGTTAATTAAACCAAGACAAATTACCCTGAAATTAGCATTTTGGAAAATGAGGAAAAACAAATACAGTATAAGGGTCAAATCGACCACTTGCTCAGTTAAGTGATTCTAATACGAAACCTTAAAAGCAAACATCGGTTCGTTTGAGTCAGAACAAAATGAAACATAATGTGACACATGATGTGAAGAGAAAAGAAAGTAAATACACTAAATAATTAAACTGTTAATAAAATATTCCTTAAAGTTGTAACAAATAAAGAATCATTTAATAAAATAACAGGAACCTGAAACCTTAAATTTATCGAGCTAGTGATTGGCTGCAACTGCCATGCTGGCAGAATTAGAGTGACATGATTGGTCTGCGCATGTCTAGGGTTTAAGACAGATGACATGTGTCGAAAAGCTATTGCACATTGGTAAATCCAACAGACATTAGATAGTTTTTAATATTTAACCATTGGACTAATTTAATTGTGATGTAGCTAATGACTTGTCCAAGTATTCAAGTAACATCACAACGTTCCATAGTTTCCTTATTTGGAATATAAGAAAATTTACTATTCTGCCATTTATTCTTTTTCCTAAGTTTTCTATCTATATACGTATGCATATACCTACATAATACTTATATACGTAAAAGTACGATAACATATAGACTATGATGTCTGAACCTTATGAAGGAATCGTGGCCGTCCATTTTTAGATCATAGAAGGCAGAAAAAGACTTCTCTTAATTTTTATTCTTATTTTCAAAAAGACGCTTAATTTATTGGATCCGTACAAAAATCTCACTTTCTTTTCTATGCCCATACAGAGAGAGAAAATGCGAAAAGCCCTAACTTTCTCTCTCTATACAAAAAAATAATAATTCAAACAAAAAAAGAGAAATTGCATAAGACTATCTACACAAAGATGTTGAAGCAATTCCAGTGCTTTACTTATATACCAAATCTACTGATTCAGTGATCATTAATCTTTCTGGTTCCTAGAATTATGAAAATCTTGGTAGCCTTAATATTTGTCTCTTTATGTGTTGTGTTATTATTATACACGTACATAATATGACCTAAACTTTTTCTGAAAGAACTAATTTTCTATATTGCTTTTTTGGGGAGCAGAAAATATATTGGGTATTGACCAAACGTGAAATCTAATATTAAATGGTCAAAAGTAGTAACATGAGATATTTGAATTTATAAATAGGTTCCAAATTAATTCATTATGACATAACCCTTTCTTGTCAGAAGTCAAGAACTGAAACTACCAACACTTTACAATAATAAAAGATAAGTGGAAAATAAAATAAAAAATATCTGTGTGATGACGTGATCAAAGATTCTGTAACAAAGACAACAAATCTTACATACACCAAAACCTAAACTTGCCCCCATTCCCAACCTATGAAAAACGAGTTTTTTAAATTCTGAAAAAGAATAAAAAAATATAATTTACAAAACTCTTATTACGTTTTAGTACCCACTGGGTATAAAAAAATTATTAGGTAAATGAAGATTAATTTTGATTGGCTGATGTTGAAGACTTTGATAGCTTTTCTCTTTTTGGACATGAGAATTATATATTTCAGGACATGAGTTGACAACTGTAAGCGATTAAGAAAAAGATTTTTCAAACACCATTTAATTTTGACATGTTTTATGTTTGGAGGAAGAGAATATGAATCACGTGGATTCTTGTAAATATTGGAAATTGCGTGTGGAATTTAGAGATTACTAATTTGAGTAATGTAACTCAAAATGAGTTTTGATTATTCTAGATTTTTAATAGAGTTATTTTAAGGAAAAAGAGAGACCTCCCAGGAGCTTATTCTTCTTAAGTGACTATCTGAATTTGTTTGTATAAAGGTTTTAACTATCTAAAATCTTGAAACTCTTATTGAGTTTCAAAATATTTTATGGTTATTGGTTGGAGTTGAAATCTTCCTTCTTTTGGCTATAACCACTTCTAACTAATATCCTAGCTCATATATATATTTTCCACAACTACAAGATAAACAAAAACTTACATTCACCAAGACAAAAACCTTGCATACATCTTGTCCTTACAATTACATGTACGTCCCATTATTTCTATCACTCATCAAGTTAAATTTATTTAAAGTTCAGAAATCTACTTTCACCTTATTTTACTCTCACTTACCATCACATGTGGTTCTATCAAATATATGATATGATATAATACATGAGAGAGAAAGAGAGAGAGATAAGAAAGGAAAGTAAGAGAAAGGAGAGAAGAGAAAGAGAGACACAGACATTAACAACAATGGAGGATGGGATGATCACAAAACAGGAGATGACCTCATGTAGTCCTTACTCTCCCGAATTTTGTTTCCCAAAACTTACTTTTATAGTCATAAAAATCAAGATTTTACCCATTACAACACCAGATCTATAAATATATCTAAATCTTGAAGTACTTGTTAGTAGAGAAAATAGAAAGTTGTAAGATTTTTTTATTATATAAATAACAGAAATGAATGAAGAAAGAAACCCCAACAAAGTGAATCTTAGTTCCACAAAACTGAATCTAAAACTCCACATTAGAATACTCTGATTGTAACTTATTTCCTTTTTCATTTATTATCTAACTCTCACTCAGATCTCCATAACTTTGTACCATTTTCCTCACTTTACATATATATAACTAATTCTTTTTAAACAAAGAAAAAAGCTTGTCTTAGCAAGAAAACAAAACAACACATGAAGAATTTAGATCTAGAAAATTATGAATAAAACCGTCAAAGTAATTAAGATTTACAACATCTAATATATATACTCCAACAAAGATTCCCACAAATGTTAGTGCGTTTATATATTTATGAAAAAAAATCAAGAAAAAGGTGAAAAATAATCCAACCCACAAGACGATCCAAATCATAAAACAAGAATCGAATCAAATCTAGCAAAGAAGATCGGAAGCCCTAGTAAAGATTCGAGCTTCAACATATAAAGAAACCCTAAAATCTGTCTTTAAATTAATTGAACTAAAAGAAGAACAGAGTAGAAGAAGAAACCTGTTGTTTGAGTACTCGTAGAGACGGCCACGGCTAGAGAAGACGATGAGTGCTACTTCAGCGTCACAAAGAACAGAGAGTTCGTAAGCTTTCTTGAGCAGACCATTTCTGCGTTTGCAGAAAGTAACTTGACGATTGGTTGTGTTCTCGATCCGTTTGATCTCGATCTTTCCTCTCCCAGATTTCCTCTGTGGGGACGAATCTTCTCCTAGCTCCATTTGGTAGGCCGTGTTGCTGCTCCAAAGCCAAAAGTGTATGGCAAAAACAATTGGTTAATCCAAATTAGCAAGAATTCAAAACAGTTCAAGAATTTACTTGGAAGAGACAACAGATTCGTTATGTTTTCTATTCTTTTTGAATTATGGTTGAGATCAAATTAGATCAACTTAATCTCTTGCCGACACACACCTAAAGAAAGTAAGTACAAAGTTGAAAACTTTCTTGATCTTACAATCATATTCTTCTACCAAGAGTTATGGGTTTTTATTTTCTTTGTTGAGTTGAATTGATAGTTTGTTCAATCAAGACTAAGAAAAATAAAGATCAGAGGATTCTGAATCTTGTTTCTCTCTAATTAAAAAACATAAAGAGAATCAAATTAAAGCAGGAGAAAAGGAAACTAAAGAAGAACATAGATTTGGTATAAGGACCAAAAGAAGTGAAGCAAAGTAATATTATGAAGAAGATAATGTTTGAAAGGATTGGGGAACAACAAAATATTAGACTGACCTGTTTGGGGGAGATGAACAAAGGGGAAAGTTTTATTTTTCTTGGAAAATGATTTTCTGGAAAGTATGAGATTTGGAGAAGTTGCAGAAAATGGAAGGTAAGGTTGTGCTGGTGAAGAGATGGGTATATACATTTATAAAGGAATAAATTCTTTTTCTATTTAATTTTCCTCTAATTTCTATCACTATTTTTCCACTTTTTTACATCCAATATAGTGTCTTGTCAATTTGTGTTGAGTACTGGTTTTCTTACTCACTAAAGCATAGTTTTATGAATCAAATCTAAGAGATAAGTATGTGTTTCTTCTTTTATTAGATGGATATATACATGTACTTTCTTAAAACGTTTCTCATTTTCAGAAACTAAGACATTTTTAGTTTTTTAATAATAAAAAGAAAGATTGACAAAGAGCAATCTACTTCACACAAAGAATGAGTATAGCAGCTTTTGAAATCACATGAAAAATATAACTAATATAAATAGAGGTTAATTACCATAAATAACACCCACCATACATCGAGACTTTTCATGAATATAATACTTATTAAGGACATCCCAATTTGAGAAACTGTTGAAAAAAAGAAAAATGGAGGAAAAAAAATAGTTTTATTGGTAGATAGTTCTTGTGTGGTCTTTCACAAAGGTCTAAATGAAAAGAGGGTTCAAGTTGGGCAATCACTCATGAGATGCAGACTCTACTTACCATTACTTGTCTTACCTTTTTCATGTGAAAGTTTTCGAGGCACTAAAATCTTTGGGTAAATCTCAGTACAATTTTTTTTTTGCTACAACAAATATTGAACTTGGATCCTTTGTTTTTACTAAATTTTGATCTTTTTAAAGAGGAAAAATTTATCAGCTCTATTCCCTTTTCTTTTTGAAAATTTTATGTATAGGATTTAGTGTCATTTTTGCAGGAATATATGTTCCACTAAACAAGGAAGTTGTATATGTATACCGAATTAATAAACATATATATAGCTGTACATTTTAGTATATTTAACACTATTTTACAAGTATATGTTTCAAATGGATTTTGAAAAAGTAACCAAAGGCTAAATAATGAACAACAAAAATTATAATTTTGATAGTTAAAATATAGTAACTAAATGTTGTTTTTCATATATGAGCTGATTGTTTTAAAATAGTAACAAACAAGAAAATTGTGTAATCATCTATTTTGCTAAACTGAACATTAGTGAGTACTAGTATGTTTATGAGTTCATCTCTTTTTCGGGAAAATAGAGTTGCAAAGACGTGAACAATGAGAGAATTACTCAGACCGTGAAGTAAATTAACACTCTTTTTTGTGTTAGTGAGATTTGAAGTTGATGATGTTTACTTGTTGTGATATTGACATGTACAAAATATAGATAAATTAATTAGATAAATAGGGTTTTAGGGTTTATAGGGGAAATAGGGAGGTGAAGCGTACTTTTATGTGGCTGGACAAGACGTAGGGCTTAATTTGGAAAGTTATTTAAGTGTAATGCTTCTGACTCAATTAGAAGGCAACTAGACTTTCTTCTCATCTCCAACTACTTTAATCTCTCTCTCTCTCTCTCTTTGCATTTTCCTTTTTGACTTTTATCCTCTTCAAAATATTATTTCTCCAAACTTACCTCCTATTTTTCTGTTGAATTAACCAAATATGTTTTTGGGAACAAAAGTACTCTGAAACTTAAAAATTTTGTCCTCCAGTTTGCGATATATAGTCTCAAAAAGGCCATTTAACAAATTAATATATATAGTCTCAAAATCTAGAGTTAGAATATAGTTTTTCATATTTTTTTTTTTTTTTGTAAAGGACTAGAATCTAGTTGTTCATTTATAATGATTTTTTTTTGTTAGATTAACAATTGATAATCATAATTTAAAGTACATTTTAATTTTTGAAAATGTAAACATCTAAAAAAATGGATTAACTATCTATCTTGTTTTATCATAAGAAATATTATTTAATAACCAAATAGTACAACATTTGAAGGGTTCATCTTTTAAGTTCCATAGTTCCAGTAAAGGATGGCGGATTAAAACTATAGTTTTTTTACTGAGATTTCAATAGTAGTCGGTCATTATGCAAATATTGTGTATGTGTAATGTGGAGAAATGTGCAGACTTTCAAATATTTTATTTATTATGTTAAATTAAAATATTGTTGAATAATTGAGGAGCACAATGTATAAATGGAGCAAGGTTATGCCAAAAGAAGAGGAGAATAGCATGTGATGTGTAGTCTTTGATCTCCATCTTTTTGAGCCCATTTAGGGTAATTTGATAGAGATGAGAGAAACATACATATACATTGCATATTCACATTTATGTGCAAATAACTATATACACCAACTTGCAAAGTGCTTTATTTTCTTTTTTACTTTTTATTTCGCAATTAGAAAAATTAGTCCAGTTGAAAAGGAGACCTTCTCTAATGTACTTTAAAAGTAAGAGTTATAGTAAATTTAGTAAGAAATTATGAGTTGAAGTACTATTTATATTTATTTAGCATGTGAAATTATTAGTATGTGTATATATATATACTTAGATGTAGAGAAATTGATTCGGTCATTTATATAAGAAACAACTCAATTGCTTTGGGTAAAGCTTTCATGTCGAAGTGGGTTTTAAAAACCATAATATCTTCTCGTATCTTCCATGATGGACCACAATCGAGGGTTGCTTTCTACCATATTTTGATCACTTTTGAGTTTTTCTCTTTATAAAAAAATTATATAACTCGTTGAATTATTTACCAGTAAATAATTAACCATCAAGTGGTTGATAAAGTGATATACTATTATTTATTCAGTTTTTACATTTTGCAAAAGTAACACCACAAAATTATTTAAACAGCATAGATCATACTTCAAACTATACAATATATTAGACTTAATTCATCAAGACGTGCTTTATAACATTATTTTTTACATAAAAATCGGTGTGTAAATAAACACCGTATTATTTGTTTCTGAATATTAACCAATAAACTTATCCATATTAAAAATATGCACTAAATTTACAACGACATACATGATGTGAACTATATTAGTTCTATTTCTGACGTAATAATGATTAAGAACCCTTTAATTAGATATGTCAACAACATACAATAAATATGTCAAAACATGAGGCGTCGAAGCATACATTTTGTGTTGGAGAAGGGATCACTTAAATGAAACTACCTAATCAAATTTAATGCATATTCAGTTGTTCCCTAACTTTATTTCCTCATTAAATAATAAACAATGAAAAATTTGGATGTGTAAACTACAAAGTTGTACTTGGGATCGCGATCAGAATCCCAAGTGAATATCTAAATCTATGTGTCTTCATTCTTCTCCGGTTCTCTCAGAATCAGCTGATACCTATGGATGGTGGATTGACGATAACATAAGAGGCAAAAAGAAGTCTCATGTTTAAAATTTACTACGCGGTCAAGAATCACATACCATCAGTTATTTGGCACAAAGGAGTCTGATTTTCAAAACGTATTCCAAAACATAGATTTTTTATATGGTTGTGTGTTCTCAATCTACAGACCGATCCGAGATGTTTACTCTGGCATAAAACTATATGTTGAAACTTGTTCCCACATATTCTTATAGAGAGTGTCAAATGAGTTGGACTTTTCACATTTGAAACATGATCGGAAATCGCTGCCAAAACCACCACAAAGACCGACGAAAACATCACAACAATGATTTAGATCAGAGGCTCCAAGACAATAAAAAAAATGCTTTTTTTCGCTTGCCATGCTACTTTACTAAATCTAAATTTGCGTGACCAGCTAAAAGAGCGGCAAAGTCACAAAACATACATACACATCTCATTTTCTTGCTACAAATGAAACAAGATCTAGGACACAATAAAACCAAAAAAAAAGATCTAGGACACAAAACTGATAGTATAGTTTATTTATTTTTTGGCCTTTGTATTATCTTTGTTTGTCTCTCTAATATGTTTCTTCTACTACCAGCCTAGCTCTTCTCATCGAGGAGTATTCTTCAATCTTCACTAAATCAAATTCGTCTACTATGAAAATTAACCGTATACCCTATGGTAATGGGCCACGAGAAAGTTGCCAATGCAGGCTATAATTGAGAATAAATTATTACACTTTCCAAATCAAGAACCTGTTCTTGGGACCCTCTTAGAAATGTATATAAATTATATGTTCGTATACATACTTTTATGTGTACATTTTTTTTTAGATAGACCATGAAATTTCATGTACTTTTACATAATTTACATTTTAGGGTAAGAAAACGTAGAAGTAACATTCACACAAGATCCTATGACAAGAACCAGTGGCGAAGTCTAGCTATCCTTTATCCAATTGCTTAGGTCGACACATTATCTATCTAATCTTAGCAAACAAGAAAAAACCATGTTAAATATATTTTTGTGGGGTAAAAAGATTTTTCGAAACATGAGCACCAGACTGAATTTGAGGCTACTAGTTTCAAGTGCTCCAATCAAGGAAACATTGCAAAAACGCATCCAACTTTCAGAATATGGAAGTTCACTTATAAGTTATAACCAAAAAAACTAACTTATTTTCTTAACATTTGCTTTTTCTTTGATCATGATTAATATAGTTTTTTGCTTATATTTTTCTTACAAAACTTACACAAATTTTAGATTACATCAGCAAATATATATTGAGGTTAAAAACCAAAGATCTTACTACAATATAATGCTGTTTTTGTCCACACGAAGCCATTCTTCAGTGTAGAACAAAATTACAACTTACAAAGTAAATTTTCGGTTGTTTAAGGGGAAAACCAAACTAATATACTGGGAGGAATACAAAAGAATGGTTTATTTAACGGTTTAAGAATTACAAATGTGAACCGGATGATGAGCCGTCATGGCTGCTCAAATCCCAATTATGTTTCTTCTTGTGCTCGAAATTCTGAAAGCATGTCAATGGCCTCATCTGAGAAAGAAAAAAAACATGTGGAAGAAGAAACATATTAGAGAGACAAACAAACATAATCCAAAGGCCAAAAAAATAAATACACTCTGTTATCAGTTTTGTGTCCAAGAATAAGAGAGAGACCCTCCATTGTCGCTTGTGACCCATGTGGTGAAGAATGGACTCAAGCCGTTTGATGATCTCTCTGAAAGTTGGTCGCTTTGCAGGTTTCTCATGCCAGCATTCTTCTATCAACCTACAGAATTCAAGAATCAGATCAAACCGGTTAATGACACGAACCAAACCAATCAATGATGCAAAACTAAGACTCACGATTTAAGTCCATGAGGGTATTGCTTTGATGGAGCTTTGAAAGAAGGCCGCTCTTTGGAAGCATAAGCTTCTGAAGCTTCACTGTCTTCCTTTTCAGCAAATGGCATTCGTCCTTCAATCATCTAAAGCATCCCACAGTGAAAAAAAATTAGCAACCTGAACAGAGAAAAAGCTTTAAGAAACAGAGAAAAATGTCTACTTACCTCTTGAACAATCAACGCAAACGAGAAAACATCAGCCTTTGTATCGTATTCTTCACTGGTGAAAACCTCAGGAGCAATATATCTACCTATAATAATGATGATAACACCGATAAATTTTGTGTCAAAAACATATTCTCAGAAATCAAGACTCTTGACCAAGAAGATCAAGAAACCAAAAGCCCCCAACTGTACAGTAACTAGACGGATGAGAAAAAGACACTTACAAGAAATGTCTGCACATTTGAAAGGCTTGTCTTCTTTAACAGTAACAAGCTTGCTTACTCCAAAGTCTGCAACTTTCAGATGCCCTGAATCATCCCTCAATATGTTCCTGCATTCATAAACTTACCATCGTCAGATATTACAAGAGGTTGTTGATGGTAGCTGCACATGTAAGAGACCAAAAAAAAAAAAACACTGATATAGATTGTGTGAAGAACTCACGAAGGTTCAAGATCACGGTGGATTATAGGATCTCCTTTGATCTCATGAAGATAACTCATCCCCCTAAAAAAACACAAATTGACCGGGTAAATGTTACAAGAACATATATAAACTAACAAAAAGACACATAGTAAATAGCTTTAAAATCACATACCTTGCAATATCAAGTGCATATCTAACAGCAGTAGCTGGTTTTAGTTGTCCTTTCCTCTTGAGCAATTCACGCAAATCTCCCTGAAGAATTTCATATCAAATGAGATCTTGAATTCAAGAAACTAAAGAAAACATAATTATATCAGAGAAAGTCCATACCCTGGGCAAATATTCAGTCACAATCATCATTGGATTACTCTGTGTTACAGCACCAAGAAACTGCACAATGTTTGGATGCCTTAGCCTTTGGAGCAACGCAAGCTCATCGTGGAATTTCCTCCTGCGCGCACATACACACAACACGATTATGCTAAGAATTCAGAATCTAAAAAACCTTAATCCACTCTACAGGATATTCACTTACACTTGATCATCATCGCTCAAAACTTTATCATCGAGCTTTTTCACCGCAACTTGAATACCACGCCACATTGCCATACAATAAGTTCCCTGAAACAAGAAGCTTCACACCATTAGATGGAAAAATATTGAAAACATCAACAAAAAATCCATTAGAGACAGGACATGTTTTATGAACCTTTGTTATCTCTTTGCTTTGAGTGAAATCAAGCTCATTAGGATTGATTTCATATTCAGGGACTTCACGAGCAGTCTTCACATGCATTGGAGCCATCTGAAACATACAAATTTTGTAAACAATAAAAAATCCAAATCTTCCAGTGGCTATTACAGCGAGAGATACAACCAAACACACAAAAACCACATCAAAATTTAAGCTAGATTCTTACCGGATGTTTAGCTCCATGAGTCTCAAGAATCTTGATTACATCAACGTTCTTGTAAAATATCGCGTCTGCAAAAGGCTGTTTTCTAAAATCTATTAGATTACTACAAAACATCATTATCATCGTCATCTATCTATTCATCATTACACAACAAAACCAGAGATTCAATTAGCAAAAAAAAAAAGAGAAATCTAAAAGAGTTAGTGGTTTTGATTCTTCTTACAGTGCTTCCCCAACGATCCTTAGGATCAACTTCGGCTTTCCGATCAAGGAGGAGCTCGACGACATCTTTCAATCCCTGACAAGCCGCCACGTGGAGAGCAGTCCGATCATCAATGTCTCTGTAATTGGCATCGATCCCGGAATCAAGAAGCTCCTTAATCCCTTCAATGTCACCTTCATTTGACAAATACATAAGTCTCACACCACCGTCGATCTCTTCTCCATCCTCTAAAACCTCTTCCTCCGAGTGAATCGACGGCTCCGGATTCTTATCCGGCGCCATCGACGATTGCCGACCAATCGTCCACCGCGGCGTTTGGTAATCCTCCTCCGTGTCCCGACTAAAACCCACGAAACTCATTTTTGATCCTAAAACCCTGATTTGTGTCCGAAAATCTGGGGCGGTCAAGGAAAAATCAAACCTTTAAAAAGCAATTCAATGCCTTTTGACAATCTTTTTCTACGCAGATTTCGAGAAAAGACAAACTCTTTAAAACCCTGATTAAACCCAATTCGTAGGAATCTGAGAAGTAATTGAACAGAAAAATCGCAAAAGAATGCGGAGAATCAAAGAGGGTATCTTTCAATTGTAAAAGGAATTGTTCTGAGAGAAAAATAAAAATGAAAATGAAAAGCGCAGTGACGAATTTATAGGTGGGTGGTGCCGTAATGGAGAAGAGAAAGCTGGCTGGTAAAAAAAAGTCATCGGAGAAGAAGAAAAAAGTACAGAACCAGCTTGTGTCGAGCGCGTATGTATCACGTGCTTAAATCGCGTGAGACGAAAGTTCCTTGTAAGAGAGACGTCATATCTGGCGCCACGGTAAGAAGGCGTTGACGAAAAGAAAGAAAAAAGATCTTAACCGTTGAATTAAACAGAGTCAGATGAGTATTAACGGTTTGGATTAAACCGCACGTTTCGGATTCGATTTGTAAACGACCGCGTTTCACATGTCGCCGACGCATTTTCTTCTGTAACCAACCTGGTATGTGTGAAATAAAGTCAGTACCTGGGGACAAAGACTTTCAAAAGGATAAAAGAGTATAACAGACAGCTTCTCTATTTTTGTTTGATTTTCCAGATTTGATTAGATTATTTTCCACTTGTGTAAATGATAAATATAACAATTTTCAGGCCACTTTAGTTGTCTTTTATATATTTTTATAAATGATAATAGCCACTTTAGTTGGCCAAGGGAAAAACAAAAACAAATTGGATAAGGTTCATGCTAAATATGTGATCTAATTTATTGATGTACATTGAATAGGTAAAGATTGACATTTTTTTTTTTTTTGGTAATCAAAGATTTGACATCTTCATCCTCATCTTCTTCTTTTCTCCGCAATATCAGTTTAGAAAGAAACAAAAATCGTTAACTTACTATTCAACTTCACAACATGTGAATTTGTATGGTTATAGCATCTTCTCTAATTATTATTCTTTCTTTTTCCTCAACCTATACAGTTAATTGTTTCTTTTCAAATATTAAACTAGTTCTTAAACTTTGATAGATATTTTATGTAACATGTAAGGTCAAGATTCTGACATTAGAGACATAGTCATATAGATAATCATGCTTTTGTCTCAACTAGTGACAAGTTGTCTAATATATAATAGCATATGAATTCCTGATGAAACATCTTAATAATTCTTATCCCTTACATTTCAATTCCAACTTTTTGGATTTTTCTAAGTACTTTGGTAGCAAATGTCAACTACATTCAGAATTGGTTCCTAGTTTTGTAGTGTTATTATTTCTATATTTAGAGTATTAATTAATGTGAAAAGGAATATCCTCACTAGATACATGTATTTGTTTGAACTTTGAATTGACATAATTTATTCACCGCATCTTAACCTAAATTGGATACACTTCATAAAAATATCACTTGGAAATTTTGTAGTTAGTCTGATAATAAGGGATCAAACTGATAATTAATTCTCAAAAGATTTGTTCCCATTAATCTAACTATAAGGAGCAACTCTTTTGAGAATTTGTCAAATGATCATTAATATGACTACTTTGTTTAAGTATAGCTATATCTTCCTCATGAAACCTTATTAGTATCTAGTTTTTATCTTTTAACTTCAATTCAAACATTTTGAAACTTTTTTTTTTTTTTTTGAGAACAACATTTTGAAACTTTTCTAAGTAATTTAGTAACAAATGTCAACTACATTCCACATTGGTTCCTTAGAGCATCCGCATTGCACATTTTTTCATCGGTTCTGGAATAAAAAAATAAAGAAAAAATTAAAAGTTTATCTATGTGGCACAAAAAGTTTAAAGAGGCGTCTCTGCAGAAAAGACTTTTAGAACCGTTTCTGAGGACAAACTCACCAGGTGTCGTAACCTAATTGGCCATATTTTTCTTTTTTCTTTTTTTTTTTAAAAGCGAAAATTAGTTTAAAAGAAAAGAAAAAAAATCATTTTTATTATTTAGTAGAGCCTGTCTATCGTCTTACCGATGCGGATGCTCTTACTCTGTTTATAAATTATGATTTTTAAAACATCTTATTATCATGCTGATAAGAATCCAATAATTCAAATCCTTGACTGGTTCACCCTTCAAGATACAGATCAACCACTTTACAATTACAAGAAACGAAAGGAATATTATTAAATTTCATTTTGCCATTACATCTTATGGCAAAACCAAAGCAAACAACAACAAGAACAAGAAAAAAAAGAAACAGAAGTAAGCATACATTTAGATCAAACAGATACCAAATATGAACCGTAACATTTTTTTCTTGATTTCTTTTAAGAAATTAAGTTATGCTCGTCAATTTTCACCCAAGATCCAACGTTTGCATCGGTTATCCATAACGCCACTCGATTTATCCGGAAACTCAATCCGTCAAGACTCGAATCAAGTGTGTAAGCTTTCTCTAACGCTTTCTTCTTCTCTTCCTCCGTTAGATCGCCGTAGAGTATGCTCATATGTGGCACGTAAACTGCAACATCCCAACATGCCACATATATACGTAAAAAAAAAAGAAGAAGAAATAAAACACATTTCTTGATAATAATCGGTTTTTAACGTTTTTCTCAATATCAACAGTTAAAATAGTTCCAAGAAAATATCGAAATTCGATTGATTGGAGACTAGATCATACATGTTCCGGTGAAAGGTTTGAAGTGGGCCATAAAATGTCCAGCAGCATTCATTACCTGTAAACATAACACAACAATGTTTGTAATACCTCAACATTAAAACCCAAAAAAAAAAACAGCTTTGTATTTTTTTTAAAGTTGTTAATTTATGACGGTTTAAGCATTTTAGTACTATATTTTAAGTTCGTCTTAAATATCAAGGAAGGGATCAACAATTAGAAGCTACATAATTATCTCGCAGCGACCTTTTTTACCTCTGGGGTGTGCTTTAGAGACACGTAGACACACTGAAAGTAAGAAGCTCCGGTGGAGACATGGTCAACGGTGGCCGGATACGCCTTAAAATCTTCACACGCCGACTTGAACATCCGTTTAGCCTCTGTGGCCGTAAGTTTCTGCTGTCCGATGAGGGTCAAGTGAGGATCAAACGGTGGACCACCGAACTCCGACCTTAGCCCTTCCATTAACCTCCCAAGTCTGTCCTCCACGTCACCTTCCGGTACAGCCCAGACCGCATACATTTCCTTCTTCTCCTCATCGTCATCTTGCGTTTGTGGCGGTTGCAGTGGCGTTGCTTTTTCTTCCATCATTGTCTTCTCGTTCCCTACGACTTGCCTAGGAAATGATGTGACTATATAACCGAAAAAACATTTCAAGGGGTCACAGATAGAACCGAGCTGAAATCATATATTGTAGACCGGATTGCTCATCCTTAACCAAACTAAAACCATTACTATGAAAGCGTGGCCTTGTTGATCAAAAGAAAACTAATACAATTATGTATTGTCTTACCTGCTCCACCTAAATGCGTTTTGGATTAATCGTGCGAAGCTTTAGCTTTTTGATAATGTTATAGAATTATTATGAAACGCTAAACAAAGACAAGGCTTTTACAATTCAATTTTAAAAAGACTTGCGAGTCGTTTCTTTTTGCTAAAAATGCAAATAATGCAATCGTCAATCGTCATGTCACATCATGTTACATATTTAAAAACTTATATCTGGTAGGTTGCGTAGTAGGCACGTAAAGATTATTCGACCTAGAGACGATAGATTTTGGGCCTAAAGCGAGTTTATTGAGACCTTTTTATTACAGAATCAGAACCAAAGTTGTGTCTTTCTTTAAGGACTGAGATTGCAAACAGCCACTTTCTCCCATGACTCTAGAGTCTTGTCTTCGGTATCAGTTTTGCAGAGCGCGAGTCGGTTGATCCGGAAACTAAGCCCATCGAGGGTGTTATCAAGTGCGTTAGCTCTCTCCTGAGCTTTCTTCTTCTCATCTTCTGTTAACTCGGCGTAAAGCAGGCTCAAATGCGGCATGTAAGCTGCAATGATTCATAGACAAAAAGAAACATTTTGTATGAAACTCCTGAATCTAACATGAGAGACATAGACAGATACATTCGATTCCGGTTCAAGTTCAAAGAATCCTTGTTAATGGAACTTTATCAGTTTTAACACTAGACTTAACCAATATCTAGAGGCTACATGATCTATAGGTTTGATTTTAAAGAAACCAGTTTTAAAGTGTCAAAAGAGCTTACGTGTGGTGGTGGAGCACTGGAAATGGTTCTTACAGTGTTCACCAGCTTTCATTACCTGTAACATAACAGAACAAACATTTCATTCCAAAACCATTGTTAAACGCTTGATTAAAAAAAAAACAATAACTTTGAGATCTTAGTCATCCCTGAAGAGAATTTCATTGAGTACCCAATATCTTAGTTAGGATTTCTTTGACAATTATCTCAGAAAGATCAAATTTTGGAAAGGAAAATCACTTAATTTTTTTTTACCTCTGGGGTGGATTGGAGAAGCAAGAAAACGCATTGGTAGAAGAAAGTTCCGGTGGCGACGCGATCGACGGTGGCGGTGTAAGATTTCAGACCGTCGCAAGTTGCTTCAAACATCTTCTTCGCTTCGTCTGCCGTCAGATTTACGGCTCCGACGACGGTGACGTGAGGATCAAATCTCGGGCCAGAGAATTCGGATCCTAGAGCTTCCATTAGCTTTCGGAATCGTGGCTCCGTTTCCTCATCCGGCAATGCCCACACCGAATACACTTCCTTCTTCACCTCCTCCATGAATCGGTTTGATTAGAGTCCAGACGCAAACGCTATTTGATCCAAAGCAAGAGTGATGTAAAAGTCAACGGATTGTCTGATTTTAGTTGGTTTTTATCTAACTTAAACCAGTTCAGTTCTTATAAGAAGAAGGCCTTTCAGAAACTTAATGGGCTTACACGAAGCCCAAATATCATTATCTGACCTACGGCTTCGTTATTAATCAACAAATCTTTTTATTCACAAGATGATCTTGATTAGTCAAATAACTTGTATCTTGCAAGATTGAAACACACTAATCCGATATTCGACTAACCGAAATGATATATAATCTAAATGTATTTGATATTATGTGCTTTCATTGTCTAATCTGTAAGGTCTCTTACTAATTCATTATTGCATAAAAATGAATTAATATACATTTTAAAAACATTCTGTAGACGATCATATGACCATTAACATAAATGTTGACCAACAAAAATCTTATAGACCTATACGAATATACGATAGTATATAATCGTACTTGTGATTTCTTTTTGCATAGTTAGTTACACGGCCAATAGAACAATGAACATATGCTTTGCCTCTCAACAAAATTTGTATCAATATCTTATGACATTATGACATTAGCATTTTTAACACATATAAGCTTACGAACTCATAATGTCTCGAGATTCATTAAATAAGTAAAAATAAAATAAGTTCATGGGAAGGGAGCTGTTCTCTTCATATCTGTCTCCACGACATCAAGTGCAATGCCTTTCCTAAACCGAACCCAATAATCAGCAATTAGATTCTTCTTCTCCGGTCCATCAATCCCTTCTCGCGACGGCTTCAACGATTCAGTCGAGATTCCAAGTTCTTCATCACGCTTTTTCACCAGCTCCGGTTTGATCCTCCCTAGATCCACGTCTTGTGGCGACACCATTAATGATGGTACACCTAGTGGTAATCTATCCCCTGAACATAAAACCATAACTAAATTAAACTCATATTTTCTTATCAAATTTTGAGTTTTTCTAATATTTTGCAAGATTAGTTTATTACCGCGATCAATCTGCCATGTACACCAAAATTTTCCGTATGATTTGGCAAGATTTTTAAGCTCCGGCTTTGCAACGAGCTCAGGGACCCTTGGAGTTACTAGAAGAGCCATTTGGATCTACAAAAATTAACACTTCGATCATTTTTTAACCCCCGGTAAATAATAAACTTACGGGAAATGTTTCGAAAATCATGAACCTCGTAGTCATGCGAGTGCCAGAGCTTCTGTTCCACTGGTGAGAGAGTTTCGAATACCTTCTCCGACACTATATATTCGATCCCTTGAAATTTCATACAATAACAAACACATTCATAATCATAAGTCACACTACTAAGATCTTCAATAACTAACGTTGTATAATTTTCCACAAAAAAAAAAAGCGTATAATTAATGTGTACACGCATGTACATATGCCGGATCATCGACTAATTATATAAGCGTACAAATAGTACATTCATATAAAAAACCATCATTTTAAAAATTCAACTATTGCCCTATAAAATCTTGAATGTGTAAATGAATTGAAGCCTGCACAAGAGGGTGACATGTTAAAAAAATTGTTTTCAATGCAGATTATAACCTTGAAATTTTCAGCTTTTTCTGTACACTATTTTTACAAAGTGTAAAACAAAAATGACAAATGACAAACGAAATGTTACGTTCATGTGACGGATAAACTTTACTTAAAATGTTATAGATCATAAACTACACACAAGTACACAACGAAAACATAAGCGCAAAATCAAACTCTAAACAAACAATCGAGTTTCAATGTATATATACCGATGAGATGAGCCTTGGAGGAATTGGAGTCATAGACGGCACATTGGAGAAAGTCCTGATTTACACGGTGACCGTAGATATGAACTTCTATCTGACGGCCAGGATCGTGGCTATAGCAAGCGAATGAACACACGTGAAGACCCATTTGCCTTATCGGTTTCATAGACTGCATCATAGACGTTCCTTTGTCGAGCATCGCCGTTGTTGTCTTCGTCGGATCTCCCATTGGCTCCTTACTCTCTCCGGTGCTTGCCGGACACGCCACCGGAATCTTATCACTTGACGCCATCGTTCAACGACACCGTTCTCTCAAAAAGTACCCTTTTTCTTTGTTCTCGTTTGGTTTGAGAGTGTTTTGGTCTTATAAGAGAGTAGTGATGTCTGCGTGAGGTAAATATGACATGAGTGATTTTGGATGTGTGACGTGGCTAATAATATGATGTTAAGTTTGGCCTTTTCCGGAAAAAGTTACACGTGGCCGGTTTCTCAGCTCTGGACAAAGTATTGCAGACTTGGCAATGTTTGCGACACCGCCATTTGTGCTTCCTTTGACGAGTTCCAAATGGAATCTTGATTACTGTCAGCAATTTTTGCTTAATCTTATTTCTTTCCGAAAAAATGGAATCTTATTTTCTTTAAAATATACGAGACTTTATTTTTATAAAATATGCGAGACCGGTCTCCATAAATATGAAGATAGTTTCGCATTAAAAAAAAAGAAAAAGAGATAACTACACCATTTAATGCAACCATATACGTAAGGTCTCGTCAAAGTTTTTATATTTTCGTTACATTCCATAAAGGTTTACCCTTTTTGCGCTAACTTCCCATATATATAAGATTTAATAATAGAATACTCCCATGCGTATGCGTTACTTCAAAATGATAGTAGTAGAAAACCTTCATAACCTCCGATGACTAATTCAAAATAGCCATGTTTTTTGTTTTCCTCTTAATTAACGAGAGCTACCCTCACGAACGGTCTTCAAAAACGAACCGCTTTTGGTTATTTCTCGTAGTGGCTTGTCTGTATATCTAACCATGTTATAAACCCACGCACCCGAAACCGCACCAAGAATTGGAGAAACTATGTAGATCCAAAGTCCTTTGTAGCAATTATATACCATTGCCGGTCCTAAACTTCTTCCTGGATTCATCGACGCCCCTGACACCGGTCTGATAAAAATGATTAAACATAACCATTTATCAGTTTTATGTTCTAGTCGAGAAAGAAAAATGTATGCACAATATAATAAATTAATACAAATTTTTATATATAAGTGATATATTAGTACCCGGCAATTATCACATTAAGTAGCACCGTTGATCCTACTGCCAGTCCGGCAAGCTCTCCGATCTGCTTATTGCAACATTTGGCGCAATAATGTTAAGTTTCTCACAGTTTGAAAGACCAAAAAAAACATATGTAATTGCTGAGGGATAGCAATAATCAAACATATTAAATAAACAGAATACGATAAGTAGAAACTAGAAAGTCTATGGTCACGGAAAATATGATATTATATAATAAGAAGATTTGTTTGCCTCAAAGTCAAAATTCAAAATCAAAGATGAAACTATGAAGTAGCGTATCCATTTTTCATAATTCAACCTTAAAAAGTGCATTATTTCCGTGACTAGATAGTTCAAAACCAAGCATGTTAAAACGACATGCTTTAAATAGTATGAATTCCCAAAATATAGCCATCAAGTTTGACTATATATAACTTCCAGTCTTCCATGCAACGTAAATAAGGCGACTTTGAAAATACTAACCGCTCTATTATCGGTAGCGACGCCGGAGATGATGAACATTAGGTAGAAAGTGATGATAAACTCGATCACAAACGATTGCAAATCTGATCCAGACGGTACTGTTCCGACGAACACATCGTGTTTCCCACTGCAAACGTCTTGATCAAGTCCGAACAACAGTCGCAAAGTCGCTGCCGCAAGTGTCGATCCGATCACTTGTGATATCACATAAGCCGGTACCTGAAATCAGATCAAATATATTTTAATCAAAAATTAATTAATGTGTGACATCACAATAAAAAAATGGGCCCAATTTCGAAGATTCGAGGTACGTTTAAATAACAAAATTGGATTGACTAACTTAATGATTGACAGATTGAATTTGTGCGTATATATTTTTAAAAACAAAACTATTAGACATACTAACACTTTTATAAAGTTTTTATTTGGAATTTAACTTTTGTTCTACTCATACTCTTATTAACTTTTGTATCATATAAATATCACACTATTTACTAATTTCCAATCACCGAGATAAAACATTAAAAATGCTTCTACTTCTTACAAGGACAGAATGAAGAAGCCTAAAACTACTTTAGAAAGAAAAAAAGCTTTTGATGACCTAAAGTTTCGTGCAATACAATCAAAACACAACTAAACTAGGCTTACCAAAGACAAAACATTGATGTTTTTTAGTTTGGTCATCAAACTCAGATAAAAACAAACCTTGATCGATCATAAATTCATAATATTATAATATTATACATGTGTGAATGTGTTGACCTGTTTGAGAGGGAAACGGCGGCAAGAGGCGAAGGCGATAGTGACGGCCGGATTGAAATGAGCGCCGGAGATGTGGCCGAGAGAGTAAACGAGAACCATGACGGTGAGTCCCCAAACGACGGCGATACCTGGAAGAGTCACCACTTTGTCGTGTTGGGTGTTTACTGCCACCGATGCACAACCAGCGAATATCAAAAAGTACGTTCCCAGAATCTCCGCCATCAACTGAAACAAAACAGAGCAATTTCACACACACACACACACACACACACAAAAACAGAGTATTTTTTATTTCAACTCGAAACACAGTTTCTGTTTTTCAATTGTAAGAGGAATTTTTATGGATCAACTTAAGATAAATTTTATAGATCCGTGAGATATTTTTTTGCTTTTTTGTTTTTATCTAGAAAAAAAGGTTTTGGAGGGACAAAAGTGAAAACCTTTTGTAAGAAAGGGACAGAGATGGAGAGGAGCGAATCATGTTTCTTCAGTGGTTTCGGGTTATGAATAGCTTCTCTTTGTTGTTGAAGTTCGTCTTCTTCCTTGAGGTTCACAACCACTGCTCCATCTCTAGCGTCGCCATGGCCATTTCCCGAGATCTCCGCCATAACTGGTTTTATTCTTTCTCTTTTCAGCAACAAAGAAGACAAAAAATACGAATCAACCTTAAAGGACTGTTATGACTTGTGAAAGAGTTTGGTGGCGATTATCTCCAATTTATTGGCAAATCGAGAGAGGAGAGAGAGAGAAAGAGATTGGACTTCTTTGGCGATCTTAATTTTGATTAAATTTAAAGACGATAATATATTTAGGAAACTATATATTATTACACATGATAGCCCTAACACATCTATATATTAAACTATATATTTGACCATTACTTTGCCTTATATAAAACTTAACACATCTCTGTTTTCCTTATATACAACACAATCTCTAAATAAATAACTTTGTGGATAAGATATAGATTTTTATCAAAAAATAATAAGGAATTTATAAACATATATATTCCTTCATTGGTTCATCTGAAACTTTAGTAAAATGGATGAACTTATGAATCTATTAGTATTTCTGTATATTCTGTGTAGCTATAAATTGTGATAATTATACATCCTCAAATACTTGCAAATTTTTTCCTATATTTTTCTAAGTACTGATTCAAAATATTTCCTATTTTCTTAGTATGTATTTCATGTACTAAATCACTAAATGTGGATAAATGTGACCTTATCCGTAAAAAGTGTATTTCCTGAAGTTGAAAAGGAAAATCATTTATCTTGTACGTCATGTGGTTAATGTGATCGTCATATCATTAATGCTGCACTTATCCATTTTCCAGAAATATACACATTATGCCCGGTGAATCTTGCTTTGGATTATTGGATAATGAACTAACCGTTTCCGTAAAGTTTTTGTCTGTATTATTATTTTACAAAAAAAATAGATTTTGGCTTCCTTATTTTATTAAAATTCATTTCGTCTGAATGGCATTCTAGAAAAAAATAACACGGTAAGATTTCAAGAAATAGGACAAAAAAAAAGATTTACCAAAAAAAACATACCAAAAAAATAAAAACTCAAGGCAGAATATCAAACTTCACTTAGTATTTCAGATCAAATGTATTCATGTAACCAGGTTAGACAATCAATGCAAGGTAAGACTGGTGACGATCATCTCGAGTAACACTCTTTGCTATGTCTAGCAATGGAGTTGGAAGTACGATACATCACCAATTCAATTGAGCAGTTTGTGAAGAAAGGTACCACTCGAAAAATATGTTCCAACAACGTACTTTAGCGTGACCATTCCGAAGACTTAGATACAATAATCTAATCTTTTTTAAATCGGATATGGAATCTTGTGCTCACCCCTACCAGTCATATGTTGAGGCACCTAAATTTCTTCGTATCATATAGAACCAAAAAAGAAAAATGTCATGCAAGCGTTACAATAATTATATCATTTATGAGAAATTGAAAAGTGCCACTTGATGGAATTGATGAAGGCTTCTTCAAGTCTTCAACTACCAACCGGAAATATGGACGCACTTTATTTAGTTGGGCCTCCATATAATTTCTATTTGTATATTCATACACAGTATAAGAGTTACTCTAGAATATGTACTTTTCCCCTACAATCCGTGTTTCAATATCTTCGTATATATGATGGTAAATCTGGTTCACATTGTCACATATACATCAATAGTTTTAATGTTAGTTCCACTTCCACATGTGCCAAGAAGTTGAGTACGTATGAAGTATGCTGGTCGTGACAAGACAAATCGGATATGTGAAATGGAATGTGAGAACATACATTTATACATTCAGGAGATCCATAGAATTAGATCCATAAAAAAAAAAAAAAAAAGAATTAGAATTCTTCATGATATTTGAGAAATTTTAAGAAATACATCTCTTGAGGTGCAAATTTTCAAAACTACACCTATAATGTGGAAATTTTCAAAAATACACTTTTTCCTAATTTAAATATATATGTTTGGGTTCACTAATCCTAGATTAGGGTTTAGATTTTGGGGTTTAGGGTTTAGATTTAAGGGTTCAATGTTAGATTTTAGGGTTTTGAGTTCTTTTACTAAATGGAAAAAGTGTAGTTTTGAAAATAGGCACCATAGAGGTGTATTTTTGAAAATTGGCACCTCAAAAGGTGTAGTTTTGAAATTTTCCCATGATATTTCCAATTTCTCTTCTTCTGTTTTTGTTCCCTAGAATTTCATAAAGCTGTAGCCAGGAAATAATCAACGGAACTATATAAGCGCAGAAAGTTATAAGAAAAGGAATGATCTTATTGAATGCACAATTAATGTCTTGTTTTATTCATAATAACTATGTCATCGAATTTCAACAAAATTTCTCATATCACGATCTACTCATAAGTCCTTTTATGGGTCGAGTATACTAATGTTATTGACATGATTCAGAAGTTTCTTTTATGGAGGGACTTTGACTTCTACGTCCATCGAATTTGAAAGTTTCAATTAAATAATAGTATGAAAAAAAAACAATAATTAAAGACTTTTTGTCATAATTATGATTTAATTATCCACCACCATAACTGAAATTTGTACTTTAACGAAGTGACTTCTTGTATGGTTACAATTTTCTCCAATGCGCATGCAGATTCTCTAACCTCCCACTATTTACATTTACCTTCAACAGAGATCCCATTCCCACATCACTTTATTGATTCATGCGTCTTTTGCATTGCTATATTTGACTAATTAACCAACAAAATGACTGCTGGCTTTAAATGATACGAATATGGTTAAATTATTAACAATACTAAACCAAGATTTTGTAACGATCTCAGGCTTTTGACTCTTAACTCATAAAGATGGAAATTAGTTAAGATTTCATGTGTTTTGTGGCAGACAAAGACTTTTTTACTAGACATTGCTGTTTCTTTTTCTCTGTTGAAATTAGTTACCTACTGTCGTAGAAGTCGTTAGTATAACATAATCACAGTTCCCAATCGGGTTCTTAAATATTGAACTTATATCATTATATGTGGTCTATGCTTTAGAGCAATGTACGTAGTAGCATAAAGAGTACTTCAATTTTATTTTGTATCAGTTCACCATGTCACTTGCGTTTGATACATTAATATTTATTCATTAAACATATGATAATATTAACATATGTAATCAGATTTAAGAGAGATAGATGTCACCGTTTAACATGTTCAATCATATTTAAAAGAGGTAGATGTCACATACGCCTTTAGTCTGCACATAGTCAGACATAAACACAATTAACGAAGCTCCAACCCTCAAGTCTGATAAGTGCCTGAGTCAATGTTAGATTCTCAAAACCATTAATGTATACCATCCTTTTTGAGTTTTCTCTGGTATTTGGCTTTCCCGTCTACACTTGACTAGCGGGCAGGGAACTCGCTCAGCCTCACACTTGACAAGATGACTAGAATCACACGGAATTTGTACACGAACAATGGTTGAGCAGAAGAAACAACAACGATGATAGAGGAGATTCCACAGGAGAAGTGATTCTCAAGCAATAATGAAACTAATGTCAAACTTTCAGAGGTAAGAAGAGCTTAAGAGAAGAAAACCAACTTTATAAATTCTCAATGTGTATCAAAACCTAGTTTTGCCTATCACCGTGACAATAGCATATCAAAATATGGAATATTCTACTAACAATAGATTCCTATATCAAACGAGAACAAAAGGAATCAAAAGAGACTAATTTCGCATGACAAAGATGCAAAAATACAGTATATAAGAGTGGTAAAGTCATAAACGCAATTAAGCATAACTAGAGAGCAAATATCAAAGTTTTTGATGAGTTACTTAGTTGATGCGAAAGAGTCATATTGCTTGGTCAAAAAGAAAAAGAAAAACCAAGAAGATTTTGACATTGCAACGATCAAAAACGAGCCTATGGGTTAAATGCACAAGGTGCTCTTCTTAAAGTCCACCATGCAATTGTAGCTAGATAGAGATGATAAAATGGAATGTCGTCTTTTAGTGTGATTGGTAAAGCTGGTTCGAACATTAGAAAGATAAGAAGTAGAAGTGGAGCTAGTGTTGAGGCTGTTTCGAAAGATGTTACGTATCCTTCACATGCTTGTGCCATGGAGGTTGACAATATAGTTCTGGTTAGCATCTTAAGTTTTTCAAAGATTTTTTTGCAATCCATAAGCATATCTTGGGTTGATTCCATTTGCTAACTTTTCTTGATGTTTTTTGTCTTACTATCGAGAAGATATTAAGCCTAAATGTGTAAAAGCATGTTTTAGCAACTACAATAATGAATGAACTCAAATACATAAGAGTTGAACATATTATTTATTTTTTTTTTTTTTTTTTGTCAACATAAGGTTCTTTCCATTACTCAAACTAGAGTTGGAGTGTTTAACCACTCCGGAATAGAAAAACCAACAAAGGAAACGATCCGCCACTCTTAAGAATTCAACAAATCTATAAGCTTACATCCTCACACGATAAACCATAAAGAAAAAGAACAAGAAGCTGCAAAATTTTGGCATGAGCGTGATCGAATCTAGTGATCATCACAGTTTCAAAGAAACAAGTTGTCCTTGTGGTGGGATTTTCAAGATCGATTGCTCCCATATTTATGAGCGACATTAGTGTCCAATAGCGTATCCCAAACCTGCAAATATAAACACAAGATAAGTTCGAATCTTCCTTACAAAAACGATTTGAATTAGTTTTCTTGTTGTATCAATCTCCACTCACATGTAGCTCTCCCTTTGAACCACCAATAGCAAGCAAGAAAGGGTTGTCCCCTGAGAAGGCAATGGAGAAGACAGCTCCCTGGTGACAGAATCAGAACCGTAAGAAACAACGAAGCAGAAACTAATGGTGACCCAAAAAAAAAAAGAAGACTTGAGTTGATTGGTTCTTACAGCTTTTGGTTTGTGTGAAGCAATGCATGAAGGCTCATTGTTTGAAAGATCCCAAAGTTTGACCGTTTTATCCATGGACCCAGTAGCCAAAAGCTGTTGATTACAACTCATAAATGGTGAGAACTGATTACAAAAACAAAATATGAAATGCTACAAGGACATCGAGAGAGATGTACATTGGGTGCAGACAAGTTGTATGAGATGGAGGAGACTCCTTTGTCTTGGTCATGTGCTTGGATAGTGAAGCTTGGTCTCAACTCAGAATCTGAACCTGACTGTGCGGCACGTATGTCTAAACCTTTCACAGTTCCATCCTCGAGACTTACCTAAGAGAGACGATTAGTTAAAAAAGTGTTTATAAAAGTGTCTATCACAAGAAAGAAGGAAAGTGTAATTCACCACAAAGGAGTGTTCACAGTGGGGATCCCAGGCTAAGCTTTCGACATCAGACTTGACAGACCATGTGAAACCCGAGTGTGAAGGTTGTCTTCCGTCTTTCTGCAACATAGGATATACAATCCGATATCAATGATAATCGTCAGTAAAAGATTGGAACATGCCGACATAAAACATGGAAGAAAGCAGTTTACCAATACAACAGTTTGATCAAACGATCCACTGAGAAGCACTTCTGGAGCATAATGGTTCCAAGCAACAGCTTGAACCTATTAAACCACACAACAATAAACCATGAGAACATATTCAATATAATTAAGGAATATATCATCCAATGAAGTCATGTTCTTACCTCTTTTGTGTGATGCTCCATAGTAATCTTACATGTTCCAGTAGCTACATCCCAAACCTTCACTTTTTTGTCGGCACTACCACTAGCAAGTATATTCCTTTTATCCCAATAAATTTCACAAGAACATCAGACATGTCAAAACAAACAAACCAGAAGAAACTTTCAATGATGGGGCACTAGTAAAAGCTTAAACGTACCGAAACTCCTTGTTCCAAGCAAGACCAAGTACTGAATCAGTGTGGCTACCTTCTTTGTATATCTAAGAATAAAAGACCAAAAATTCAAATGAATGTATAAATTAGAACTTGCCATTAGCTTAAAAAGAACAAGAAAGAGACGAGTTTGATGTGGCACACCTGCTTCTTCTTGATCTTCTCTTTCTTACTCTTCTTCTTCTTCCTTATCTTCGTCTCGTCTATTCCTCCAAGTTGTACACAAGGTAACACCTCGTCCCTCTGAAACATTATCATAATCTTATTAACAGTGTCATGATTGATAAGAGCAAACATGAATACAAAGACAGTTACTTTCACATACAACGTCAAGATCCCATATCTCTATTGTCGGTGTGTCCTTTGAACCAATAGCTACGAAATTCCCTGCCAATACATAACCAATAAAACAGAGTAAATAATCTATTTTCATCCATAACAAGAAGCAAAAGCGTACACTAACCTTTTTCTCCTCCTTTAAGAGGACAATCCATCCACGCAGTACACAAAGGAAACTCCGGTATAATTATGTGATGATGAACATACATGTTTGGTGAGCCATTTGATTCCTCGTACACATAAACCTGGTCATACATATACAGATGTCATAAGATCTCCAAATGTTCAACATTTAAACCTACAGAAGCTGAGAAGGATTCACCATTACCTCGAGATGGCTCACTTCATCTTCATTCCGAGCACAGATAATCACCGAATCGGTTGGCTTGATTGTCGTATCATCAATGTCCTCATCATCATCGTCCTCATCATCCTAAAAAGATCAAAACTTTATATACTATACACAGAGACATTTCGAAGATCAATAAGTTTGAAACAAGTGGATATATGGCTTACAGCAGCATTCTTCAGATATGGATCCATCTCGTTACTTGGATAATAAAGATCACCAAGCCCAGAGCTGAAAAGTTCGACTCCTGATCTCAACACAACAGAGAGAGGTTAACTTTAATCAAGATCATTACTTGTGAGCCATTGTTGTACAATCACCAAAAAAAAGCTACAACGTACCATCATCCTCTTCGTCGTAATTATCCATGTCGAGCTCTTTCAAGCCATCAGCTACATCATCAACCTCCATCGACAAGGAGGAAGCATTCTTGCTTTTGGAAGATTTGCCAAAAGCTTCAGCTACAGCCTTTGCACGATCAACTTCACTAACCTCGTCTCCATCTTCTCCGATCTCTTCCTCATCCTCGTTACTTCCGTCGTCCACACTGTTCACAAATAAACTAATTTCATTTTCGCATTTCCTAAGTTAAGAGAGAAACGGGAAGAGTAAAAGAGAGAAAAAGAATCACCTTCTGGAGAAAGCTCCACTCTCGATGAGCTCTCTGATCTCTTCCTTTGAAGGAGGTTCAGCAACATCAGGAACGGCTTTTAGAGACCCTTTCGGAATCCATGAAACTGAAGTTATCATTCTGCAAAAAGGCGAAATCAATGAAATTCAATTAATCAATTTCGGAATAAACCACCCAACACTGGATTTGAATTGAACAGAGAGAGAGAGAGTCACTGGTTATGCGATTTGAAAACATGGCAATCAAATTTTGATTACCTTTCTAAAAGGAATCAAAGAGAACTTACGTTTAGAAACGAGAGGTAAGAACGCGGCGGAGAAGGAAGGTGAAGAACAAACAAAGTGAGAGAGGGTTTATTAGGGTTTAAGAATCGAAGACTTGCTTCTGTGTGAGGACTGTATTGAGAAAGAGAGGTAGCGGCGCTAAGCGACGAAGAAGGACGAAGAAGGGAAATAGAAAAACCTTAAAAGTTTTAAATATTGTATTCAAATCCCTTAACTTCGAAAATTGCATAGATAACCCAAAATTATTAAAAATGCAATTAAGTGAAAAAAATGTCGTGGTTAACTTTAGTCTGTGTGATTTAGCCTAATGGTAAACAGCATCATGTTTAAAAGTGGTGAAACCAATGTGGAATTTTCTCTTAGATGGAGTTGGAGAAATTGATAATTTAGACTTTACAGAAAAGTTTGTAATCGTCGATTTTAGTTATACTGTATCTGGATGAAAACAGCTTATAATATGGGACACGGGGAGTATTATCTGAAGTTTAGAGAGACTACAAAGACCCACTAGTAAGAAAATCGTCGGTTTCTTAAACAAAATATTTCTTAAGAAACATTCTGAGTTTTGTTTTATTTAACTTTACCTACAAAATCAAAAACTGGTTTTGCCAACACATAACATAATACAACGTAACCTAATGTAACTCAAAAATCTACTAAAGAAAATAAAAAACAATATATTTTTTGTTTTACTAAGTCTGATAAAACTCATGAGCCTTTGTTATGGGTCTAATGAAACATTCACCATCAAAGAATAAACATCCATTTCATATGGAAAACTAAAACAAAACTACATGAATGGAAGAAAGATAATAACTACAAAATTTAGGTTGCGTGCGTTCGAATCAAAACTACCAAATCACAGCTTGACTGGATTTTTCATGGTCGGGCTTGGCTGCTTCCGTATCTACGGGAGACATTAGTGTCCGAAAGTGTATCCCAAGTTTTTAACACCCCCTTTGTGCCACCCATAGCGAGTAAAAAAGGATAATCCGTGGAGAAAGCAATGGAAAATAAGCATCCCTGTGTCATATCAAAATTTTATTTTTTTAATGAACAAATCAAGAATCAGGTTAGTAAGATAAAGTGAACTAAAGATTTATTGTTAATTGACTCTTACAGCTCTTGATATGTGTGTAGCAATGCATGAAGGCGCATTGTTTGAAAGATCCCAAAGCTTTACCGTTGTATCCATAGATCCCGTTGCCAAAAGCTGTTAGACAAAAAAATAATTATTGATATATATATTTTCAAATTTTAGTGTTTGATTTGTTCCATTCAGAGTTTTTTTCGAACGAATCATATGAATAAGAGACTTACATTAGGCGCGGAAATATTGTATGAGACGGAGGTGGCTGGTTTGGCATGTGCATGGATAGTAAAACATGGTTTTGGATCGGAGGCTTGACGTACATCAAAACCCTTTACAGTTCCATCTTCGAGACTTACCTATAATCAAAGGGGAAAAAAAACATGTCTTAACCGGTAAGAATATCAGACTAAAGTGTAAACTAAGACTTTTAGCAAAAAAGAAAAAAAAAACAACGCACCACAAAGGAGTGTTCACAATGTGGATCCCATGCTAAGCTTTCGACTTCGGACATGACTGACCATTTGAAACCCGAGTACGAAGGTATTCTTACGTCTTTCTGCAACATAAATATATATATACACACAAACCAATATTAATAATCATCAATTGTTTATTGATAATGACTTATGCTTCGGTGGTTCGTGTTTGCCATTTGCATTTTACATGTATTGAGAAAATCTTATGAAATACTAGAAATGGTTTCTGTTTCATGTACGTACTTTTTACTGTTCATAAAGCTTAAAAGCAAAATAAAAATTATGTTTGAAAAGAATAACAATCGAAACACTTACTAATACAACAGTTCGATCAGTCGACCCGCTGAGAAGTACTCCCGGAGCAAAATGATTCCAAGCAACCGCTTGAACCTGTTAACCAGTTTAATCCGAAGTTTTATATCTTGTATTTTAGGGGAAGTTTCAATAGTTACTAGGAAAATGAGCCTCAAGAACACTAGTACTAGTTTGGGGAGATGACTAAATTTATCTATCTGCTTTAGGCCCTTGATCCTACAAGATTAGGGACAAAAATCCCGAAAATATAAGATAAAGAAGGAATTTGATATTAATGGTTATACCTTCCTTGTGTGATGTTCCATAGTAATCGTACATTTTCCAGTAGCCATATCCCAAACTTTAACTTTTCTGTCTACACTGCCACTAGCAAGTATATTCCTTTTTTTCCCAGTAAAGTTATAAACAAGAGGGTTAATAATCAAACACGTTTGTAAAGAAGAAAATCAGAAGAAATAGAATCAATCATGTACATACCGAAACTCTTTGTTCCAAGCAAGTCCAAGAACTGATCTAGTGTGACTACCTTCTTTGTAATTCTAAGACAAAAGACGAGAAATCAATTAACAGATGCATCTGGTACATATTGTTGTTGCAACTAAACCAAATTAAATATAACTCACCCCTTTACTGTTTTTTCCTCCTAGTTGTACAAAAGGTAACACCTCACCTTTCTGAAGCATTGCAAACAACTTCAATTACAATACAGTTTGATATAAGAGAAACAAAAATATGCAAAAGGATGATTGGTTTCTTTTTACATACAACGTCAAGATCCCATATTTCTATTATGGGTAATTTATGCGAACCAACAGCTAGAAAATTCCCTGCAAATACGAAACGTAAAAGATATATAAATTTTGATGACATTACATCCATAAAGAGAATGACATTGGGATGATTAATAAAAAAAAGTTACTGATACATATCACTAGTTAACCTTTTTCCCCTCCTTTAAGTGGACAATCAAGCCAAGCAGTACATAAAGGAAATGCTGGTAAAGGTAACGAATCATGAGGAACCATGTTTGGAGAGCCATTTGATGCTTCCTCGCATACTAGAACCTGGTCATACATATTCATATAAGTTCCATATCCGGATATGTGCAGCCAAATAAATAGATAAAAATGCGAGAAGGATTGACAAATTACGTCTAGAGAGTTGGCTCCATTGTCGCTCTTAGCGCAGACAATCATTGAATCGGTCGGTAGGATTGTCTTCGTCTCATCATCCGAGTCGTAGTAGTGATCCTAAAAATATGAATATTTTTTTATTGTATGTGTTATGATACGTTTCCATGAAAATATAAAAATAGTGATACGGAATTACATTAATCTTCGTCAAGTATGGATCCATGTCGTTACTTGCATAATAAAGATCCCCACGTCCGGAGCTAAACAACTCAATTTCTGAATCCAAACACACAATGGAAACGGAGTTTGAATTTTTGAGGGCCTCTATAATCTCTAGCTAGGAGAAAAAATATAAAAAAGCCAACATACCATCATCTTCTTCATCGTAATTATCCATGTCGAGTTCTTGCAAACCATCATCAACCTCCATTGAAGAAGAAGCATTCTTGCTTGTAGAAGATTTTACAAACTCTTCAGCTACGGCTTTCGCATGAGCAACTTTATCACCATTCTCTTCATCATCGTCAGTCTCTTCTTCTTCTTCATCCTCACTATAAACTTGACCACAAATCTCTTTGAGCTTTTCGATATCTTCCTTAGAAGGAAGTTCAGCACGAACGGGGACGGCCTTTGCAGCCCCTTTCGGCACCCATGACAATGCACATATCATCATCTTTCTGCAAACGTTAAAAATAATTAAACGACCAGCGTAAGTTTACAAACGAGATACAAAATAAACCTAAGCCCTTAGGCTTTTCAGCCTCTCACTAAAACCCTAATAGAAACAGCATATACGACAGATTTCTCAAAAGCCACTTTAAACCAGAATTTCGAAATATCACAAGAAAATCATAACAAAAAGCGTCAAGTAAAAGTTACACCAATTTTCTCAAATTCGAAGGTCGAGTCGAGAGGGAAGACAAGATACTATAGTGATAGAAGAATAATGTAAAAAAGTCTACTAAGAGGAACAAAAAAAAGAAGCAAATTAACTCTTCGGAAGACGACTCATCCATGTTTATGAATCTCTTTAATCGAATAATCAGATTTGACACCTTAACAAACTTGCTCTGGATGATCTCTATCGAGATAGAGAGAGCGGTGGAGACACTTAATAAAGGGTTCGGTTTCGTTAACCTTTTTCACAAATTCATTTAATTTAGTTATGGGCCTTATTGCTACCTCATTAAGAACAATTGGGCATTTTAAATGGATCCACTTAGCAATTCAGTGATACAGTACAATTTGTGCAATTACGTTGAAGTCTTAGGTACTTGCCGTCCAGAAAAGCATATTGTCGCGCTTTTAATTTACGTTCGTTAATTAAAAAAATCAGTCACACATGTGGTCGTCATTGTTAGTTGACTTTGGCATACGTACGACTTCTTGGACATATGTTTACTCTTCCAACGTAATCCAGTTTTCTGTTAAGTATATCTTTACTTCTTTAGTCAGTCTTAAGTCTTAACAATGTAAAGAAAAGGAATCTTCAAACTAATTTCTTTTTGCAAATCAAAATCTTAGTTAAAAACTGTGCAAATTAAACTCTAAAGTCAAAAAAAACTCTACAATATAGAACCTCTATATATTTGTGCAAAATTGAAAACGATTTTGGCCAAAAACCTACTCACTAATTTTTATATAAATTTAACCCCCCAACTTAAAAATTATACAAGCCAAACCTGTAAAGACAAAAGTTATCGTCAAAATGTGAATTTTGATGGAAAAAAGACATTCAGAAATCAAATTATACTATCCAAAATATTCTCTTATGATAACGGAAAAAAAATGTTGGAAACGGAAAGTTTATAACTAAAAATTATATACTTAAACGTCTTATTAAATCGGGAAAACTGAAAATGAAAAAAAAATGGTAATTTGGATTACCTGTTTCAAAATTAAAAAGCATTATTAATATTTTTCTTAAATTTTCCAAAACTTTCCCATATTTTTCGTATTTTCCTAAAATCTTTTCAATTTGCCGTCCAAAAAGATATTGTCGCAGTTTAATCATCTGGTCGCCATTGTTCGTTGACTTTGGGTTACGTACGACTTCTTGGACGTATCTTTTTGGTCTTCCAACGTAATCTAGATTTCTGTTATATTACAGTTTACATGTAAGTCATACAAAATTTTCAACGAAAGAGATTTACATATACTTTCTCACGTTCAAACATGGTTATAAAAGTCCAACTTGGCTTCACTATTCTATACGAATCCCATTAAGATGATAACATAACTAATCTCAAATCGATTTTCCATAAATATATGTTTCAAAGAAAACTTGGAGAGATAAAATAGATTCTAACTACAACTTTAGTCAAAAGCCAACCCAAAAAAAAAAAAAAAAACAGAGTTCAAAATGTTCTTTTTTTTTTCCTTTCTTTCTCTCAATCACCTTTCATCATCACACTGAAAAAAAAAAACAGACAAAAAAAGATGAAAAAAAAGGAAGACATTAAATTAATCTGACAAGAGAGACATTCATTCTTCTCTGAAATCATCATCATCTGGTTCTTGAGTTTCCAAGTGTAAGTTCTAAATCATCTGAAACGCATTCTCCATGTATCCTTTCTCCTTCCCAAGGCTTCACCATTCCAAACGCAGCAATCGCGTTACAGCCAAACGCAAACTCAGCCGCCATTCCATCAGCCATTGGCACATCAGCGTTCTGATCAACGCCAGCAGGAATAGCCGGAGAGCAGTTTCCACTCTGTCCAGGAGTCCACATTGGCGAGTTATAATCTCCCATTTTAAAAGCCTCTTTGTCGAAAAACGGGTTTCTTGAAACTAAGCTGAAAGTAGGAGAGGACGGTCCGCTCTGTGGAGTCTGCATTCCAGAGAGCCATCCGGAGTCAGGGATGGTTACTTGATCACGAGTAGGGCTTCGAGCCAATGGTGGAGTCACTGGAGCGCTTATGGAGTTTCCATGGAAGAAAGGAAGCTTGGAAGGTGAGTTTGAAGAGAGGTTCTTGAGCCAAGGGATTAGTGAGTTTGCGTCACCAAATGGGTTTGTAGGACTTGGGAATGAAGAAGACGAAGGGCTTGGATTGTAGGAACCACGAGGGCTTGGTTGGTACGATGAGCATGGACTCGCTGATGTAGAGCCATTCATGAGTTCCATTCGATCCATTGGTTTGCATCCCTACAAGACAAGAGTTGAAAGAAATGTCACAAACATATAACTAAAACATTCCATTTCAAGCAGAGCAGTTTATAAAAGAACAATCTTTTGACATGAGAGGATTAATTACATAGAGAGTTTAAAAATGTTCTTTTTTTTCCTTTTTGTGAAATGCAAAATGATATTATGATTGAAAATTGAAAATACAAATGCACCAAGGAAAGAAAAAGTAAGGGACAATGATTTTGTTTGGTTTTTATTTTATAATGGTCAAAGAACAAAATCTTTGCTAATGGATAGAGAAAATCTCAAAAAGAACAATCTTTGCTAATGGGTTTCGTTACATAATCCAAAAAGAGAGCTTAAAAATGTTACTTTTAACGAAAACCAAAAGCTGGTGAGCACGAACAAGATGACACCATGATTGATAGTTGAAAATCCAAATGCAACTAAGAGGGAAAGGAGAAAACAAAGAACAATGATTTTCTTTGGGCTTTTAATGGTCTAATAATGAATAATTTCCCATTTCATTTTTTTCCCCACACAAGCAAAATCCAAACATCATCATTAGGTGTTGGCAAAAGGGTAATCATTTTACCAGTCGAACCATTGACTGAGTAAACAAGAATTAGGACCATTGTTACTTCTTTAACTATTTAAAAATTTAAACCAACAACAATAACACTCGTGGAAACTATATGGATCACACGAGTCAAGAATCCAAGTTTATCTTTGATAAAAAAAAAATTCCTAGTAATTACTAAATCCACAGCTACATAAGGTCAAAAATGGGATCTTTTTGGTAAGAGAATTAACTTATTTTGATGACAATTTAGCAAAAATGAAAGTACTTTAAAAGTATAAATGTGAACGTAAGCACAAAAAGAAAAAGGTTTGTCGATAAAATTTTGTGATTCAGGAAAAGAAGAAATTAGAATTTCAGAGAAAGCGTCAGTCTGAAAAGAAAAGAAAAAAACCATGTGATAAAAGAATGAAGAAAGCAAGAAAAAGTCTTCCTCGATCGTTGTACTAAGGAATCCAACCCATTACCAGTGGCAGTTTCGTGAAACAGACTTGTCCTAAAGTTTTTTAATTTAAAGTTTAAACAAAGCAAAAGGTGACCAAAGAAAAACACAAAAAGAACGAAATTTTCTCAAAGCTAAACGAAAGTGATAATCAAAATGACGATTATACCCAGAAGAATTCTTGTTAGACCGTGTGAATGCGTGACTGCCTAAGGGTAGTTTAGTAATTACGTTATATTCTCATCTGAAAGTGAACAGAGAGTGTAAATTCGACGAAAAACATCAGCGAATCTTACGACATTTCATGCGTTTGTTTCAGTTCTCACCGGAGCGGTTTCCATCTGACGTTTGCAATGACGACTAAACCGGACAAAATTAAATCACAACCGTACGAATTGCATCACCGTAATCAAAATTAACGTTTGCTTTCCCCTAAAATCAAAAGCCTCAGATCTATCTAATCACAGTTTCAAACCCAAAACAATTGACCAAAGAAAAGTAAAAAGGAAAAAGAAAGAAGAAGAAAGATATGAGGATCGAGTTTTTTTAGGTTTACCTTCCGGTAAGTGGTTCCGTCTTCTTCAACTGTCCATCCAGCTTCGTTGCAAAGAGCTTTGAGGACTTCGTTGTTATCGCAGTGTTTGGGGAGCTTGAAGTTCCCATGAATCCGAAGTCCCGCAAAGATCTTCGCCGCAATCGCGCGTCTTCGCCGCTCTCGCCGTTTGTTGTTCTCTCTCTCTTTCCAAGTCGGCGTTCGAGTTCCCGAAGTCATCTTCGGATCACCGCAAATCGGGAAAATGGCGTCGTTTTGCTTTGTTTTCTCAGCTCACGACGAGAAGAGATTACTCGCCGGTGGAAAACAAGTTTGGCGCTTTTTTCTCTTCTTTCAATCTTTTTTCGTTTCGAGGATTTCTGTGCGTTTGAGTTTTTTTCTTGGTGAAGTAATAAATGTAGAAGCACTTGAGCTTAGCTGGGTGAAAAAAAAAAAGAAGGCGAGGTATGCTAGTTAAAGGACAAAATTACCCTTCTAGTAAATTGTAATCTTCAAGCATACCCCTTATGTGTTAACACGTGCTCTTGGTTTTTGTTAAATGGAGCAGAAAATGGAAAATTTGCTTGACTACAAACGACGCCGTCTTGGTTATATTATGAAGTTTTAGTTTTTTTCCGTTGAATAAAGTAGTTACTCTTCTATGATGCCATATTAAAAAAGTCAAGAATATCAAGCTGCTTTATAATATCTTTTGCTTTGTGTCAACATAAATGTTTATTTTGGTGTATAATAAATCTAAGGGTTTTGTGCAAAACAACCCTCAAACTAAATTCATTTTGCAAATCAAACCCTCAATTTAAAGTTGTGCAAATCAAACCTCTGAAGTCAAAATAACCCCGCAATATAAGACATCTCTATATTTGTGACAAAATTTAAAATGATTTTATGCAAAACAACTCGCGAACTATTTTTTGTGTGCAAATCTAACCTTCAACTTAAAAAATATGCAAGTCAAACCTGCAAAGTCGAAAGTCACTGCTAAAATGAACTTATATGTATTTGTCCATAACTACAAACGTTGACTCAAAACGTCATGACATTTATAATATTTTAACAATTTTTATTAAAAATACTTAAAACAATAATTCAATATTTCTTCTTTTTTTCTCCATCAATAAGGAGAGGGTTAGGATTTTTAACCAAATCCAAAAAAACTAAACCGTAGCCAATCCAGAAAATCAAAACCGAACCAACTTACTCACAATATAGTTACTTGGAAGATCTGAAGTCCTATGTCTTTATGAGCCTCTCTCGAATAATTCTATTGCAAGTAAATTAGTTCTTATCTTTGTCTCTTCGTCGTCATTAGTTAATGAGATCATGAAGAAAAGAATCAACTTATTCGCGATAAGATTACTCGAGATAAATTTATTAATAAGAGGAGAAAGAGAAAGGAAATTAAAGATTAAAGTTTTTTGTTTTTTTTTTTTTTAATTTACTTTTAATAAAAATGGTTAAAATATTATTAATGTCATGACGTTTTGAGTCAACGTTTGTAGTTAAGGACAAATACATATAAGTCCATTTTAGCAGTGACTTTCGATTTTGCAGGTTTGACTTGCATATTTTTAAGTTGAGGGTTAGATTTGCACATAAAAAATAGTTTGCGGGTTGTTTTGCATAAAATCATTTTAAATTTGTCACAAATATAGAGATGTCTTATATTGCGGGGTTATTTTGACTTCAGAGGTTTGATTTGCACAACTTTAAATTGAGGGTTTGATTTGCAAAATGAATTTAGTTTGAGGGTTGTTTTGCACAAAACCCTAAATCTAACTTCTATAATGTGATTTAACAATGTTCGTCTCCCAATGCAGAATTGTTCCAACTATGGACTGTGACTATGAATTAAAAGTAAAATTATATTCCTTCCAAATCTAAAAAAGTAAATTTTCTAAGGATTTCCATATATACATATCAAAAAGATAAATTAAAATTTAACCGTAAATATATTGTTTTCTGATTAATAATTTCCTATGCTAGATCAGTAATTTACTAATTTCAAATATTTTATTCATCAGTACTACCTAATTAAAAATATGTGAAAACATACAACTTTTGAAAATAAAATTATTTTTTTAGGAATGAGAGAAGTATTTTGTTAGTAAATCTTGATTTACCTCAGCTAATTGCTTAGTTAGTTAAAATAATTGTGACTCCAAAATACGTGGCAGAGATTGCGGCATCTTGAGGAATGTGACAGGTCACACCTTTTGTTTTGGAGGGACCACACATTAGTTTTTATATCTAATCATGACCGTTAAATCGGGTGGGTCACGTGATGCTCCCGATCTGCTTCCCATCCGCTTGTCATTGCTCGTGAATCGTTTTGCTTTTCTATTTTTTTTGGTGGGTAAAACTCGTTTTGCTCTATTTCATTAGTTACTTTTTAGTTTTTAGTCTAAGTAATTAGAATAAACAAGCAATTTGTTTATGACATATAGTTATTACTTATTAGTTAGCTATTACATAGGCACAGCCGCACAGCGCATCCATCTGTTACCCAAACAAAATATGTTCGTACAACTACTCCTATATATAACACATGCATGATAAGATATGTGCGTGATATCTTGTGTACCCACATACATAGGCACGGGCCTGGGAACGAAAGCAGCACCTATGCTACGATTCCAGATTACTTCTAAGTTCTAATGAACACAACATTTATGTTTTTATCTACACATGCCCTTAGTTATCCGACATTATGTATTTGTAGTACTATCTCGTTGCCTTTTATGTCTAATTGTCTATGTATGTGTGTTATTTGGACTTTGTGTATAGCAACTATTCATCACACGTTGTGTTGAAACATTATATCTCATCTTAATCAAACACTATATATGTACTTATGAAAGAGACACTTTCGTCCGACCCCAAAAGTAAAATAACCACATTCTGCTGCATGTTTTCACGGCCTTTATACTGTAACTGATAACGCGATTATATGTTGGTTGTCAATTCCACATGACATAATAGGTTAAGTTTGATTTACCTTTTCTAGAAGAAGAGTGTTATCCTGAATTACTCTTCTTTTTTTTCCTAACGATTCTGATTAATCTTGATGTATTGAATACCTTTGTTATTGTTATCGTTTTTCTTGATGGATATTAATACTATAAGAGAGATATTTCTTACTGGAAACATTTTAATTTGATTTTTTTGTCTTGGAATTTTGGAATATAGCGAAGACGGGACAGTGAACTAAGCACGTACGTACGCAATTGTTTAAAGAAAAGTCAGAGAAGAAAGTTTATAGCTCGTAACTAAACTATGGTACATACTACATAGTACATTTTTTTAAAATAATTATGGTACATGGTATCGGTGATCGTATGAGTAAACGATTGTGCACTTGAAGTCAGGTAAGATACACTACAAGAAAACAGTCATTTTGCAACGAAATTTTACAACGAATTTATTTCGTCGCAAAATAACATCAATTTAGCGTCGATATTACGACGAAACACACATCGTTGTAAATTCGTCGTAAATCGGGACGATCAGCAGTCGAGTAAATTCGTCGTTAAATAGCGACGTTGTTGCGACGAATTAACAACGTTTATATGTTTCGTTGGTAAATCGTTGTAAATTTACGACAAATTGACAACGACCGTATTTCATAGGTAAATACCGTCGAATTACCAACAAGATAAAGACGTAAAGATTTTCGTAGTTAATCTGTTGCTAAATGCCGATGTAAATAGCGACGTGTTAGCGACATAAGGTTCTATAGTCGCTCTAACATTGTTAATTCGTAAACCTAAACCCTAAACCCTAAAAACAACTTGTTACACTCAATTTTTCAATTACCAACCTAACCAATCAACAAATGATAACTTTTTCATGTTTAATCCAAGTAAACGTAAGTTTCGAACATTACAAAGAAAATGAACAAGTGTTTCTTATAGTATAAGGTTTACTATATGTTATCTTAGAGGATTTCTTATAATTTATGATCTTTTCCAAATATGTTGTTGTATTTTGTCATTACAACTTCTTTTATAGCTCCTACTTACATTTCTCATACGAGTAAAAGAACGTCTAACAGTTTAGGGCAAATTTAGGGTTTAGGGTTCATATTAACAACGAATTTCTGACGAGTCGTCGTAAAAATGAAGCAAAATCGTGTCAATTCTTAAAATGTTTTCCTCGGATGAAATCGAATTATAATATTATGTGGTCCCTGTTTAGCAACGAATTAACGACGATTTGGGACACGTCATTGTAAATTTGTCGGTAATAAGTATGAAAATTTTTAGCGACGAATTAACAACGATTTCTTGTAATCGTTGTTAATTCGTTGGTAATTAACGACGAATTAACAAGGACATCAAAAAATGGAAAAATAATTCCCGCGTGCGGGAAAACGAAATTTTGCGAAAAAATTAGCGACGAATTTACGACGATTACCAAGAAATCGTTGTTAATTCGTTGGTAATTAACAACGAATTACCAAGGGACATCAATTAATGGAAAATTTTAATTCCCGCGTGCGGGAAAACGAAATTTTGCAAAAAAAATTAGCGACGAATCAACAACAATTACCAATAAATCGTTGTTAATTCGTTGGTAATTAACGACGAATTACCAAGGGACATCAAAAAATGAAAATTTTAATTCCCGCGTGCGGGAAAACGAAATTTTACGAAAAAAATTAGGGACGAATTTACGACGATGCATACATATCATCGGAAATTCGTCGCTAAATAGCGACGCTGTTGCGAGGAAACAAAATTCTATATAAGGGATCCTTACTTCTTTCACACTTCCATCTCCCTTTGATTCTCATTTGCAACTCTCTCTTCTCACCGATCCTCTCTCCCCGGATCCTCTCTCTCCCGCCGACCCTCTCTCTCTCTCCGCCAAGCCTCTCTCTCCCGCCGGACCTCCCTCTCTTCGCCGCCCCTCTCTCTCCCGCCGGACCTCCCTCTCTCCGCCAACCCTCTCTCTTCCGCCGGACTTCTCTCCATCGATACTCTCTCGGATTATTAGTTATTATATTATTTTTTTTTTAAAGAAAATATAATCGTCGCAAATACGACGCAAATAAAATAGTAAAATAACGACTTTCGTCGTTAAATCGAAGCAAACTTATTACAGCTTTCGTTGTTAAATCGTTGCAAATTTGCGACGATTTAACAACAAAATATTACCGACTTAAAATTTCCGACGTTTTTTTCGATGTAAATTTGGCGTCGATTTGAAGCCTCCTTGTAAATCCGTCGTAAAGGTTACGACGATTTTACGAGTTTAGGTTGCGACGAATTAACGACGATTTTTTTTCGTCGCTAATTAGCAACGAATTAACGACGATAGGTCATTAGCGTCGACAGCTTAACGACGATTTCGAATTCGACGCAAATCCGATGCCAAGGTCGATTAGCAACGATTTAACAACGTTTTCGGCCGTTGCAAAACGCCTGTTTTCTTGTAGTGATAATTTAAAGAAGAGGATTTATTTAATTAGTCAAATAAAATACATTACAACTTGAATAGTAAATTAGTAAACCAATTTAAAATTAAGTTACGTTACTAAAGAATATTTTTGAAAAAAATGTTAGAATGGTAAAAACTATAAATTAGATTAGGTTTACTTGTTAAGTGTTACTGTGTTAGAACTTAGACTGACAAAAATGTATAAAGAAGAGGTTTAGAAGTACGAAAATTAGCTGCAACTTTACACTATTCTTTCAATTGATTTATAGAAACCGTTCTAACGGTCTGGTTCAACTATTCTGTTCAAGCAGACAACCGAACTACTGTTTTGGTTCCAACTGGTGTTACTGTCCAACTAGTGTTTGAGTCTTAAGTTTAGTACGAAAGTAATTTTCCATGCTATTATTAGTATTATTTTGCATTAGTCGAACCTTTTTTTTATTACAATGTTCTTTTACCGAAAACATCTGAATTTAACAATCTAATTTCAAAGGAAACCTAGGTGACCTTACATAGACATAGGTGATGCTAAGGGAAAGCAAACCTTCTACAATCTAAAGACTAAATGTAATGCAGTTATCTTAGTTTCAAGGTTAGCGCTGGATAGTAATTGAAATAGAGTGTTTAATTTACATTACTTAGACGTTAAAAAACATAAAAAAAAAATAAAGGCATGATGGTAGCCACAATCGTTACAAAAATGCCCATCACATTTGAATATTCAAACAAGAGACCTTTCGATTATGTGCCCCCAGAAATATCAAAAGACTTGTTCTATAGTTATAAATCCCAAAAGATAAACAACAACGAAATTTCTTACGGTCATAAATGCTTCTACATACACAAACAAAGAAGATCTGTATAGTTTTCTGTTATATTCATTGACTCTGAACATTTTTATATAGTTTAAAAGAGTATATATCGAAAACAGCTCTTCACATCATCTCATGGGGTATTTTGATAAAGACAAATATAATTAAAAAAATAAACATTCCACCAAACCCAATCTTTGCAGAAACAAGTGTTGTCTCGTGATTCGTACGCGCTTCTTCATTAACCTTTTTGGAACCCAAAAAAGCTAAATCCTAAAAAATCAATCCCCAGACGAGAAATGATTTGTTCCATTGTTCGTTTGTCTCAAAAACTACGCGTTTAGTTTTTTTAACGAATTAAAGCTTTGACGATTCTTCTTCAATCACCGGGTCAAACCACTCGTTTACTTTTCTCCGGTCTTCTCTTGATATCTTTGATATTTCCGCAGCAAGGCAATAATGGGAGAGAGAGACAGAAGAAGATAAATTATTGGTGTTTGAAATCTTCTGCCTGAATAAATAACCAAAGCTTTTTCTGTTCGAGAAGCAAAGAGGGTTCGAGAAGCAAAGTCGTTTTCTGTTTGTTATTATCTGATTAGGTGAGATGAGATTTAATGCTAAAAGGGATCTAGATTCGTTGAGTTTTTGAGAGTTTTTTTTTGGGTTTGGTGTTTCTAAGAAGCTTTTGCTTAATTTGCTTCAGTACGAAACAGAGCTTTTGGTTGATTTTGGGGTTTAATTTATCTCTTACTTTGCTCAAAGTTCGAAGCTTTTTTTGGAGGGAGTTTTGGGTTTTGATTTTGGAACAGAGCTTATATATCTTCCTCTTCTAGATTTATCCAATTTTGATCGTTACTAGTGACAGTAAGCTCTTCAAGTCCTTAGCTTTACTTTCTTTGGTTCATTACAGTCTCTGTGTTCTGTTTCTCTGAGTGGTGTGTGATTGTAAGCTTTTCTTAACATTAAGAGTTGAGAAATTTTCGGTTTTGAGAGATGGATGAGAGTAATCATGGAGTTTCATCAAGCTCACTCCCACCTTTCCTGACCAAAACTTACGAGATGGTTGATGACTCTTCATCGGACTCAATCGTCTCGTGGAGTCAGAGCAACAAGAGCTTCATCGTTTGGAACCCTCCAGAGTTTTCCAGAGATCTCCTCCCCAGATTCTTCAAGCACAACAACTTCTCAAGCTTTATCCGTCAGCTCAACACATACGTAAGTGTTTTAGCTATATGCTCTGTTTCTTGATTTAAAAATCATTACTTTCTTGCTGATTATTAAACCACTTGGGGATTTTTGTGTGTAGGGTTTTAGAAAATCCGATCCTGAGCAATGGGAATTTGCGAATGATGATTTCGTAAGAGGACAACCTCATCTGATGAAGAACATTCATAGACGCAAACCAGTTCACAGCCACTCTTTACCTAATCTCCAAGCTCAGCAAACTCCGTTGACTGATTTAGAACGACAGAGAATGAATAATCAGATCGAGAGACTGACCAAGGAGAAAGAAGGGTTGCTCGAGGAGTTACAGAAACAAGAAGAGGAGCGTGAAGGGTTCGAGCAACAGGTTAAAGAGCTAAAAGACCGGTTACAACACATGGAGAAGCGGCAGAAGACGATGGTCTCGTTTGTCTCTCAGGTGTTGGACAAACCAGGTCTCGCTCTGAATCTATCTCCGGCTCTTCCCGAGACAAACGAGAGGAAAAGAAGGTTCCCGAGGATCGAGTTTGAAGAGAATGTTGTTGCTGTGAGAGAGGAAGTCTCCACGAGTCCTTCTTCTTCTTCACACACGACAACAGAGCATCATCACGTGGAGCAGTTGGAGTCGTCGATTGCGATTTGGGAGAATCTTGTTTCTGATTCTTGCGAGAGTATGGTGCAATCAAGAAGCATGATGACGCTTGATGTTGATGAATCGTCTACTTGTCCGGAGAGTCCTCCTCTCTCTTGTTTACAGATAAGTATCGATACACGTCCTCCTTCTCCGAGGATCATTGACATGAACTCTGAGCCTGATGTTTCGAAAGAACAGAACGTCGTCGTTTCTTCTGCTGTTCCTCCTCCTCCGGCGGCAGGAGTGAATGATGTCTTCTGGCAGCAGCTTTTGACGGAGAATCCTGGCGTAACAGAGCAACGGGAAGTTCAGTCGGAGAGGAAAGAGGATAGAGGTGAGGATCGAAGTGAGAAATGTTGGTGGAATTCGAGGAATGTAAATACAATTACGGAACAGCTTGGACATCTCACTTCTTCAGAGAGAAGTTGATATGTTTAAGGAATAAGAAGGATCATCACTACTTTCTATCTGTTTTTTTAGTTTTTTGTAAAATAGGTTTCTTTTGTTATGTGCTACTCTGTAACATTAATCTTGCAATACTATAGAAGCTTAACCTAAAAACTTTTAAGGTCTAGCAGAAAAAAATTCATTGTCTTTGCAAATAACTTGAGAGATTATTATCGTAAAGTTAGTTATGATTATGTTTTTATCAAACGTTGACATCTTGTGTTACCGGTGGAATTTTCAGTTTGGTTTACGCTTATAAGTAACTACAATAATCTCTACAAAATTAATCATCATTGAGCTAATATAAGAACATTTTGGATTTCAAAAAAGAAAAATTGTGAATTTTATAGAAACGAAAAGAGTCGATGAAAAAGTTACACGTTATAGAAACTCGGCCTAGGAACAGATAATGCACAAATTCTTCAGAAGACGACGCGAAACTGCGGCGCGTCTTTTCCGTCGGCGGGAAGAATCTCCCAGCGGCAAGGTTCGAGGTCGTCGGAAACGGGGCAGTACCCGGCGAGAGTGACTCTGTCTCCGGTCGCCGCCACGGAGCCGAACTCGAAAACCGTCGCGCGATCGGGTCGAGGAACTTCTATGGCTCCGTTCATCCCCGGAGCCGGAGTTTCCGATTTCGGCGTCTGGATGATCTCCGTCTTCGTAGTCTCGGACTGAGAAGGCTTAGGACTTCCAGTGAACCACGACAGAATCCCCATGGCTACTCCAATCGGTGTGGTTCCCCTGCAGATTCAAACGAAGTGAGTACAGTAATTGAATTTAGGGTTTATGAGTTTATCATTTCCCCCTTTTGATTTGCTGAATTTTTTGGGCGTTGTTTGTTTGTTACATTGGGCCTCAAGACTTTTGAAATGAAGCAATTATTGTGGAGATTGAAGTCGTGATGATTGAAAGAGAGTGGGTTTAGTGAATTACCTTTGGTAATTGGTTCAGCTGCAATTTTGACTTGTGAGAGAGTTTGGGATCTCCGTCGTCGTCGTCGGTGGTGGCAGTGGAAGGGATGAGATTGAGAGGTAGAAGAATTCAATTCAATCAGTTAAACAAAAAGATATGGGCTCATATTATTGGGCTTTACCTATGAGATTTGAGGCCTTTTTGTGCTATTGGGCTTTTGTTTTGCATTTTTAAATTAACAAATGGTAACGCCGTTGTTTGCCGCTTGTTCTACTTGCGAAAATGAGTGCTTGTTCATCAACTCCAGTGCCGATTCTGGCATTTACAGAGGGAGCCAAATCTCTGTCGCAGATTCAACAAGCTCATGCCTTTATGCTTAAAACGGGTCTTTCTCGTGATACGTTTTCTGCTAGCAAGCTTATCGCCTTCGCCGTCGCGAACCCAGAGCCCGAAACAGTCTCTTACGCTCACTCTATCCTCAACCGCATCGAGAGCCCGAACGCTTACACTCACAATTCCGTCATCAGAGCTTATGCTAATAGCTCTGCTCCTGAGGTTGCTTTGGTTCCGTTTCGCGAAATGCTGCTTGGCCCTGTGTTTCCCGATAAGTACAGCTTCACGTTCGCGTTGAAAGCGTGTGCTGCGTTTTGTGGGTTTGAAGAAGGAAGGCAAATTCACGGAATTTTCTTGAAGAGCGGTTTGGTGTCTGATGTGTTTGTGGAGAATACGTTGGTTAACGTGTATGGAAGAAGCGGTCACTTTGAGATTGCGCGGAAAGTGCTCGATGGAATGCCTGAGAGAGACGTTGTTTCGTGGAATTCGTTGTTGAGCGCTTACGTCGAGAAGGGTTTATTGGAAGAAGCTCGTGGGGTTTTTGATGAGATGGAGGAACGAAATGTGGAGTCTTGGAATTTTATGATCTCTGGTTATGCGGCTGCGGGATTGGTTGAAGAAGCGAGGGAGCTGTTTGATTCTATGCCGGTGAAGGATGTGGTTTCTTGGAACGCAATGGTGAGTGGTTATGCGCGTGTTTGTTGCTATAGTGAGGTTTTAGAGGTTTTCATTGAGATGCTTAACAGTTTTACAGAGAGGCCAGATGGATTTACTCTTGTTAATGTCTTATCTGCTTGTGCTAATCTTGGATCGTTAAGTCAAGGCGAATGGGTTCATGTTTACATTGACAAGAATGGGATTGTGATTGATGGGTTTTTGGCTACAGCTCTTGTGGATATGTATTCGAAGTGCGGGAAGATTGATAAGGCGCTTGAAGTGTTTAGAGCTACTTCGGAGAAAGATGTGAGTACATGGAACTCGATCATCTCAGGTTTAGGCGTCCATGGACTTGGAAACGATGCTTTAGAGATCTTCTCAGAGATGGTGTATGAAGGTTTTAAGCCAAACGGTATCACATTTATTGGTGTTCTCTCAGCTTGCAATCATGTAGGGTTGTTAGACCAAGCTCGCAAACTTTTTGAAACGATGAATAGTGTTTATGGGGTTGAGCCAACTATTGAACACTATGGTTGTATGGTGGATTTGCTTGGTCGAATGGGGAAATTCGAGGAAGCGGAAGAAGTAGTGAAAGAGGTTCCAGCAGAGGAGGCTTCGGTTCTATTGGAGTCTCTTCTTGGTGCTTGTAAAAGGTTTGGTCGAATGGAACAAGCAGAGAGTATAGCGAAGCGGTTAAGGGAATTGAATCCAGGGGAGACTTCAGGTTATGTTCAGATATCAAACTTGTATGCATGATAGAAGTCGACGGGGTTGTCCATGAGTTCTTGGCGTAAAACGGTAAAATTTCCAAAAACTATGTTCCTCTAGTTCTGTCAATTATATAGAATTGCTATCAGTTTTGCTTATGAATTATAACCAAGAAGCATGAAATTAGGGGGGTTGCATTGTAGAAAGCGTAAACTATTAACAAATCAGAAAGATATTACTATTCTACACCAAAATTAATGAAAATTCAAATCACTGTGCACCTGCTGAAACACATTGATGATCATGTCATGATATTCGTCGGAATTGAGTCTGAGATAGCAAACCAGAAGCTCTTTGAGTTCTTCAGGGTGGTTGATACCATTCTCCATGATCATCTCAATCATTGAATCTCTAAAATCTTTCTGAGGATCGCTTGAGCATTTCACTACTGCAAAGCTTTCATTCTCTTTTCCTCCATCTGCTGATTCTGTCACAAGCTCTTGCTCCCTTGCTCTCAGTTTAGCCTTCTTCAAGTCTTCGATAGCTTTAACTCTGCATTTTTCAGATGCTCTTGGTGAAAAAACTTTCACCTTGCTGTTTCCTTTTGTTCCTAATCTGTTTAGCTCCCTTTTTAGGTACATAGATTTCCTCTGTTGGTCAGCCTTCAGCTTCACTTCTCTTAGTTTGATTTCCTTGAGCTTTTGCCACTGATGAGCCGGTTTTGTTTCGGTATGATCAGGAATCACTGAATCCTCACTGTTTCCTGTTCCTGTCCTTCTCGCTGGTTTTTTCGCCTTGACCTCTGCCTCTTGTTCTGATCTCTTTGGCTTTTGTTCGAGAAGCCTTTGGTCACGTCTCTCACATCTCTGCTTATCTCTGTTTGCCTGAATTCTTGGCGTCATGATCACAGTTCCTTTGTCTCTATCCGTTGCCTCTACTTCCAGTAAGCCACGCGTCTCTCTTTGGAAATCTCTTACTTTCTTCCTCACACTGCTCATTATCTCTTCAAACTTTTCCTTTGACTCCTTATCTTCTGACCTTGTTGCAGAGTTCTCCTTTTCTACTGATGCTCTCTGAAACCTTTTGCTGCTCTGATGAATATCGTTCCGACTTTTAGTAGTACTCAAGGAAGATTTTACAGACATGTTTTGGGCTTGGCTAGGCTTTTCATCTTTCTTCTTCTCTTTTGCAGGTTTCAAGTCAGAAGAGCCACTTAGCCGTGAAAACCAAGAAACTGGATGAGAACGAGACAACACGGAAGAAGAAGAAGAAGAAGAAACGGATTTCTTTTTTCCCCATCTCATCATCCCAAATGATCGAAGAATCTGCAAAAAGTTTTGTGCTTTCTTTGGCTAGAATCTTGAGACAATATGATAAAAAATGAAGGGATGTATCTAGAGCTTACTGATGTTAATATTATATGGTTAGGTCGTTGTGTTTAATATGGAGATTGAAAGATGTTGTCTTAAGTCTTAACGGGTAAAAGCTAAGTTGCAGTTTGAAAAAAAGAGAACCAAACCCGCCTGAAGAATCCTGTGACCACTTTTAGCCTAAAAGAAAGAAAACAAACTTTTTCTTTAATTGGTTTATGTTATCTCTGGGTATGTTCTGGAATTTATACCGAAGTAGGGGACCAGTTTTATCAATCAAAAACCAAACTTCATTGATGACAAAGACTTTGGCTCTCTCTCTTCTTTGTGAGTAACGTGACCGACCCAAGAACCACAAGAATCTCCCCATCTTTTAGTTTGTAGCAGCTGTCGTTATTCCGTAAAACCAATTAGCATTTGAGTTCTTGGCTCATGGAATTTATTGGCTTATGCAATGGTACAATTTTCATGATTACATCCCGAGTGCACTTAGCAAAACTTGGTATAGAATTAACCTGAAACTCTAGTTTCGTCCAAACATAACAATATGATTGGTACCGGTCCCGGTCTCTCCTGGTCCTAGAGATATTATAATCATGAAGAAGGTAAAGTTGATGGATTTAGGTTATCTCAAAGTTAGAGATTTTGTGAAGTTGATGTGGTCCTGATTTTTTATAGAAGAACAGCTAAAATCTCTCCATAAGGATATATCACCTACCTTGAGGTATGGTTTGTGTCATCCACCACCAACTTGTTTCTTGATTTTAATTCAATTTCTAACTTGTTTTTCCTTCTTCTTTTGCATTGTATACCCATCAAAATGAGGATAGGAAAGGTTTTTGTTATTATTTACATAAGTTTTTTGTTTCTCTTATATTGTCAAGACTTTGGATTGAAGCATTATCAAATTCACCAATTTCAGGCACTTCTACTTTCCCATCTGAAAAGGAATAAAAGAATATTAGCCCATGCCGTATTTATTATTTTCCTCACTCAAGAAGAAAAAACAAACAATTGTAGATGATATATAAAATTTTAATATTAATTATCTTTTTAAAGATTTTTTTGGCGACTGGCCTTATTATTAAAAAGGACAAGACGTTGCTATTTCACGGCTATTTCAAACTTGCTGATAGGGATACGACCCCGTTGTGTTTTATTGATAAAGAAGAAGACTATAAGACATGTTGTAACTTGTAAATTAATTTTAATGTTATGTAATTATTACTAAAAACATGGTTTTCCTAACTCATTTGACTGTTTTCTTACAAACAGTAAGATATTAACGACTACAAGAAAGGAATTAAGTCACCTCTTGACTCTTTTCGTTGACTATATTTTTATTTATCATGTATCATTCTGTATTTGCAAATTTTGTTTTGAATAACATATCATTTCCTTACGAATACTAAAATAATGTTGAACATTTTTACGTTCACAACAGAATTTTATGCTTAACCTTATTAGCAAACAGGTGAAAACCTTATATATATCAAACCTAACCAATCTACATTTCTCATCAGTCATAATAGCATTAGTAAGCACATAAGCAGAGAGTTAAGAGATTAAAGAATGGCTTATTCAAGATTTGTTTTCTTTGCTTTCATAGCTCTTTCCGTTTTACTTGCTGGTTAGTTCAATTAGTCTAAACCGTGCTAAACCTATTTCAATTTTATTACAATACTTTCTAAATCAAAATATTGAATATTTATACGTACGTGTTATTTTTGCAGGGGTTGAATCCACACAAATGAGTGGAGATTCAATTTGGTCTTCCAACAAAGGTGCTTCATTGTGTTGCAACGATCACCCAAAGTTTGGATTATGTACTAGTGATGATAGTTGCAACAGTTGGTGTCTTAAAGGTTGCGACAACGGGAAAGGTGGTAAATGCAAGAAAACGCTCTGTCATTGCTTCTGCTAGATAAATTAAGATTAGATAAACTCTAGACTTTTTTTTTTGTATACACATATCAGCAAAAATAATAAGATACATTTTATTGCTATTTCACATCTTGAACATCAGAGTTTTTAATTTCAAATAATAAGAATTATTGAGTGAGCTTTTCATATGAATTAATTAATGCATAGAAAAGACGGTATTTGGAAACAAACACTATGTATTTTAGGCGAGGGCGTTCGGGTTTCGGTTCGGGTTCGGGTCGGTTCTATTCGGGTTCGGGTCTTTTCGGGTTGCTAAATTTTAGACCCGTTCGGGTTTAGGAAAATTTCGGTTCGGTTTCGGTTCGGTTCGGTTTCGGTTCGGTTCCTGTCGGGTTCGGGTCGGTTCGGGGCTAAATTTTATGGACCCGTTCGGGTTTATACAAATTTTGGTTCTTATTATGATCTCATTCGGTTCTGATTTGAGTCGGTTTATATCGGGTTTTTTAACTGAATATCTAAAATCCTACAAAATAACCGATAAAATCTTGTTATAATCCATCTTCTACTAAATATTTTTGGACTTTTCGAATATTTTGGTTATTTTGTTCTAAATATAACTATTATATTAGATTTATAATTGTAATTTTAGTTATTTTTAGTATTATAAGCTATTATAAGTCTAAAAAATAACTAATATTTTGGATATATAATTATATTTTGGATATTTCGGGTACCCATTCGGTTTTCGGTTCGGTTCGGGTTCGGGTTCGGTTCGGGTATAAATTTTTTGGATCCATCGGGTATTTGTCTTGGTTCCGGTTCGGTTCCATCTTTTTCGGGTCGGGTTCGGTTCGGGTCTTTCGGGTCTGGGTAAAATGCCCAGGCCTAATGTATTTGTAGAAAAGACTGATGATTTGGTGAAAATAATTATTTTTTTTACATAATCACTCACATATTTCTTAACCGTAATGTAAATAATCACTCAAATAGTCAACTCGTCCTCCTTTTTTTGAACTTGTAAGTTGTAACATTTTATTTAAATAGACAGAAGATGGATAGAATGTTCCAAAATATTATCCCATTCTATACTTTCTTCCTTATCATGTTCTAATTTGTTTAGTTATCTAACTGGTTATTAAAAATCTAATAAATCTAGAAATTTGAAATTCACTAAACTGGCTTTTGAAATAAAACAAAATAGATAATTCTACAATATGATAAAAAGACTATAGTAGAACATCTATAAAGTAATACTCGATAAAATAATAATTACTACTCTCTCTGTTTTAGAATGTATGATGTTTTAGAATTTCTACACAAATTAAGAAACATTTATTGTTTAACAATTAATGTATCTTTCTCTTACATAAACCACTTTTTACTAAATATTAACCAATAGAAATTCAAGAATCCAATTACTTTTAATTAATAGTCATTGAAGTTTGTAATTTGTTAGCATTAATTGATAAAAGTACCTTAAAAACTCTAAAACATCATATATTATGAAACAAAAAAAGAAAAGCTAAAACATCATACATTCTGAAACGGAGGGAGTATAAGATAATAAATTTCTCCGGTCTCAACTCGGGTCAGTGTAAAAATAAGCAATCTGCCATAAGATGATAAGATAATAAGATAATGATATAACTCTTATGTAAAAATATGGTTCCAATAATTATATAAAATTAAACTTGAATTTTAGTTTATCTTTAACTTTTTATTATATAAAAAACTCATAATGCAAATTTTATATGCATATAAAACTGTTAAATATGTTTTAAAGACAATATTTCTTTGTTTTATGTTTAAATACATTCAAAGTATACTTTTACTATGTTAAACTTCATTATCAATATTAGTAAACGTTTTATAAACTTTAACTTTTATCATGTATCGAAATTTATATAAATATTTAAATAAGCTAATAATATATGTTTATTACGATATCTAAAAAAAATAATTATAATTTCAAGTTTATGCATGTCATACTAACATATATCTTTATATTACTAATTGAGAAGTACATTCTAATGTTTGGATACAAGAATAAGAGAAACATCTATTTGGATAGAAGAAAAAATGGAAAAAAAGTTGTTTGGATATAAGAATAAGAGAAAAATTTATTTGGATAGAATAATAAATGGAAATTTTTTTTTGTACAAGAATAATAACCTAAAACAAACCAATGGTTTAGAAAACTTCCGTTTTTCAGCTCTTAAAAAATCTGCAAAAAAAGAAAAAATAACATAATTTATCAATAATACCAAATCAATAGAATATGTTCGAATGATATTTGCAAAATTTCCAACAGTGAAATAGAAATACATCTAATTTAAATCAAATTGTTGGTTTATGTTCTGTTTGGGTTCGAGTTTTTTTTGGTTTTAGTTCAAGGTTTTCAGTATGTTTTGGATTTCGGGTTTAGATATATTAAAAAAGTTAAGGTATTTTCAAATTTTTCTTATGGTTTTTTAGGTCAGGTTCGGGTTAAGGTGAAAAATTTTCGAGTTTATTTTTATTCGGTTCAGGGTTTTAGGGATTTTTTGGATTTCGGGTTTATACATATTAAAAAGGTTTGGGTTTTAAAAAAAATTTTGATTAGGGTTTTTGGGTTGGGTTCGGGTTTAGGATTTAGATTTTTTTCTCTTAAACCGCAACGTCACACCGCGCGTTTGCGCGGGTCCTCTACTAGTATATATTTAATCCTTAATACATTATCGTATGGAAAATATTTTTCGAATATTGAAATTAAAACATGTATTTTTATAAATTAAGAAATATTGAATTTGTAGATAAAATAATATCTTTATAAGATAATAAATTTTTAAAGTTTCAACATTATTATTTTATAGAGGTTTTATTGTACGATACATTAAATTATTTTTAGTTTTATATAATTAAACAATAACATGGTTTCCTTAATTCCTTGACTGGTTTCTTACAAATATTAAATATTTGAATGACTACATGAAAAAGAATATTATTTCACCTTTTGACTCATTTCATTGACTCGGTTTTTGTTTACCATTTATAATAATATTTTCTTCTAGTTTTACAAATGTGCCAATTATATCATTCGCCATTGCGATTTATTTCTGAATAACATATCATTTCCTTATGGATATTAAAATAACATACCAAAATAATTTCTGATAATGCCGTAGCTAAAGCTGGTAAAGCTGGTAAAGCAAGGGCTTTAGGCGCCAAATTATATTAACAAATTAGGGGCGCCAGATTATGAGAAGTTCCTTTATTGTAGTGGTATTTGAGCTGCTATAATCCCTCATGTGCCCGGTTCGACTCCTTCGAATCCTACATTTTCTTTCTTTTTCTTATTTTAGCTTTTTTTTTATTTATTATTCCACATGTTTTAAGAGGGGCCAAAATTTTTAGTATGACTTAAGCTCCATATGACCACGGGCCGCCCTGATGCCGGTCCTGATTGTGTACACCACAACCATGCAAAACCTGTTTCATTTTTTTTTTGAAACTAAATATTCAAAATATTGAATATTTATGCGTGTTTATTTTTGCAGGTGTTGAATCCACACAAATGATGAGTGAAGATTCAATTTGGTCTTCCAACAAAGCTCCTTCACTGTGTTGCAACGATCACCCAAAGTTTGGAGTATGTACTAATCGTGATAGTTGCAATAGTTGGTGTCTTAAAGGTTGTGACAACGGGAAAGGTGGTTTTTGCAAGAAAAAGCTATGCCATTGCTTCTGTAGATAAATTAAGATTATACACTTTTTTTATTTGTATACACATATCAGCAAAATAATAAAATACATTTTATTGCTATTTCACATCTTGAACTTCTGAGTTTTTATATTTCAAATAATAAGAATTATAGAGTGAGCTTTTCAAATGATTACCACATAGAAAAGATAGTCTTTGGAAACAAACACTATTTATTTGTAGAAAAGACCAATATCTAAGCGAAGTTAAATTCTTATGATTTAGCGAAAAGAAAGAAAAATAAAATTACATAATCACTACATAAGCAAATTTCATTCATACATTAATAAAAATATATACAGTTTCATCAGCATATTACTTATATGTTGTTGTTAGTGTTATAATGGTTTTTTTTTTGACAAAGGGTTTGCAAATTGAAATTGAAGTATCGAAAGAGGTTACAACTATCAAACTATGACTCAATGTCATACAGTTTTTATAGTGATAAAAGAGAAGATTAAGCATACATTTACTTGAAACATACTACATAGTATGAGAAATGGAGACAAGTTCCAAGAGAAAGGGATTAGCCATATTTACTACGCCGGCTTCTACGGCCGCGTTTTCTTTTTAACATGTTTTATGATTCATAGTTACTAGGGTTTGACCCGTGCCCTGCACGGGGTGATAGTTTCTGAATTTGTATTTTTATTAAAAATGTTTATTTAAATATTTCGACATTTTATGCGAGAGATTTTTAACCTTTGTTATTCGTTTATAGTATGGAAATTAGGCATTTTAATCCATTTAAAAAAAGAAATAAATTAAAGCATTGATCGTAACCACAGATTAAATATGATAGATTTAACCGAGATACATAAAACTCAAATAACTATAATATAATAAGATAGTTTAAAGAAAAAAAATTGAAAATAAAACATTATTCTTTAGAAAAATTATACATCATGTATTTCATAAGATAAAAAGTTTTAGCTGTGTGGACACGGATTAGAACTAATTTTTTTCTTTCTTTCAAAACTAAAACATGCTTTATTATAATTTCAAAACAATCCAACCAATCAGAAAATAATATGCAGAATCCAAATTGTCAAAACAGCAAAAATATAATTAATTTTGTATAGAAAGTTGAAACAGATAGAGTAATATTCAAAAGTTTAATCAAAATAAAATATTTATAAAAAGAACTTTTTTTATTCGATTTAATTATAGATTTTAATTAAAAAACCATATTAAATGAAAAAAAAATTACCTTTGGATACCTACTAAATGAGGTTATATACGAAACAATTTATATTATTTTGTTTTTAAAAATTCAAATCATAACATGTACAGAAAAAGTTTTAGATTTTTTTGATAGATTTTTTATATTGTGATTCAAATTATTTTATTAAATAAATTTAAACAAAGATGATAGAAGATGTATACTGATTTTAAAAGAAATTATTATGATGAATTAAATTGAATCTCATATCTTCCTTATTTACTAATTTTCGTAGTTGCCAATTAAGGAAAGAGAATGATAAATTTAATTTCATTATTTGGTTGTAAGCATAATATGCAATGGCATATATTGTAATTTGTCTAGTAAAGCTTGTCTTAATTAGAAATTGCTCTAAGAGTGAACCTAGTGATGACACCTAAGCAATGACATTCTTGTTAATAACACATTAGACAAAGGTTATTTAGTTAGTGTTTTCTCTTTTAATATATTAGGGATATGTTTAAATCTTAATAGGATTAAGATCTACTCTTTTACTAGTGTTAATACTCGTCCTTTTCTTGGACTAAAATAGTTTTCATAGCATATGTAATTAGAGGAGTGCCATAGTGGGTAACAAATATGATATTACTAAGTCAGGACTCAAGGAAACATAAAATAGCAAATAAGTTAATAACCATGAAGTATATTCGAACAACATATACATTTTTATGACTTTTAACCATTCTAGTCAGTTTTATTGATAAAAATATATTTTTCCTAAAACACTTTTTAGCTGGTTTGTTGATCGATATTACTAGTAGAGAATAACTGAGTCAACTTTTGACTGTTTTAGTTTACTCACAATTTCTATCATGTAAAGGATATTTAGATTTCTACAAATGTACAACTGTTATCATATATTTACAATATGTCATTAATTTGAATAGTACATTATTTCCTTGTTAATAAATGTTGAATATATGCGGTCAATATATAGTTTAATTACTTTTCAGCAAGCAAGTGAAATCTTATATATAACAAATAAACACTTGTATTAATCTACAGTTCTCAAAATCGAAACACAAATTTAAGCTATAGAGTCAAAAATATTCTAGAAAACGGTTTATTCAAGATTTGTTTTCTTTGCTTTCCTTGCTCTCTCTCTCTTTTACTTACATGTTAGTCTGATTAGTTAGATCAACACCTTTTTATTTCTTAAACCAAAATCTTGAATGTATATGTTTGTATGTGTTATTTTACAGATGTTGAAGCTATAGAAGTGATGAGTGAAAGTTCGGTTTGGTCTCCCAACATAGGAGCTTCATTGTGTTGCAAGGATCATCCTAAATTTGGAGTCTGTACTGATACGAGTTGCAACAAGTGGTGTCTTCAAGGCTGCGGGAAAGGTTGATTTTGCAAGAACAAAATTTGTCACTGCTACTGCTAAATTTATTTTTAAAACTATAAAACTCCATGTTTCTCTTCAAAATATTGATCAGTAAAGACAAGGATACTATTAACTAAAACCTTCAGCAATCTTCACAATGAATCCTATCCTTGTTGGATCATAAAGAGTAGGAAAAAATGTTCTTTTGGTGATATTTTTTGGTGAATTTCAGCAATTTCCACAATGAATCCTATCCTTGTTGGATCATAAAGAGTTCATAGCCATTGGATTAATCACGTCCAATGATTCAGTTGTAGAGTCTTCTACAAAGAAATGGTATAATCCTACAATATTGATCAATTCCAGTGCTACATTGTAGGGCTACAAATGCGTCCTGCATCATCATATCATTGTTTCAATTATGCTTGAAACAGATAATCTAATGGATAAGGATAACTTGAACCCAACCAATTGATACCACTAGGACAAGAAATTAACATGTTTGCAAGTTCATGCAAAACCTATACTCTAAGAAAAATTATATTCGTTGAGAAGAAAAAAACATTTGTATTTGTAGAAAAGACCAACAAATCAATGAATTAGTATGCCTGCATGAACCCATTAAATAGAAATATATACATGTGCTACAAATTTCGGTTTAAAATATTTAAAGAGGAGTAAAAGCCAAAGATCTTACATAAACCGAAAAATCTCATAAATCATTTTTCAACATTGGAACATGGGCCCATGAATAGAATCTGGAATGCGATTTGATTGGGTTTTGCTGATTAAATAAATAGAAAAGAGAGAACAACTATGGCCCAAAATATGTACGTCAGCATTTTATTTTTGGAGTAAACCGAGACTTTATCTTCACCCCCACAAAAAGAGAAGAAAGCGACTGAAGCTGTGAAACCTAGATCTGATTTCGATTTCGCGAAAGGTAAATTTCCCGATTTTGGCATTTCGCTTGACTGATCTGTTCTTCTGTGTCAAAGACGTTGAATTTCTGTTACCGCATTTAAGATTTCGAAATGAAGCTGGTTTTAGATTAGAAACCGAGATTTTGCAGGATTTTTCAAGACGAATTTGGTTTTTGTGGGAGTTAATTTGAATCGGAGTCGTGCTTGATCTTTGTTTTAGATATGGAGCCGAAGGATATTCTATCTCCGACGAGGAACAAGGTATTTGATTTCGTGAGCAAAGCATACGCAATGGTGGATGATCCTTCAACGGATTCAGCAATCTCGTGGAGCGAAGACGGCAGTAGCTTCGTCGTTTCGAATCCGGCGGAATGTTGCAGAGAGATTTTTCCCCGGCTCTTAGGAATCTCCGACTTCGCAAGATTTGAAAGATTTGTAAGTTTCCCCTTTTTTTTTTGTGTGTGTGTGGTAGCTTTTGCGATCGATCAGTGTTTGATTTTGATTTTGACTTGAAACACGCGACACAGGGCTTTACCAAAATCGAGTCTGGACCAAAGCTGGGGTTTGCGATAGATGATTTCGTGAGAGGCAAACCGGAGCTTTTGGAGAAGATCGGCGAACGTTACGTGGCGAGATTGAGCGAATACCATGAGTCGAAGATCAAGCCGTTAAGAGATCAGGTGAAGAGCTGCAAGAACAAGAAGGAGAAAGAGTTGGTGTACAAAGAGCGTAGGGAGAAGCTTGAGATGCAGAAGAGGGAGAGATTGGATAAAGATTTTGGGCAAGAGATCGAGCTTCTGATGAAACGCATCGCAAAGGAAAGGGAGACTAGAGAAGCGGGAGTCTTGTCGAAAGAAGTTGAGGATCGTGTGAAGCTTCTCTTAGCTTTGATGTGAATGAATCATGTTTTGCTTGATGAAATGAATAAATAATCATGAAAGTAGTCATTACAGTAAAGTAGTCATGTTTTGCTGGTAAATCATAAGCCAATAAACAGAGATGGAATTGGGGATCGCATAAGTAACAAATTCACAAAGAGGTTTTAACTTTATAAACTTATCCACCAAGATCAAAAGACATAATAGTCAAACGCTCTGAGATCATCATCATTATAAATTACAATACCAAAGAGAAAGACGAATGTCGACCTTCTGTTATAATCTCTCCGGTCATCTTGTTCTTCACTCTCGATCTTACAACTACTCCTGAAAAATTATATATTTCCATTTCCAAAATCAGTCAGTCTCCGACCCAACCAATAACTCTCCACCATTCTGTAGGAAAAAATACCAATAAAAATCTTATAATATAGATATTATATAGTATGAAAATACGATTGGAAATAGACGAATACGCAGAGGCGAGATTTGATCTCTTTCCCTAACTCAATAAATCTCTCGCAGTGTGGCGGTTTTGATGAGATCTTCTCCTTTAAGGCTGTAACTGGTAACCACAATTGGAATAAAAGGAATGATGAGGAATAGGAACAAAAGGAACAATAAAGAACAAATTATAAGGAATAGATTATAGAGAAGGAATAGAACAAAATACCACTAGAATGGTAACCGAAAAAAGGAACAAATATTTTGAAAATAAAAATACTCACAAATAAATTATAAGATATTCTAAAAGTATGTAATATCAAAAAATTGCAAAACACTTGTCTCTCCTAACGTAAAGCTCCACTTGACGTTCAATGTTCTTCTCGTCGGTTATTTCTTGACGTTCAAAGTTCAAACACTTGTTTTTTTTGACGTTCAAAGTTCAAACACTTGTTTTTTTTTACGTTCAATGTTCTTCAGTAATAATGCATCTCCCAACTACAACACAAAAAAACAATTGAACGTCAAGCTTGCTTTTCTTCTGGTTAAAGAGCATTGAGCTCTTATAATAAATTAATAACAAAAAGAATATGAACCTAGCTATAACCGACGAGAAGAATTTTGTTTCCAATATGTATATTAAAATATGTTATTGCCATTTTTTATTTTTTTCCATTTCATTCCTTGACAAATTTGGGGTGGAATATATTTGTACTATAATTTCTCATAATTTAGGGAACAAGAGGGAATTATGTGGGTCCCACAATGAATAAGGATTCCTTCCAAATGGTAAAATTTTTTAGGAATGAAGAGAAATACCATATTCCCTCTCATTCCATTCCTTAATTGGGGTTACCAGTTAGAGCTTAAATCTCTAGAACAAAACTCTAAGTGTAAAAACGTGATACAATATGCGGTTCTCTTTCTCAAAAAGCTAAAAAATTGTATTTATAGTGCTAGGTCTTCAGAGGCAACATTAGGTCAAGTCGGGCCCGAAAACGTGTGAAACGGACTTCGGGTCGACCGGACCGTTCAGACAGTCGGTCGGGATGATCGACTGGCTATCGGGTCATGGTCGTCTATCGGCACAATCGGGTCGATCATGGCCGAGGGATTCTGTGCTCATTCGTCGGGTTCGGCCTGACGGATGATATTGGTCGAAGTTTTCGGCCGGACGTGGGACGATGCCTTCATGGTCGAACGGTGCGATCGTGCGTGCGGCACGAGTCATGTTGCGCAATCGTAAGGCCATGCCTTCCTGTTCATACGGTGCAGTCGTGCGTGGCTTATGATGGCGAGGCTTGGACGGGACGACTGTGGGCTGTTGCTTCCCGGGTCGGTAAGTAAGCTCGGCCATGCACTAGATGGGACAGACGAAGTTCGGCCGTCGGACGATGGTTCCTCGGTCGGCAGGTGCGCACGGTTTTGAGTGCTGCTGCACGGTTAAGCCGTCTGGACCAGTCTTCACTTAATTGATCATAACTTCATTTCTACTCATCCAAATGATGCGAATTCCACTTGCGTTGGAAAGTTAACTCACTCAGAGCACGCGGGAACTGGTCTTGATGAAATCCATTGAGTAGATATTTTTCAGGCCTCTCAAAGTTGATACTTCGGTATGGAGCGGGCTTGAAGTGCAAATCCTATGGTTTTGCTCCAAAATGCATCATTTCACCTGTTTAGACTCTAGTACTATAAATCCAATAAAACTACCTTTTTAGATAGAAAACCTGCAAAAACCATTAGAAAACATATAAAATAGTATAAAAAGCATGTAAAATAGAGGTATATCAACTCCCCCAGACTTAGATCTTTGCTTGTCCCCAAGCAAACAAAATCTAAATCCGTGAAAGAGGTTTGAAAACGTGGAAACTCCCTTGCTCTTTGAATATCCTGTGAAGGGTTCCTTTCCTGTATTCCACTAAGAACATAGGCAACATAAGGTTAGCTTCACATACACCCTGCAAGTTTAGCGAACAATACCAACTCAACTAGTCTCATCCAGCAATCCAAACTCTCTATTGCTAACCTCTTGCATAAATTTAAAACGTGAGTTCTTTATCAAGGGAAATCGATCATTAAGAGCTTGTTCTTACCCACTTGATCCCTCCAAGATTGTCTTTGAAGCACAATGAGATCTTTGAAAGGTCGATTTTCCCTACTTTTCTAGGGTATCATTTTATTTTTTCTATTGACCCCTCTATCAACACAGGATAAGTCTTTAGCTTGTTCCTTGTTTGAATAAGGTATTCCATAAGACATGAAGGTACAGACATATGCATTCCTCATGCTTACTTGTTTTCCTTGTGCTCTTTGAGCTTTTCTCATAAAACTTTTTTACCAGGGATGGGAGAGAGAGGAGAACTGCTTTAAGGTTAGACAAATCTTATTGAAAATCAAGCAAGGAACTGTCGACATGTATGCCAATCCCCTTGACAAGAGTTATTAAGATTGATTAAGGGTGAGGTTAACTCTAGATTGCTTGGTTACCTTAGAAATTTTGCTGAGCTAGCATGTCGATCCACTGTAAGAGCTTCTGTTAGGCTTGTGCCTTTAGCTGATGTCTGCTCTAGGGTCATGGATTGTTAGCACAACACTATCAAATCTCAAAGCAAGTTCATAACTTCCGGACTGGTTTTTGACTCAATAAAACAAGAAAACATGAAATAAAACATAAGAAAAGAAAGAAAAATGCATTAGTACACAATAAAACTCCCCCCAGACTTAACTTGCACCGTCCCGGTGAAAGCAAATCACATTAAGGTGAGAGGTAATATTCAAAATAAAATAAAAGGAAATTCATTAAAATGAGATAGGGATAGAAAATGGAGATTTGTAAGTGTCCATTGCACTAAGTACCACTTGAGATGACTATGTGTGGCGGTGAGAAGAACTCTCTTCCTCTTATATGGGGTCATCGCCTTCTGAACCAAGCTCTGAGTCTAGTGAGAACTCACCAAGGTCAGGCTCATATGGCTCTCTAGCGGTGAGAGAAGGGCGAAAGAGTCTCTCCGGTGCAATGTGGCGGACTACACGAACTAAGGCGTGAGATGAAACGTGATTGGCACTCCACAATCTTCTCCAGCTTGCTCACACGGTCTAGGGCTTGGTTCGCTGCCATGCCAGTGCTGAGAACATGGCGTTCTTGGTGGCGGCGTTGAGCTTGACTGTGCGCTGAAGTGTGCGTATGTGAGGATGGGAATGATGGTTTCTCTCTTGATGGGATGTAGAAGTCTTCCTCCTTGGGTTGGAAAGTGACAACACCTGAGCGTAGGCTTGGAATGTCTTCATGTGGCAGCAAGACAAGCGAAGTGTTGGTTGGTCCAATTGGGAACTCATAGCAAAACTTGGTTGGGTTTTGGGTCCAACGGTTTAGGAAGTGGAATTTTCTGAAGGGCATGGAGATCCAAAGGGGTTGGTTGGGTAGTGGCTCATAGTTGGGAATAGTCAATTCCCACATGTTGTACTATGGCTGTGATGAGTCTCTCAAATCGCACACAAAGCTTCTTGTTGCTTTCCAAGTCTTGAGCTAGATGCCTTACATTGATGAGTGTCTTTGTGAACAAAAGACCAAGGTTGGCAGCGCTTCCCCACAGATTCTGCGGTAGCCCAGATTCCTGCAACATTGCATTCATCATCTCTTTCAGAGTTCGATTCTTTCTTTCTGAACTCCGTTAGATTCTGGTGAATAGGGAGCAGTGGTCTGATGTATGATGCCTTTCTCCTGACAGAAAGCATTGAAGGGTCCATCATACTCACCTCCTCTATCACTTCTAACCATTTTAATGGTTTTTCCCAGTTGGTTTTCAACTTCAGTTTTGTACTCCTTGAATTTTTCCAAAACTTCATCTTTACTACGCAGCAAGTAGACGTAGCAGTATCTTGTACAATCATCTATGAATGTCACAAAATACTTTTTACCCCCTCTGGTTTGTACATACTTCAAGTCGCACAAATCTGTGTGTATTAGTCCCAGAGGTTCAGTTGTTCTTTCGACATGAGGAGATGGTGTTTTAGTGAGTTTTGCTTGTACACATATCTCACATTTGTCTTTGTTTATTTTGCATTTCGGAATTAGGTTCAAATTCATCAGTCTTTCAATGGACTTATAATTTACATGTCCTAATCTTTCATGCCAAATATTAGAAGACTCAACCAAATAAGTAACTGGTTTCTTATTAATCAAATCATTGGAAACAGGTACAACATGTTTCTTGGACTGGAGATACACACATCTTAATCAGTCCATCCTTAACAAAACCTTTTCCTATAAAAACACCATCTTCCTGAGAATCAGCTGGTCAGACTCAAAGTTGATGGCGAATCCATGCTTGCTCATCAGAGTGCCAGAAATCAGATTCTTCCTCATGTCTGGAACATGCTTCACATTGTTGAGTGTGAGCTCTCTTCCAGATGTCATCTTCAGGACCACCTTTCCAGTGCCTTCAATCTTGGAGTGGGACACATTTCCCATCAGCAGACGATCATCTCCTTGCTTTTCTGGTAAGTGCTGAACATCTGTCTGTCAATGCAGATGTGTGTGGTAGCACCAGTGTCATACCACCATAGCATCGGATTCTCTTCAACCATGTTAGCTTCTGTAACAACAGCCACCATGTCAGACTCTGTCAAGTTGGCTTGGTTTTTCTCCTTGGCCTTGCTGCGACAATCGGCTCCGCGATGTCCAACCTTGCCACAGTGATTGCACTTCCCTGAGAATCCAGATTTCTTCTTTGGGAATTGGGGGCTTGGGCCTGTTTCTTAAAGCCCGTGGAGCCTGATTAGCAACCTTGTTGAGCACCCTTGTTAGGGTTAAACCTGCCTTTTGGTTTGTTGCGAAATTCAGCCACATTTGCATCATGAGTCTGAACTGTTTCAGCTTTTTCACGCTTCAGTGACTCATTCTGCAGCCTAGAAACAAGTTGGCCAAAGTCAAAGCCTTTTGCTTGAATGCAAGATAGTTCTTGAAGTCTGCCCATCCAGGGGGAAGCTTCTCAATGAAGCAATTCACTGTGAAAGTCTCACAGATCTTCATTCCTTCATCTGATATCTCTTGGAGTATCATCTGCAGGTCATGCACTTGGTCCATGATGGGTTTTGAGTCCACCATTACGAAGTTGAGAAATTTTGCAGCAGCAAATTTTCCTGAGCCCACATTGAACGTCTTGTACTTCTTATCCAGGGCTTCCCACAGCTCCTTGGATGTTTTGACCTCACTGTACACATTGAACAGTTGATCCACTAGGCGACTTTGAATGTAACCTCTGCACAGGAAATCTCCTTGCTCCCAGTTCTCCAGAGTCATATGAACTCGTGGATCTGGGTTTGCCTCTTGAGTAGCAGGCATCTCAGGTTTGTCTCAACAAGATACTTTGCCAGATTCAGCGTGGTCAGGAAGAAGTGCATCTTCTGCTGCCACTGCTTGAAATTCGTGCCATCGAATTTGTCAGGCGTAAGTGCTGCGCTTATGTTACTAGGCAAGTTGGTGCAGCGAGTGCAGCAAGTTGACCAGTGCCATTAGCCGCAGGCTGATCCCCCAGTCCCATTGGTTCCATTAGCAGTACCAGACATTATGGATCTGTTTCACAAAAGACAGATTTTGTCAGTATTGTGGGGTGTGCGAAAATAATTCGCTAAGTTCACAGAGACTTGCTCTTAAACGTTATATTAGATCAAAGATCAGAGAGAAATTTTATGAAATACACCTCTTGAGGTGCAAATTTTCAAAACTACACGAAATTTTCAAAAATACACATTTCCCCAATTTTAATATATATGTTTGAGTTCACTAATCCTATATAGGGTTTAGATTTTGGGGTTTAGGGTTTAGATTTAAGGGTTTAATGTTAGATTTTAGGGTTTAGAATTTTTTTACTAAATGAAAAAGTGTAGTTTTGAAAATTGGCACCATAGAGGTGTATTTTTGAAAATTTGCACCTCAAAAGATGTAGTTTTGAAATTTCCCCAAGATCAGATATAATCCAGTTAAAAAAAACGTTTCACGATTCTGCTAACAGCTGCCGGGTAAATCGTTTTATCAAGTTATAATATTAGTCTATTTTTAGATCGAAACTTTCTGCTGAATAGCTATAAAACTTTCATAGAACTGTTTTAGATCAATAAGAAAACCGTTTTATAGTATCATATAAGAAAAACTGTTTCACAATTTTTCAATCCAATTCAAACAATTTGCAGAATCGGATTTATTGAGTTAAGACTGTAGGACCGCGAAAATCCAGATTGAAAAATACGAATGAAAATCTTATAATATAAATATTATATAGTATGAAAATACGATTGGAAATAGATAAATACGCAGAGGCGAGATTCGATATCTTTCCTTAACTCAATAACTCTCCCGCAGTGTGGCGGTTTTGATGATAATTTTAAATCTCATGATACAACTACATATTATCTATTTCCAATCATATTTTCATAATATAATATTTATATTATAAGATTTTTTAATCAGTATTTTCGCGGTCCTACACACTCTACTAGCATTTTCTCTAGCTCCAATTTCACAGCTTACCGGATCCAACCCCTTCATCAGAGCATTAATTTGGTATTCCTTACATACAAACCGAAATTAAATTGATGAACCGGAAATAACCGAGAGCTCTATATTTTTCTATAAAGAAACTGGAATTTGGGCCCATGGGCCCAGTATTTGCGATTGTTTTATGTTGTACTCAGGTAGTCGATAAGTCACCACCACTAACGTCCAAGAATCGAAAAACGAAAGAAACTCTTCGAAGGTAAATCTCGACTACAATTTTTCAATCAGTTCGATTTCTTCGTTCTTTTGTGAGTTTGGTTTCGAATTTGATTGTGTAAATTGCATTTTTTGTTGGTTTAAAGATGGATGTGGCTGAGCTAAAGCAAAAAGCACAGAATCTGCTGATGGATATCAAAATTAACGTTGAACATCTGGTTGTGTTTGCCAATACGGCGAATAACATTGTTCCTCTTGAACAGATCACGGGTTCGCTCTGGCACTGCGAGAATCTGGTGGAGGAAATCTTGGAGAACGACCACTCGGATGTAGAGCAAGAGGATCCACAAGTACCAGCTGTTCTTCCTCCTTAGCGAGCTAAGACTCTTCTTCATTGATTTGCTGTTTAATGTTGGTGTGTTTTCTTTGAATCAATCAATAATCCTTCACGATGTTTAGTGAAATGGAAATCGCTACTCTTTTTCAATATTCTCTCTACATGTGACTCAATAAAAAGTCTCTCTTTTTTACATAATTTGTGCTTCATTGACTTACATTCATAGTCTTGCTGTTTTCTCTCTTGTGTGTGAATCAATCGAAAGTCTCTCTTTTTTACATAATTTGTGCTTCGTTGACTTAGATTCATAGTCTTGCTGTTTCTCTCACTCACTGAATCAGTAAAATCAGAGAAGAAGCTGACGTTGAAGGATATATACTAAAATTAGAAGCAGTCACATGTAAACTTGTTACAGCTATATATTTATACCTGTCTTTCTCTTCTCTCACCAAACTCTGTCATTTCCTCTGAGGTTATGAAAATGAGGCTGAGAGTATTTCAAATCGAGCAAGAAATACTTGCCAGAGTGGTAGAAACTGGAAAAAAATCACTAATTTCCTGCTGTTTTCCTCTGGGTTAACACTTGGAGAATAACCTTTGCCACTCTGCAAACTCTTGAGTCGTTTTCCGATGAAGTTTCCGTGACGATCATATCCTGTATATCCCTCCAAAAAAGTGATCACTTTCATTACAGACCAACATTTCTCGAGCAAATGGATCCTCTCTTAGTTTAAAACCAATTGGCAATAGGTTTAAACAAACAAAGAAATTAATACGTTTAGTGAAATAGATAAGTTAATGGAAGATAATTCAAAAAGTCAGAAAATAGATACGTGAATGGATTTATTAATAAAAGAAATACATAAAAATCCTACCTCAATTCCTACTACATGCCATTTTCCATGTTGTAAAAATTTGAGTTGAATTATCTAATTTACAAAGGAAATACATCAAAATTCTAACTCAACAATACCACATCCAAATTGCAAAAAAATAAAAGTAAATCATGATTGGTAATATTTTTGAGTTATGACCACTAATCAAACTTACCACATGATACCACATGTCACCAACATGATATCAATTGTTCAATAATCTCTAATACAAACTACCGCACACACATGCTGAGTGACATGCATTACTTATATTTAAACCAGTGAAACACTTAATTTAGCTTTTTAATGGATCCATTGTAAAAGATATAAACAAATCCTTTCACATGTTTACCAATAAAAAAAAATATATAAAAACAAATCCATTATATTAGATGATTCCGCATGTCAAAAATAACTTGTGGATATGTCCATGACTAGAATAAACTAGTACTGTATGTATCATATTAATAACATGAACAAGAACGTGTTCGCATTTAGGCTCAAACCGAACAGAGTTCAAAAGGAATTCAGAAAAAAAAAAGTACAGAATTAGGTAAAAAAATGTAAAATTGGTGATTTTTAATTGAGACCCCTTTTTAATTTATTTGCTATATAAATTGTGTCCTCACTTTGCCACACAAGAAAAAAACGGTGTCCTCTCCCTTACCCACAGAACCTGTGAAACCTAGTTCATTCTGATATTGCAAGGTAATTTTCTCATACTATATGTTCTTCTCTTGTGTGTCAAAGATGTCCAACTTATGTTCTTCCTTTGAGATTTCGAAATGAAAATGGTACTGAAACCAAGATTTGGTTGAAACCCATATAAAAAGATTTGGTACTTTCTTTCCCTCTTTTTTTGTTTCATATTAAATTATTTTAAATGTCTTTTGAGAAATTTTATTAGAATGTTATATATTTTCTATACCAGATCTATACATGGGAATATATCTCACTTAACAAAAAAAAAATATAATCTATTTTACAATTATTTTTTTGTAATTTTTTTGGAGTAAAGTCTTTGAATCATGCTGAACAAAGTGGGATTTGTAGCAGTTAGTTTTTAGATTCATTCTTTGATTGAGAAAAATGTTGTACTTGGTTCTTAAATTTTCAGGGGGGGAAATGGAACTTGATGAAATGAGAGTCGCTGTAGGGCAGGCTGTAGACCATTTCACTGATGTTACGGTTCCAAGGATTGAAACATATATTGAGCAGGTAATTGTATAAATAATTGTTGTAGATGAGCATTTTAAAAAAATTCAACATTAATTAATTAATTAATTCGACTAACATGCAGGAGAATGATATCCACAAACTTCAACGTGCCTTCCACGTCATCGAATCAATCAACGCTGCAATCACGAATCCGTCGAATTTTGGAGAGGTGAATCAGCAAGCGACGAATCTTTTGAACAACAGAAGAAACTTCACAGTGGAATGGTTGACTGCTTTCAGAGATGAGACGATTCCTAGCCTTCGCAACTATATCAATAAGGTGTGACTATTTTGCTTTTGCTTTTGATTTCTTAACTTTAAAAAGGTTTGACTTAATTTGATTATTTTTAATATGTGCAGGAAACCAGTCTTCAGAATCTCCAACAAGTTGTTAGGCATCTGGAAGACATCAACAATAGGCTCAATTCTGCTGATGTTTTAGGAGTACGATATTAAGAAGCAATAACACATCATTGCTATGAATTATGTATTCGCTTGCACAAGTCTCTCTTCATGCTTGTTTAATAATAATAACTCTTGAAAAAATTCCATCATTATTTTGGTGTGTCTTGTGACTTGTGAGATGATGGAATTTTGTATTTGTGAAACTCTTGAATGTTTGATCTATTCTCATTTGACCTTTCATCTCCTAAGTTCCTAACTCACATAAAAAAATCTTTTTTTTTTTTTTCCTTTCTTTCGTCGAATGTCTTATTTGTTCTCAGCAATGGCTTCACAATTAACAAAACAAATCCATTTGTTATATGGTGATAAAGACCTATATATAAAAAGATTTAAACTGCAAAGACGATGTTCCCTTCTGATTATGAATGGTTATTTACATTAATATCTGCGTATGATGATCGATACCACACAACACAAGCTTAAAAAACGACAAACGTGTTCTTTTTTCCCTTCAATTCTTGGTCACGGCTTTACGTTTAGAGCATTCTTTTGACTTCATTCAGAAGAGGCCGATAGTTATGACTTATATCGTCTACGTTTCCTTGTACTATAAAATAATTATTGCGATATAACATAAGTTTTGGTTTCCGAGACCATTCTAATGTTTCACTAAGAAAATGATTTTGGTCGCAAGAAGTTGTAAAGTAGCAACTTGATCTTCAACTATGCGGTTCACACACGAAATTTGACCATGTGATTTTAAGAATAGGCGATCTTTAGATTATTAATTGACATATAGTGAAACCACTTGTATATCAAACAATTTGACATATTTGACCAGTTTGGGTATATACATATGGATCTGTTTAACCATAATGAAACAAAATACTAAATTTGTAGTACGTAATCATAATCTTTTGTTAAGGTTCCTACGTACTCCTGACCATTAAAAATGGTTCTTGTCTCATCGATTCTCTTAATTTACTGTTGTAATTGACTAAATGATTGAAAAACTGTGTCCAACTAACTTAGGGTTGAAATTTTGTTTTCATAGTTATCGATCATAATTCGATATGGAAAAGGAAAAAATTCAAATGTTCATAAATACAATACTCGTGAAGGAGAAAGCATATGATTCGGTTAAAAATAATAAGTACGTACGTATGGTCAAAGGAAAAAGTACGTACGTATGGACCACCCCGATTTATATATTTTGGAAATTAGTAACATAGTTGGTCAAAGGAAAAACGTTATCACGTTTTTTTTGCAAGACTCATGAGACGTACATGAGTCATTTTTTTATTACAAGAAACCATACATGACTACTGAATTAATTATGATTATTCTAATTAATCTGTAACTGAATGTACAAGAGAGTTCATATAGTAAGCTAAAGGAAACTCATCAAGTGGATGATTAATCTAATCTAAAATGACTTAACCACCGGAAATATAAACCGGACTGTATACCCTAATTAATAGGGACTGCACTCTACACGTACGTACGATTGTTTGTGTATCAGTATATGTTATTATATACAAATATACAATGATACATTGGGATGTTTATTCATGAACAACAGAAAATCAACGGATCTTCTTCAGTTCTTCCCCTAAGATTCAAACGGTTGGATCCACCAATGCATGGATATAAAATATATCATGTTACTTTACCATAAGTTTTCTTTTCGCCTTTTGATACGAACTTCTCTGATCTCGACTTAATACGATCCCGATCCTACCCCATCTTACATCCTAAAGTCACGTACTGAACTCACCATTTATAATGTCCTGTAAATACATCATAAACATTTATCTTTTTTACATTTTTGGGTACATAATGGGGATATCATAATCAAATTAGATTCGTATGGCAAATAAAGATGCTCTCTTTGTAGGAGTTACCTTTGGTTCCACAGTGGAACCATTGCACATTCACGATTTATATATGTAAGCTATTGGTTTAATAATTTGACTAAAATAAATAATTATGTACACGGTATCATCTTTACAAATGGGTACTTACACTTTGCAACGACTTGCAGTTCAAGAACAAATTTTAATTACACTTCATAATTATTAAATTGTTAGTCTAGTTACGTGGAAGATAAATGAAATCCAAACCTTCTCCAAAAAAGAAATACGAATACCATTAGTATGTTGGACTAGCATCTCATTGAATTGTTGTCACATGAGTAGTAATCCAAATAAATAAATAAAAAATGAAAAGAGTGAAATGGGTTCTCAATTGTGGTTGTAGGCCCAATCCAAAAATAAGCCCAAGCAGAAATGTGTGCCGTCGACTACATTAAACCGTCTCCTCCTCCGTTATCCCACCGAATCCGTAAACCCTAGATCCGATTTCGCGAGGTAATCGTCCGATCTGCATGTTTGATTTCATGAATTTCCAATTCTGGAGTTCCCGCTTCGACATTTCGATACGAAAGTTGGTTTTTCGAAGCTTTTTCCCCTGATCTGAGTCTTGATTTCTCTCATCAGGAACAATGGATCGTGAAGCTGTCACTGACTTCCTGAAGAAAGCACATGCGATGGTGGATGATCCTTCGACGGATTCAGCAATCTCGTGGAGCGAAGAGGGCAAGAGCTTCATCGTTTGGCATCCTGCAGAATGCTACAGAAACCACCTTCCTCGACTCTTAGGAATCACCGACTTCCTCGGATTTCACACCTATGTAAGTTTTTTTCTTCTTTTCAATTTCTTCCCCAAAATGTTATCAGAATTTTGCGTGACCCATGTTTTGTTGAACGAACGTGTACAGGGGTTTAGAAGAAACAAGTCCACAAGTGGGATAATGGAATACGCGTGCGATGATTTCGTGAGAGGCCAGCCTGAGCTTGTGGAGAAGATTGCGGAGCGCTACGTGGAGAAGGAGAAGGCGAATCACGAGGTGAAAGTGAAGGCAGTGCAAGAACGATTGAAGAATTGCAAGAACAAAGAGGAAAGGGATTTAGTGAGGAAGGAGAGGAGGGAGAGTATTGAGAAGCGGAGAAAGCACATAATCGATGAAGCTTTTGCTGCAGAGATTGATAATTTGATGGCACGTATTTCAAGCGAAAAGGAGAGAAGAAAGGAGATGGATTCTTTGTCAGTACAGGTGCTTTGATGATCACTCAATTCATTGTTATGATCATCTCTCAATCTTGGTTGCTTCCAATGTTCATGAATAAGCCGTCTTTGTTTTGTAGCTAAGAAATGGGATCATGTAAGTTTGTACTCCTCAGTTTCCTAATCAAGAACTTGGTAAAATTTTGAAACCTTTGCAAGTTTTTCTTGGCCAAAAATAAAAGCGAATGACTTTGACAACTAAATAAATTTACTTTGTGGAAAAGAACAGAATCCAGAAAGATTACAATTGCAAATAAGCTACATGCATTGATTATGACTTACAGTAAAAATTTCCCACTATGATCGATCAAAGAACGAGAACAGCCCTATCTTTATCTTGTTGGAGATCTCGTAGACAGACATTTCCCACACGACACGAGCTTCAATAACGAATGTGGTCTTGATGCCCTTCTTGTTCTCACCTTCAACCTCGTGCCCTACAATGACAAAGTTTCCAATTTTTATCAATTACCCCATAACAAAGTTAAAAAGAGGGTTTTGTTATTACCTTGCGACGTGTGCCTCTTGAGGATTTCCAGCATAACAAGCTTCTTGATCTTGGTTCAAGCCTCCTGTGATAATAAAAAGAGATGAGACATTTTTACAAATTGATCTATCTTTTGGGAATAGTGTTTGACTAAGTGTTTCGAGATTCTTCTTCTTACAGATTCTCTTGTTCCAGCTTCTCTGCGATAGACACGGCTTTGCGTTTAGACCATCCGTTTTGGAGTGTGCATCCGTCAGCTTGCTGAATCACATGTGCCAAGGAGACTTTACCTCTCACAATGCTTTGGCTCTGGCTTGCTTCCAAATGTTTCCTTCTAGCTCTGGCTAACGCCGAAGAACCACCAGCTCGCTCTGTCTTCTCCTCCGCCTCCGCTTGCTTCTGTTGGTGATCCCTTCTTTGTCCATTAGGTTCGATGACTTCAACTATCTCACTTCTTCCGCTTCCATCGTAATCTTGGCCAATCACTGCTAAAGATGATGGAAAGCTTTTGTCTTTTGCATTGTTTCTTGGCTCTCTCTTTGCCTCGCATCTGATTTCTATAGTTACCGGAGACTCAAGAACCGCCTCAAATGCTTGCATTATGTGGCCACGGAACTTCTCAGCCGTCGATTTGGTTAACGCTGAGCTGAACATTAGATGCACTGTAGGAGCTGCCACAACACCAAGAAAAATATAAAATTTGGCATCAACAACATATAATCAAGATTCAATCATTTCACTACACCAGAGAGAAATTGAAGTCAAATTCAAGAAATGAAATTACCTGAACCGAGACTAAGAGATACTATTCTTCCCTCTTTGTAAAGAAATTCTTTCAAACCGTTAACACGAAGCTTCTCAATAACTTCCAACCAAATCTCTTCAACCGCTGGTCGGTTTTTTCTACCGTCCCCTCCTCTTCTTCTGTCCAGTCCAGAACTTCTTTCCCCTGCTGCGTCGCTAGAAGGATCCAGATGGTGATCTGAGCTTTCTCTACCTCCATTGTTCTCTAACGGCAGTGGACTCCGGTTAAAGCTAGTATCCGCAGTGGAAGAACGTTGAAGCAAGTAGTTCTGATCAGGAGCCAGCTGAAGCAACGCGGCTGTGAGCCAAGTCAGTTTATCATTAGATACTCTCAGCTGTTTCTCTGCCTCTGATAATGTCTTAAGTGCCTGTCTCAGCTTCTCCATATCTTCTTTTGATACTAGAAATGGTGAGCAAAGCAAAGAGTTTGATCAGAGAAAACAACAAACAAAAGGTATTTGCAGTTTATGTTAGGATGTGGAAAAAGTCTGAAACTCACATGGTTGTCGCCGGAAAAACTTTCTCTTATGCCGATCTTTGGTGAAGTCATAACTACCAGCAAGAATATCAGTTATGACAGTTGCAAGCTGTGACATTAGAGCTAATGGTTCCACACTTGTTTCCATTATTGTTCTCAGATTCTTCACAGTGTTTACAGTATCTGCAGATAAAGCTAAATCAAGAAGATTCACTAACTTCTCATCAGAAACAAGCCCAACCTACAGCAAGAGAAGAAAAGAATGTCAATATTCAAAAAGTTTTGATTTTTTTTTAACTACTTGTTATTATTAGCTTACCAGTTCCTGAACTAAAGGAACAGAGATCCTCTGTCCGAGCAAACTCAGCTGTTCAAGAGTCATCTCAGCGTCTCTCAACGAACCATCTGATCTCGAAGCAATAAGCTTCAAGGCATCTTTCTCTATCTCAATCTCTTCCTTTGATGCAATCCACTGCAAGGAGCAAACGATGTCTGCGTCTTTCAGCTTCGGGAAGAAGAACTTCTGGCACCTCGATATGATCACATGTGGCAGAACATCAAGACTCGAACACACGAGGATAAAGACCACACGACGTGGCGCTGCTCGATCCACCACTTTGGACAGAGCGTTCCAGCAATCATACGACAATGTATCGCAATCATCAAATATGAAAACACGTGGAGACTGCGACTGAGATGAAACCATCACATTACCATCACCATCAAGCAAATCCAAAATGTTCTCAACAGGACCTACTTCACGAATGTTCCAGCTTTTCCCCATTTCATGTGAAACACATGAGCCGCAACTGCCACAAGGCTTCGGTTGTTCCATGGAGTGACAATTCAAAGCCCTTGCGAATATCCGAGCACAAGAAGTCTTCCCAGTACCATTTGGACCGTGGAAGACATACAAAAGTCCAAGCTTTCGTCTTGCAACTGCATTGGAAAGAGCTTGCACAACAAGATTCTGTCCAACAAGATCCCGGAATGTTTTAGGAGTGTACTTCTCCGTAAGACTCTGATGCTGATGCCGAACGTTTCTATGGCTCTTCTTCTTATGTTTCTTCTCTCCTGACCTTCCTTCTGAAGCAAGATCAGAATCTTCTTCGTTCTTGAGCAAGTTGTCAGCGAAAATCCCTAGCTCCCCTGAGTAATCATGCACCCATCCTTCATTCTCTGCACTATCAACCAGCAAAGGAAGCGCCTCGCCGCCATCAGACCGGATGAATGAGCTTGAGTCATCATCATCAGACTGTCTCATCATCAAATCAGAACCATTCCTCTCATTGGCTTCACCTTTCCTTCCTTTAGAATCAGACATACCACAAGACAAACTCCTACCGGCTTTATCAAGAAAAGTCTTCCCTTGGTGATGGATTCTTGACCAGTTAAACGGAATCCCACAAGCTTTAGTCATGTTCTGCTCCCCAAATCCTTCTTTCTCTCCCTCATGATGCTTCTCAACTTGAGGCAGTGTGTTAGAAGCAACAGACATCTCACTCTTCCCACCACCACCACCACCTGTATCTCTACTCTTACCTCTAACTCTCCTCGTCCCTCTAAATTTCCGCCTTTTAGGCCGACTCATTCCACCACCGCATCCCCGAGCACCACCACCAGCAGCACCACCATACCTAACCCTTGGACGAACATTAGACGAAACAACATCATCACTATCTCCTCCAACAACCTCGTTTAACTGATCAGACAGTGTCTTAGCAATAGCATCATTGATTCTACTAAGCCTACCACTAGCTTTCGATCCTGAATTCCCAGAAGCAACGCCATGAGAAACCACATTGACATTATGATGATAATCATCCTCAACTCTATAACTCTTTCTACTAGATTCCTCTCTCTTCACTCTCCTACCACTCTCTCTACCACCTCCAAGTTCTAAGCTTTGACTCAGCCCTTCATCAGAAGGAGTCACCTTTGATGTCCCAAAGTTCACAACAGGTGAAGAGCCACTCAAACCAGACAACCTACGACTAGACTTTGACTTCTTCTGATCAACGGATCGTCTTCCTCCTTCCAAGTGATCTCCTTTCTTAGGAAGCAAATCGACGATCGAGGACTGCGTGTTCCAAGCCGGTGGTGGGCTCGCGGAGGGATCTCTGAGCGAGCGTGACCTTTGGAGGACAATGAGGTCTCTCATTAGGGCACGGTCGGTTAAGACCGGGCTCTGTTTGTGCATATGGTTCTTCAAGTGAATACAGTTTGTTAAATGGATGTGGTTACGAAGATGCTCACCGATGTCTCCGTTTGCATCTTTGAGGATTCGATTCCGAGTTGAGGAAGAAGAAGCGACTCTTGTCGTTGTCGTCGTCGTCGTCGTCGTCGTCATTTATTCAGAGTGAGACGAGGTTTGTCTCCTTCCTTTTCGGAATCTTGCGTATATACCAAATCGAATTGTATCTCATCTTTGTAAATCAAATCCTCTCAGCTTTCCAAATTTGAAAGTAATCAGCCCTGATTCCAGTGAATGATACTCAAAGATTACAGCTTTAAAGTCTCAAATCTCGAAAAAGAAAGCTACTTTCAGGAAGTATCCAAATTAGTGGGGAAAAAGAGTTAAATTGATGAATTGAAAACCCAGATGGTGAAAAAATGGAAACTTTAAACTTTGGAGCTCTGTTGCAGATTTGAGGGAAACAAAAACAGAAGCTAAAGGATCAAAATTTCTGCTTGTTATGTACTAAAGATGAGAACTTGTTTGTAATAAAAGAAGGTGAAGAGAGAGAGTGAAGAAATTGATGAGAGTGGAAAAAGAGAGGCAAGTGGGCATCGTTGTTAGTGACCTCATCAGTCACAGAGACAACAGAAAATCACGAAACGGTAGCGTTTTAAAAGCAATCACAGATCTCTCCTCTTTCTTCACCAAACTTTCACATGCAGATTCAGATGAAACTGATGATGGGTTCTGGAGATAACGATGGCTTTTGGCAGAGTGTGTGAGAGAAAGAGAGAGAGAGGGAACCCTCCGTTTAGAGAAGAGGGTTTGTTGTTTTGGGATTTTTAGAGAGAGAGACAGAAATGGAGACAGATCTGTTGCAGACACGAACACAGAGGGAACAAAGCCAATAAAGGAGTGTCCGTTTCTAGGAGAAGAAGCATGGAAGAGAAATGGAATCAATTTTTTACTCTGTTCTATAAAAAAAGTTGAATTTTTTATTAAAAGTTAGAGAATTTTTGCTAGTCCAAATTATACGACTATCAGACTTAAAAGTTTCGACCTTCGAATTATATGCAGCTTGTATTTTTTATTTTATTTTTTCGTACGGATTTGAAACCTAGTCGTTGGCATTTATTTTGTCATCCTAGTTTTTTGTTGTTTTTCTTCGTAATATGATTGGGTCCATTGTGGATTCAACCGTTTGAATCCTTGTGGAAGATCCATTGGTTAGACAATCCTCATTAATTATATAGTGTAATTTTTTTTTTTGGGTCCAACAATAGTTATAATGTAATTTTGAAAGTTTTCAGTTTCATGACATAAAGTTATACAAAAAAAAAGTTATCGAAATTACCTTCTAATGGATATATAAATTATTATTTATTATTGTTTCATAAAAGTTGGTTAGAGGAAAAGAGATGTCCACTCAAGCTAGTCAAATCTTTGTACTCGTCAGAATGATAATAATCCAAATAAAAATTTATAATGATCCTATTTTGTCCTTTTTAAGTTTAACCATAATAAAGTACTACTTACTAAATTTGTAGTAGCTGATCATAATCCTCTTTTGTTCAAGTTAAGGTTCCTACTTCCAACCAGTGGTCTCATCGATTCTCTTGATTAATGTTGAAATTCTTCAAATGATTGAGATGATCCGAATAGTGTGCAAGTAAGTAACTTACTGTCGAAAATTTGTTTTTCTATATGTGGCGGAATGTTACTCTAAATGGTAATGAATCAAATACTGATATGGTTTTCATTTTTAATCTCAAATAAGATCCCATAGTAACATAATGAAAGTAGAACTAGTGGGTAGTGTCGAAGCTGCAAACACTTAGATAACAAGAAAAATCAAGATATCGGATACGACAAAACAACAACTTTTATCCCCAAAAAAATAAAAACGATCGACGATACCTATACGTTACGAGGTTCACGTGCGCACATTTTTCTTTTTGCGAAACTAAAAGTTTAGACTGAATCATTAGTAGTAATTAATATTTTCTTGTTGGCATAGATGATCATTAATTTTTCAAGTTGTTCTTATTCTCACAAAACAATGGGAAACAGTAAGTTCATCAAGGACATGTACCCTAAATATCATTAATTCTATGTTTGCGAAAGTTTTCCGTTGCACTTGCACCACTCATAGTGAACTAATCATAACAATCCATATCCATATATCTTATGTTCATATATATATATATATATATATATATAAATACAAGTGAATGAGAATGCATAGGATTCTATACAAATAATAAATGGAAGAAGGTAAGGACTACGTATGGACCACCAGTTTATAATACTTGAAAGTTAGTAAACTAGTTGGTCGAAGGAAGGCATTGTCTTTTATAAGATATCATGAGACATTTTTTATTATTACAAAATGCCATTATACAACACTACTTAATTAATAGCATGTATATGTATGTGCTAACTTATACATATATTGATATATATAGGTATGATTTTATACATGCACGACAAAATATCAAATTTATCTAAACACCTGAAAATTCTGTCGATGTTTTAAACAGATCTCCCTCTGTCTCTATATATATGTTGTATATACCAAACTTGTCAATATCGCTTATTTCTTACGTCATACGGTCAAATTGTGTGTGTGAACCGTATAGTTAGAAAAAAAAATTGAGACCAAAATCATTATTCAAGTGAAAATTGAGGATGGTCCCGGAAAAGAAAACTTATGTTACATCACAATTATATTCATGAAACTTGGAAGTTGTATGTCACATCGCATTTAGCTTCTTCTGTATTTTTGCAATTTTGCTAACACTATTTCTTGTTACATTGTATACATTGATATCTTATTATGTAGATCGAGACAAAGGTGAAGTTATAGTGTAGGTACGCTAAATTTCTCAATTACTACGTATAAAGTTGAGATTAGGTAAAGTTTATAAACGAAGATTATATAATCTGAAATATATTGTTATCTATCCTTTTATTTCCAGCAAAAATATGTTACCGTCTACGTACTTATCTCTATACTCAAAGAAAAGTTATACGGAAACCTACAAATTCAGATTTTTTTTTTTTTTTTCTTTTTCTTCAAATAAAACATGTTATAGCTTTGTCTAATTAAATTGAAATCTAAACATGAAGCGATCGTAGTCCCAAATTCCAATGAACTAAAAAGTGACTTCAAATAGACATCTCTGACACGTTAACTTAACGTTTTATTCTGGAAAGTGTTTTGATTCTCGAGCCCAAGCTGATGCTTTAACACTTGGAACTTGTAAGAGTGGAGAAGAGAATCTTTAACAGTAACTCAGGATTACTTTGGTAGTTTGTTATAAACCCTATATAGCCTTTTTCTTTCTTTCTCTTTGTTACGTAGTAGTCCATTTAATACTACTAATTTATATCTTGTGGTATAGTACAAGTACTTATGTGATATGTCCAAAGCCAGGAAAAAAAAGGTCTACATGCATCCGACTCTGTATAAGTAGACCTCTAGCATTCTTTGATCACGTGCTCACCATCGCTACTTTGCGGCGACCCATTGCCCGGCTCCACCTCCACGTGCCAGTATCGGCGTCTTGACTCTTTGAGTTTTAAGCAAGCTTAACCACACAGAACAAACTGTTTCCCCACATGTTCTTCTGTGTAAAGGCCTAATTTACCATCCCGAAAAATTACGAGGCTATAGAAAAGTCAAGAGCTGAAGCTAAGTATAATGGAGTAGTAGTAAACCAACCACTGGGATACATATTACGAAACTAGCTTGTGATAGTATTACTTACACCTAGATTATTTCAAACTATTTTGTATTTACGTATTTTTAAAAAGGTAGAGTAGAAAGCATGGTTAATTATGGAGGAGAATGCTCGAACCAACATTTAAGCAAAACCAGCTTATAAATTTGGGAATAGCCTCATAAAGATGAATACATTTCCTATCATCAATCACCCCCACCAATTAGAGAGTCTTAGTTACGAGTGTTTTTTACAAAGACAAAATCGAAGATTAAATATATCTTGTTAATTGTCATTAGAATTAGGTTAGTCTTTTGGTCAACCGAATGATGAAGTATTACTAAAGGAAAAAAAAAAAAAAATTCAATTTAATCACACAACAATCACAACGTACTGTATACGAAAGATTGCAAATTAACACTTTAGACATCTTGAAACAAAAATCTTGGCGTACAATTTCTTCTCAAAGACTACCACAAAAAAATAGTTAAACTTGTTTTCATTTCCTCTTGAATCAACAAGAGCGTCTGTAGTCCAACGGTTAGGATAATTGCCTTCCAAGCAATAGACCCGGGTTCGACTCCCGGCAGACGCACATTTTTTTCCTTAATGGAGTAAACGAATTGAAATACTGGTTCGGTAAGAACTAAGAAGAGACGCTTTTAACTGAACCGGAGAACCAAAATCTTTGGTCGAGACTTCTCCACGTGTGTGGTCTACAATCTCCATTCGTTCCACAGCACAAACATCTCCGTGGCAAAATCCTCCGAGAGTTAGGAATTGAGAAATGGAGCTTTCTTCTTCTCTCAAGCTTTCATCGCCGTTATCTCCTTCCATCATCAACCTTCAGGTTACTTAACAATCTCTCAGCTTTTCATAATTTGTTTGCTCATTTATCTTATTTTAATCTGAAATTAGGAGCATCAGTTTTAAGACCAGAGTGTTGTGTAACGAATCCAACTTGAAATTTTGTGAAGACTTATCTATTAGTTTTGTGCTTACTTGAGGGAATAAAACTGTTTCTCTGCAGGTTTCTTCATCAAGTAATAATGTAAAGCTCTCTAACTACACTTCACTTCCTAAACCGTTTCTTCAACTTGGTGATAGAAGCCGAAGTCTTCGTAACCAACATTCTGTCAATCTAAGATCATACAGAAATCAAGTCACTGCGAAATCATCGGGATCACAAGGTTGGGACTTTGGTAGATTCATCAAAACATTGCACTTCTTCAACGGACCACCGTCTCCCATAAAGGTATCATGAACGTTTGATTCTCATTATAAAAAGTTAAGTTATTTGGGGTTTATTGATTAGTTATTTGTTTGTTTGCTTGTGAAGTTTGTTTCATCAGTATTTGAGAAACTTACAAACGGATCAACGGAGATACCAGTGAATGAAATGGAAACTGGTGGAATCATACTTGTGGCTGGAGCTACAGGTGGTGTAGGAAGAAGGGTTGTTGATCTCTTGAGGAAAAAGGGCTTGCCTGTTAAAGCATTGGTGCTAATCTTTCGTTAAGGAATTTGTGTTTTTCAATCCTGATTTTCTGACAATGTGAGCAAAGTTTTAAACTTTTGTGTGAAATTTCTACAGGTTAGAAATGAAGAGAAGGCTCGGAAGATGTTAGGACCTGACATTGATTTGGTGAGAAATACCACATTCTTCTTTCTCATTGACTTTTGGCTTGTTTCTAAGATTCTTGCACTTTTGGCAGCGGACTGAAATCTTTTGATGTTGTCAGATTGTTGCAGACATTACGAAGGAGAATACGTTGGTTCCTGAAAAGTTCAAAGGAGTGAGGAAAGTGATCAATGCTGTTTCTGTCATAGTCGGTCCTAAGGAAGGAGATACACCTGAGAGACAAAAATACAACCAGGTTGGTGAATTTTTCCAAGATTGAATATTTCTTAAAGCTTTGATTTTAGAGGTTTCTAGCTTTGAGCAATGACGGTTTTTGGATATGGGTTTTTAACGCAGGGAGTCAGATTCTTCGAGCCAGAGGTAATGAGACTAAACCAACATTTCCTTGAGATTTTGGGAATGTTACTATTCTCAATGTTCAACAAAACTAAAACTTATAGGTTTTGTGGTGAATACACAGATAAAAGGCGACTCTCCCGAATTAGTTGAATATGTTGGAATGAAGAACTTGATCAATGCTGTGAAAGATGGTGTTGGACTTGAGAATGGGAAGCTTCTTTTCGGTGTTGGCGGTAAGTTTGAGTCAAGTAACTTGATTCAGCTTTTTAACTTTGGCATATTCATTTCTAAAAAAAACGTTGTCACAATGTCTTTGTATAGATAACACGTTTAAAGATTTACCTTGGGGAGCCTTGGATGATGTTGTAATGGGAGGTGTCAGCGAAAGTAACTTCCTAGTAGATCTTACCGGTGGTGAAAACGGTGGACCTACAGGAATTTTCAAAGGTTTGATAACATAACATAACAACTGCATTCACCATTTTTCTTCTCTTGAGTTTCTTTCTACTTCCACAAACAGAAACATGTTTTTTTGGTTAGGAATTGTCTCAACAACAAACAATGGCGGCTTTACGAGTGTCAGAACCAAGGTAAAGGGTACGACTTTAACATCATAAATCTCTCCAACCTTTGTTTTTTGATTTGTTATCTTATTGAAGTTCTTAAACAAAATTCTCTCAGAACTTTTCCGAGGCTGAAGATCTCTCTGCATATGACGGTCTAGAGCTAAGAGTAAGAGGAGATGGGCTCCGTTACAAGCTTATCGTCCGAACAAGCCAAGATTGGGACACTGTTGGTTACACCGCTAGTTTCGACACTTCACCAGGCCAATGGCAATCTGTGAGTAAAAAATTACTCTTGTGTCAATAAATTCTTGATCTACTTTTCTGTGTTTTATCAAGATTCAAGAACAATGTTATGTTCTCTCAAATCTTTAGGTACGTTTACCTTTCTCGTCTTTAAGACCAGTGTTTCGCGCACGGACGAAGTCAGACGCACCGCCTTTTAATCCAGGCAGTATCATTTCACTACAGGTTTGATCTTTCTGTTCCTTTCTCATCCACACTCTCTTAAGCTTTCTCTTCTACATGATTGATTAAGTTTGCTTTTTTTTTTTCTTCAGCTTATGTTTAGTAAGTTTGAGTATGACGGTAAGCTTAACCCGACTTTCAAAGAAGGACCGTTCGAGCTTCCTCTATCAAGCATTCGAGCGTACATTCAAGAGCCTGTAACTCCAAGGTTCCGATTTTTAGTTTCTTGCTCTTTATAAAACCAACACTCTTCTCTAAAATGCCAAAAATTGGAATTTTTTGACTACTTACAGGTTTGTTCATGTTGGCTCTGCGGGAGTAACAAGACCAGAGAGACCCGGTTTGGATCTAACCAAACAACCTCCGGCTGTGAGATTAAACAAGGAGCTTGATTTCATTCTCACTTACAAGCTAAAGGTTTGTCTCTTCTTTTCAATGAAATTGGATTAGTCATTTTCACAAGATTACAAAAGCTCTGTTTTTGAATGAACAATTAGGGAGAGGATCTGATACGCGAAAGTGGGATTCCATATGCGATTGTGCGGCCATGTGCTTTAACAGAAGAGCCTGCAGGAGCTGATCTCATTTTCGATCAAGGAGACAACATTACGGTTATTATCAACTTTTGCTTCCCCTGAGAGAAACCAAAAACTCGTTTTAAGTTTAACTAACATAACCAACTTTGGCTTTGTTATATATATAGGGGAAGGTATCGAGAGACGAAGTAGCACGTATATGCATTGCTGCTTTAGATAGCCCTTTTGCTCTAAACAAGACATTTGAGGTTTCAACAATTTGAGGAACTCAAGTTTTTCGTGGTTTTTCTTCAAGATGTTTGATTTGAGCTATTTTGTGTGCTGTTTGTTTTCAGGTTAAAAGTACGGTTCCGTTTAGCGAACCTTTCACGGTAGATCCTGAGAATCCTCCACCGGAGAAAGACTACGATGAGTATTTCAAGAATCTGAAAGATGGAATCAATGGTAAAGAGGCTTTGGAACAGAACACTGTTGCTGTGTAAAGCTTAAACCAGATTTTATCTGCTTTTTTGTAACTTTCTGTTTTTGTTTCTTCTGTCTGAAAAAGGCTTTTGAAATGTAAAAAAAATCAATATAAATAAAGATTGTGTATGTTTCAGATATACGGGTTCTTACAATGTAGATAAAGGTTATTACAAAAGCTTTTTCAACGAAAACAATAGATATTATACCTTTTGATCCGTTGAGGTTTTAGGAGATTCTCGAATTTCTCTGCCATTTCTTTGTCTGTGAGAATTGTGCCTTGTGGTGTAAGAAAGGCCGTACGTTGAAACGGTGGAGACCAGATTCCACTTTTCTGGTAATCGAACTGAAACTCAGACACATCAATGTACTTCTGAAGAAGTTTGTCTGAAACTGGTTTTGGTACGTTCTGAGTCAAAACAGAGGAAGATGATATTGTGTATTCAGACATTATTGAAAGAAAAGTTTTTAACAAAACAAAAAAGCAGGAAGACAAAATTGAAAGAAGATTGAATATTTTTGATTGGAGGGTTTCATGAGGAAAGGCTTGATGGAGACTTTATGTTAATCAGTGATGACAAAATAATGGATTTCTGCAAATAATGGAGGATGAGTGGAGAGGAGCACAGTCGCACAGAGCAAATAATGGAACATTTGTCTGTTTATTTTTTCTTTCTTTCTCTGTTTTTGCAAAATAAAGGATTTTCTGCATTGTAATGATGCCATAATATTAAGGGTGCAAATGGTTATCACTGGAGGAATTAGAGGAATAAACCTTGGTGGAATAGAGATTAGTGGAATATAAATTCTAAGAAATAGTAGAGGTAACTTTTTTTTTATCCATTCCTCTAAGAAATAGTAGAGGTAATTTTTTTTCGCATTTTTTTTTCAGGAACTGTGTTCCACTACTTCTCAACTTATAAATGGTTATTTTTTTAGAGGAATGTAGATTTATTCCTCTAATTATGCAACTTTGCACCCTAAATGTTTTAGAAAACAATTCTGAGAACTGAAAAATTACATTTTGATATTTATGTAAAATCTTGTAAAATAATTATTTTCATCCCTTATGTATAAATTTTGATATCTTCATCTTATCATACACCATAGTTCCATAACATTATTTATTTCATTTTTCATTACTTTTAGAGTATTACAGAATATAGGTAATATAAATAAATATAACTAATTATTAAAATTGAATATGTATATCTGTAAGATGATGTAATTTGATATGTTTAAAATTAGAGATTTTCTAATTTAAGATAAACAAATTCAGATAAAATTCTTAAATTAAACCACACTAAAAATATTAATATTATAAAAATATTAATATTATGATAATGAGAGACTAATGAGTGAAAAAAATTAAGATGAACTTTTCAAATCAAACTATACTAAAAATACATTGTTATTATATATTGTTTTTCCCTTTTATAATAATAATAATTATTATTATATAATTGATAAGAATCTTTATGGATATCACCAATAGAAATGGTGTTTTAACTAAAAGTGTTTGCAGATGAAACTCTAATTCTTATAACTTTGTTTTTTGGGTCTGCCGTGGAAATCACAAAAAGACGACTATGATTTCTGATCTTCCCCGTGATTTGGAATGTGAAATACTCTCTAGGGTTCCGTCCAAGTCTCTAGCAAAATTGCAAACTACATGCAAACGATGGTATACTTTATTCAAAGATCCAAAATTTGTGAAGAAAAACTTGAGTAAGGCAGTAAAGGAGATGTTGTTACTAGATTTTGAGGTTTATTCAGTAATCATCAATCACCATGAAATCAATAACAAGGTAGATCCATCCATGGAGATTACAGGTAAACTTAGCCGTCTAGATGATTCAAAAGATTTAGAAATATCTGAAACATTTCACTGCGACGGTTTAATATTATGCACCATGAAGGAAAAAACAAACGAAAACATAAGTCATGTGGTTTGGAACCCATGTACCGGTGAAACCAGGATGATCAAACCCACAAATGGTGACACGAAGGATTGTGTCTATTTTCTTGGATACGGAAACAACAACCCTTCTTGTCATAACTACAAAATCTTGAAGTTTCGCTGTACTAACAGACGATTTGTTAAGATTGAAATTTATGAGTTGATCTCTGAAACATTGAGGGATCTTGATGACTTTAATTATAAATGGTTCATAGATTTTTTTTCTGGCGTGTCGTTGAAAGGAAATGCTTACTGGATTACTTCAGACAAAGATAACCTACTCAGTTTCGATTTCACAACAGAGAGATTTGTGTCTTTCCCTCTTCCGTATAGGAGTGATAATCCCAGTGGAAGAATAAATGGTCTCTCGGTTATTGGAGAAGAACAACTCGCGGTGTTATATCAGAGTATAGGTAGACTCTCACCAGAGTCAGAGATAGAGGTATGGTTGACCAATAAGATTGGTGAGGCCAAAGAGGTGTCTTGGAGCAAATTCGTTGTGGATTTTCATAAATGTCTACTACCATATTATTCTTTGACGATGACTTTTTGGGTGGACGAGGAGAATAAAGTGGTAGTCTGTTGTACTCAAGACATAAAACGTGGAGGGTATACCAGTTCTTTTTCCAGCGTTTACATTGTTGGAGACGATTTTCATAAACAAGTTTATAAAGGGATTGAAAAAAGGTCTTTGTTAGGTGCACGTATCCTCAGTTACGTTCCAAGTTTGGTTCGCATCCCAAAGGCAAAAGAATAAGACAAGCGAGAATGAATCATTTTCACTCAAATGAATCGTTTTCACCACCTGTAGTTTCTTTCTTTCTTTCTGGTTTTGATGATGTTTCTATTTATTTGATAAACAGAATAATATTGTTTCTATCAGTTAAAAACAAAATAAAAAATAGAGTAATGTTCTTTTGGTTTTGAAATGGAATCGCTGGTTATCTCCACTCGAATACATTGTTCTGCTTATAGCCACTTTTACATCATCAAATGATTTTGATCTTGGAGAGAAGCAGAATCCTTATATAATACGCAACAACCAGTTATCTATTAATAAAAGCAATCTTATAAAATGCATACGACGTTTGGGTCTTTTTATCCTAACTCTTTCGAATGTTCATTTTTGTTCATAACCGTTATTAGAGTTGTAATGTATCTGTTAATTATTTTTATGTACATTTCTGTTTATAAACTTTTTATTTTGCTCAATGTTCAACAAAACTAAAATCTATACATAGGTTGCAGTGATTACACAGATACATAAATCGCTAACTCAATTAAAAGATCATGTAATTCATTTATTAAACTAGCGTAAAAAACAAAAAAAAACATAACTCGAAGTCGAACACATGCATGGGGATCCGAGTCGAGTTAAATCAGTTCATGAGCTTTTTTTTTTTGTTTCACCCCTATATCTACAAGGAGTGATATACAAGTTGTACAACAGAAAGATAATCATTACACATATCTCTATGATAATCTGCACGAGGGTCGCGTCACAATTATATTGTTTAAGTTATCAACATAATATTAAAATTAATGTGTGAATACTAGTGTGTGTGTTAAGTTATCAACTTGAGCTATTTTGTGTTCCGTTTAGCGAACCTTTCACGGTAGATCCTGAGAATCCTCCACCAGAGAAAGAGTACGATGAGTATTTCAAGAATCTGAAAGATGGAATCAATGGTAAAGAGGCTTTGGAACAGAGCACTGTTGCTGTGCAAAGAGCTTAAACCAGATTTTATCTGCTTTCTTGTATCTTTCGGTTTTGGTTTCTTCTGTCAGAAAAAGGCTTTTGAAATGTAAAAAACAATAAATAAAGATTGTATATTCCATATAATACGGGTTCTTACAATGTAGATTAAGATTATACAAAGCTTATTCAACGACAACAATAAAGAGTTTTGATCCGTTGAGGTTTTAGGAGATTCTCGAATTTCTCTGCCATTTCTTTGTCTGTGAGAATTGTGCCTTGTGGTGTAAGAAAGGCCGTACGTTGAAACGGTGGAGACCAGATTCCACTTTTTTGGTAATCGAACTGAAACTCAGACACATCAATGTACTTCTGAAGAAGTTTGTCTGAAACTGATTTTGGTACCTTCTGAGTGAAAACAGAGGAAGTGGATGAAGACGAATATTCTGACATTAAGACAAAACTGAAATAATGTTTTTTAAGAAACAGACAGGAAGACGGAATCGAAAGAAATTTGAATATTTTGACTGGAGGGTTTTATGAGGAAAGGCTTGATGGAGACTTTATACAGATTTGCTGACATGGCAAGCTCTCATTTTTTTGAGCTTTTTTTGATTTATTTTAATTAAATTATTTAATTGCAAAACGGATAAACACACGGATCCGTTGCTGGGTCGGATCTTTCATTTAAATCGTAAAAAGGCTTCTCAGAAACTATATTATTGGGCCTTTATTAAAACTTGAAATGCACGAGTGACATAATAGAGCCCATTTGTGATATAAATGCAGTCGGATATACGATTATTAATACCCCAATCATATTGCCTTGCTTTACTTATTGTTATCTTCGTAAAAAAAGGATAAAATGGAAACTTATTAATAACGACAGTTTACTGTATTCCCATATATTCCTAAGTTATATGGACGAGTTATTATTTATTACCTTTACACTATTAGAGTTATGCGTAATAGTTGGGACTTTCAATATGATATTCGATTGTTACTCAAGTAATATATATTATTCCTTAGTTTCACTTACTATAGTTAATTCAGCTATTTAATTCGAGGAATAACATTTACTCACGTATATTTCATTTGTGGCTTGACCTAAACAAGACGTCGATACCTCATTCCCCTATATAAAAAGATCATTCTCTATTTCACTCTCATCATCTTTCCCATTTAGTATTACAAAACTGATATAAATGACTCCAGAAACAAAATGTCTCATCATCCTTCCCTGCAAGCCCACCGGTGAGTTTTCGTTTTCACTTTATTCTCCCCTGTTTCGAGTTTTCCAGTGGGTTGATTCGATTTGTTGGGATTCTCATTTTATTTTATGTTGTTGATTTGGTGAAGGTCGT